CATACACACGAACCGAGCCGAGCCGCGCCGGACAGACGACGGTGGCGCGCGCGCATGGTGGACCAAAGGCCACCTAGCTACTCTCCCCTCCACAAAAATGTAGTGCCCCAAGGGGCAGTTTATGAGTGTGAGGTGTTAAAACCCACACACCCCTTCAACTTCCCTCTTTTCTTTTCTTCCTTAACCCACTTCTTATTCATAATCAATAGATTGTCTATACAAATTCCAACATCATCTCTCATACATTGTTAAGCTATAGCATGCTTTGTTATATTGTTATATTTAATTATTTTTTGATTTGTTAAATTTGTTGGATTTTGGGTCTAAATCCCATTAGATATGAATAAGAAGTTTGGTAGTAAAAATGTGTGTCTTTTCGCTGACAAATAGATGTATCTTTTCATCCTAACGGACGTGTTGTTTCATCCTTGAATATGTGTCTTTTCGTGTTGAACAAATATATCTTTTCGTGTCCAACGGATGTGTTGTTTCGTCGTCGAATATGTGTCTTTTGAAACGTGATCTTACGTTTTTTATATATAGACCCTGACCCCTTCAGAAAATATTATTTAATTTTTCTGCAATATTACTCTGCCGGATTTTTTCCTTCATCTGATTTTGCATACTTCTTTCCATTTTTCTGGTGTAATTCCTCTGGCATCTTGTTGTGTTCGTTTGAGCTGTTGACTGGTAATGTCACCACTCTTCAGACGAAATCCGTTCTATCCCGGGAGACAAATGTCCATCAACCTTTGGCATCAGTGAGGGGACAAATTGTCTTAAGGAGACACGTTCTGTAGGCTCAGATTTAATTCCTCATACTGCAGACATACATCTGTCTATTCCACTATACTGACATCAAGTAAGTCTGTTCTAATTCTTCTTAATCGCACTGTGTATGATATATCTGATCATTATCTTATTTGTTCTATACATGAATTTAAACCTCTTAGTGATTTAATATCACCCACTGTCTTCATTAACAAAAATTGATCCTAATTTTTTTTGTTAATTCCCAAATTGCCTATTAACCTTTCCTAATGGTGTGACATTTCCATTCCAATGGTCTGTAATAATGATGAAGATTTGAATTTTCGAATGCATTTTTTCGTGCGTTTCATATGCAAATATGGTGGTTTGTCAGCATTGTTTTGCCACCAAACACATGTCATTTTGTGATTTTCCTGTATATATTCTGTCATTTAGTCGATTCATTCGTGCATTCATAAATTATTTAGTGATCCTTAAAGCCACTGTTGTGAAACCCAGCCCGACCCGGCTGGGTCGACCCTGAACCCGGCGAACCGGTCATCGGACTTAATTTGGAAGTGTCATCATACTCGAGACAAGATCCGTACTATCTTGGGAGATGGTTGTCCAAGGCACCGATAGATGAGGCAAATTATCTTAAATAAATGACTTCCATTAATCACCCTGTGATTTCTATTGGATTCTTCCCATTTTTTTTTTCATTCGTGGATTTCTTTAAATCAAATAATTTAAAATCATTAACAGAAATGGCTTAGTCAATATGCACATGTCACCGTGTCGCACCTTCTACTTACTAAAAATGATAGTAATGAAACTAGCTAGCTGCATTTCTTAATAGTATTAGCAGACCTATTTTCACTTTTTATGTTTAGAAAAGTTAAGATATCCTAGTACGGTGCAAATTAACAAATTCCAACTTCACCATGAGCAAAATTCTTTTCACCTTATATGAAAAACATTGAGATGATTGGATCATGAGAAATATTTCTCTTCTGCTGTAAAAAAGAAAAATTACCTAAGATAACTATAAATTCTTTACAGCCAACAATAGATTAATAATGCCCTTGAATCATTTAGGATTCTACTAACTTAGAAAGTTTTCTTTCAAAACTTTTCATTTGATTATTCTTTAAATGCAGAAATATTGAAAAAAATACATGTGGACATCAACCTAGATCCACAACGAATATAATTCTTGAATCATACAATCTCAAATGCTTAACGTTCTTACAAGTAATAAAATTGCATGTGGGTTAAAGCGAAGTATTTCCAAATGTATTACCCTCGTACCCTGTTTCTGCTAAGAGTGAAAATGTGCTGTCATTAATTCATTATGACCATTTTGGTGGAAAGTGAAAATTAAGGGGTGCAATACAATTAACAACAACGGCGAACTTCGTCTCCTCTCCTCAATAAAACAGGAGTACCGTATCAGCGTATTGCTAGATTGCTAGCTACTCATAGCAATAATTTCATTCGTTGGGGAAAGTAGTGGCGCCGGGGGTTTGTCGACCTACCATTTGTTGAAAACTGAAAACAGTTGATGATGTCTATTCAATAATAATATTTTATAATAGGATGTTCTTGCATATATAAAAAATGGGAGCGCATCTACTCTATATGGAGGGCAGATGGTCCCTTCCAAAAATGAAAAATAAAAAAGGATAGGAGAGAAATATAAGAAAAAAGAGAGGTATAAGAGTAATTTTTTTATCCAAAAAGGTAAAGGACCACAAATTTTTTTACACTCCTGGGGTATATTAAAAAAATCCCAAAAAATGAGATCATTGAAGGAAAATTATAAATATTTAACAGAGTTTGCATTTGTCATTTCACATGACACAACAAACTTTCCTATACACACAACATTTTTGTGGGGCTCACACTTTTTGAAGAAAAAAAGAAAAAAGAAAATTACAACATGCAAAACGAATCTCTATAACATTATACAATCACTTTTTCTACACCACAACTCTTATAAAACTCATATTTAATATCTTAAATTTTTTAAAATACTTATTTTTTTAATTAAGTAATTATGACAATCAATAGATACGGCTTTTTTATTCCTTAACCTGTATTCAAAGGAAGACACACGTTTACAAAAACATATTTTAATATGTATATATGTAGTTGTTTATGTCTTTTAAACTTATCTAGTATGATAATGTATTTGTCTTCTTTAAATAAGGATATTAAGCCATTCAGTTTCAGTGCAAAGAAGAGTAGAAGACGGTTTGTGACGGCCCTTACGGGCGTTTGGTACACGGTGTTTGGCCGGATTTTCAGGAAACTAAATTTTTCTAAATTTTAAATTTCCAAATATTATGGTAAACTGAATGTAAAAATTATATTTTTGAAAATTGAGATTCCCGGACAAATAAAAATTTCTCCTGTACCAAACGCCCCCTAAAGTTATTGTCAGCTCCAAAAGGGCGTAGGAATCTTAATATTGTAATCTCAGCCAAGCAATGCGGGACCCAGAAAAAAAAGTTTATGTCTACACATTTACGGTGAGGGTTTGGAGCAGCGTTCTCGAAGATTTTTTTTTAATTTTTTTTTAAATGTATTAAAAAATATATAAACAAGAAAAGAAAAGAATTATAAGAGTTGGTTGGGTTAGGTCCATGTTAGTTAAAAAATTTATTTAAATATGTGATTTTATGATTTTACGATTTTTTTAAATCAAAACGATTTCATCAAGATTTCAAGTACTTTTACGATTTTATGATTTTTTTATGTTAGAATTTTATGTTTTATGATTTTTTTATCTTCCTTCCAATTTTAGGTAAGATCCCGATTTTAACTACTATGATTGAAATCCTATGTTTATTTTTTTCTTTTCGATCTTCCTAATTTTTTTTTATTTGACCTAAATCACCCACCCTTTAAAAAAAAAAATTTCAAACTTGTGTCTACAAGTGCAGACACAAGCAACTATGTGTGTCCGCCAGTGCAACCAAGTATGAAGAAAATTATTGAAGAACTTCCAAAATGAATTATCTATGCTTTTGGAATGAAAGTATAATTTAATTCAAAAAATTGAAGACTTAATAATTCTTTTAGGAAAAAAATTTGTCATTTTAAATGACACAAAGTTATGTCATTTTTAATGAAACTACGACGTTTTGGTGTATTTTAACATTCTCTCTCCTCCATTTTCTTTTTATTTCTTTTTTATAAATTAAATTTCATAAAGTTAAATTTTAAATCAATTAAAAAACTTTTAAATTTTGTTTTTATTGTCTCAAGATTAATTTTCACTTAATTTAATTAAAAATGTAACTTTTTCACTTAAAAGTAAACTTCAGGAGATCAAGAGATAAAAGCAGTGATATTATTATTATTATTATTTTCAAAATGATAAGTTAAGAAAGAGTAAGTTCCAACAGCACATGACAATACTCAATAACCAAAATTCAAATTTCAGCAAATAAGAAGAAATTAATTGAAATGGGAGTATAAACAATATATCATTCACAGGGGTTTAATAATAGGAAAATGCTACTTCTATACAGTGAATCAACTCTTACTAATTCATATGTATAAAAAAAAAAAAAAATCTTACTAATCCATTGTAATAACAACATCGCTGCTTAATTCTATCATATATATTAGATGTTTATAGTAGTTCCGAATTGAATCAAAGGTCCTTAACCCGACCAATTAGGCAAAGACTGTTCTAACTTGAGGTGTCGAAATGAAGAGAGATATTCGTATACGAGATAGTCAATTGCTTTTCAATGAGAAGTATTATACTTGGTCCCCACTACTAAGTTGGGGTATCCAATTTCACAAGAATCAATAGGTCATCACAGTTAAAAAGATAAAATGCATGAGGACGAACATGTTAAATTCCACCTGAGACAGGCAGGCACTTATCAAACTAGTATTATACGCATGCTGAAATACTAACCAGAAAATGGGAGGCATCTGGTGTGTGACATCTGACAACTGGTCTCGAGAATTGATAAGTGAAATTTACTTTATACCAAATCGTGATGAATATAAATTATAAGCCTCACAGTTATATCGACCTCGCACATGATCGGATTAACATAACGTAGTTTAGGACCCACTTCCCATTAGGCTAATTGAATGCTGACATAGAATAACAAACAATGTTTGTAAGTATCTCTATGTTTTTCTCGTTTTATCTCTCTAGAGACATAAGTAGCTTTGTGGAAGTTCTTATGAAATAGAGTTCCTTCTCTTGCCTTATCCTCACAAGTCAGCCAATCAAAGCTCAAGAATTTGTGGAATTCTAACAAAGGATGAAGGTAAGATCAATTGTCAAGTATGCCTTGCAGAACCAAATTCGGCTACTTATAATTACTCTTTTGAGTTGGTTTCTGCATTTCTTTACTGCAGTTACTTGGCTGGATGCATAGAAAATTTCGCCAGAATAGCACTGAACCGTTCAAAGACTTGGTCATTGGTAAGATATATATGCTGTTGGCAAGTCGCATATGTACATTTTTTGTGTTCTTCTAAAAGTACATTAACTACATGATGATCATCAAATTAGTAAACAAACTACTGAAGGATCATGAATGCAGAGTTAACTAATCATGCTGGCTAAATATTTCAACTTGATTTTTGACGTGACTACCTCGTAATTATAGCCCGTAGGTAAAGAGAACTATGAAATCATTTTCATTCACATATCACCATAAATATAGCCCATTGTAAACTACCCAAGAACAACCATTGAAAAATTATGAACTAAGTTTAAATATTGATAGAAATTAACTCATTATAGTTCTTCCATGAATTAAAAACTTTTGTTCCAAATGCAAATGCTGTTTATAAGGATAATTTGGCCCATAAAATCTCTTCCATTCTTTGCTCTACGAAAATGGAAGTTTTTATTGTCATTTTATCGAATAATAAATAGCACACGGTCTGAGCTAGACACTGAATCTTGCTGAAAGCTCTTATAGAATTCCACTTCATGGTTGGAATTACCATTCCACAAGGTCTTCCTACATTTGTTTTTGTGTCAGGGCATTCTTGTAATTGTCTTTCAGGGCAGCCAGCACTTGATGATGAACACAACTATCCCAAACCAAAATTTGGGACCAAACATGTCAAACAAATTCAGAGAGACCACAACCTAAGAAAATCTTTCGCTGGTCTGGAGACGGCAAGAATAGATGATGACTATGAGGAAGAATCGTCGGCTGCTATGTATGAGCTCTTCCATGGCTTCCTAGCAATTGGAACTCTTGGTTCGGAGCAAGTTATTACTGATCCATCAACAACACCAACATTTGGCATCTCTGTCGAGAATATAACTGAAAAAGAAGAAGATGAAGCCACTGAGAATGAATTGAAGCTCATCAATGATGAGCTAGAGAAAGTTCTAGGAGCCGAAACCAAGGATGATGGCAGCATCTATTCATCTGGAAGAAATAGTCATGTAAGCACCGGGAGAAGTAGTCATGGAAGCATAGTAACGCTCGGTGGAAAGCCACTAGAAGGTACAGAATCAAATGGGAACGGAACTGCATTTTATCCACTCCAGGGGTATCTCTTTGGATCAGCAATTGAATTAGCAGAACCAACAACAACAGTGGCAAAGAAGGAGCACAGAACATCACTTGGGGAGCTTTTTCAGAAAAGCAAATTAGCAGAGGAGAATTGTGGAGCAAAATGTGAAAAGGATGATAAAAGAACTGAGAGGGATGCAGATAACTCTGCCATGCACCTCATGATGAAAAAATTGCTGAAAAAAAGAATGCTCCATACTTCTTCCCGAAGTGGTGGACCTGTTGATTTTTCGTCAGCAGAGAGAAAACTGCATAAGGTACACTTTTACATTCCATAATTATCCAACAAGATTTTTCTACCTACTCTTGTTTATCTTTATTAGAATAAACTTATAATACCTCTTAGAATAATGTTGTATTGAACAAAAACGAATTTGTGAGTGTTGGAAGAAAGATTTTGATTTGGAGATTTCTTTCAATCTCAACCACTTCTACTTTTTTTTTTTTAACCCATGATTTCCGTCTGCCTTTTATTTCATTAATGCCAACAAGACCCATACTCAATTTGTAATAAAAGACTTTATACTAAACAGCATTACTCAACCTCTTATTACTTCAATCTTAAGGGCAGTGATTATCAATTTGTTACTCTCATTAATGTTGATGATGCTTTTGTTGTTGTTGTTGTTGTTGTTGTTGTTGTTGTGCTGTGTTCCCCCGACAATAATTCGTGCCTTGTAGATTCTCCATTTGTTCCACAGGAAAGTTCATCCCGAAAATTCAGCAGCTGTACAAAAATCTGATAAATACGAGAAGAATGACAACAGGAAGAAGACAATCGATGAGGGTAGCCACGTGGTGCATCCAGGGGAAGATATTATGACACACCCTAAAAGAGCAGTTGCAAAGGAAAACAAGCAAAAACATAAGAGCCAATCAAATCCACTCCAGTTAACACTTGGGAGCGAAGATTCATGTGAGAACAGGGAGCACTGGATCAAAACAGACGCTGATTGTAAGTTTACAATTATTATCCATTCATATATCTCATGATTAACCGCTGCACTCCAATTAGCTATTAAAGAATTTCTCAATTCAATTGGCGAAGGCAGCAAATTTTTGTGAGATATAAAATCATTTGCAACATCAATCACTACAGTGAATTGATAACCACATGACCAACTGTTGGTTTTGAGTACTAATATAGTAATATGTGACATGCATAATAGCATACTCACTTTCAGTCTTATGTCCTGTTTCTTTTGCTACCCTCACTCAGATTTTTGTTTTTTTTTTCTTTGCAGACTTAGTCTTGGAGCTCTGAAAGGCAAAGGAAGAAACCGAGCTGATTTTAAGCTATCATCGTGGATTACTTATAATAAATATCACGTTTTGTAAAATCTTATTTCTCAATGCTTGCAGCAAATATTGAACATATTATCAAATGATTTAAAAATCAGTTTGGGCGAGGAAATAAATCAGAGAGGTAATCATCTTCAATGCGTACCTCTTAGTAGTAAGTGTTAAATGTATGTTTTCGATAGTAATCATAGATAATCTTTGTAATTGACCTAAACCACGAATCATCATGGTGTGCAACAAGAGCGGTGGAAACTGAAGGTCACTTGTCAGAATTGGGTCTTTATGTGTTTCAGATTTGTAACCTTTTGTGTGTTTGGCCAACTACCACATTGCCTATTTGCCTACAATGTTAAGTATTTATAAAATTCATGCCGAACGCGATACGATCATGTCAAGATGGTAGGTTTTTTTTTTTACCCTTATAACCCTTTATTAATTATTAATCATCAAATTGACCTTCATTTAAAATTATTTTAAAAATTTAACCTCCCCAACAAACATAACATCAATCTGCCCACGAAGCCTACCCGGATACACCCCTCCCTACCTGGGTATGAATAAAAATTCAAAAAATACCCAGATAGGGAGGGTGTACCCGGGTATAGTTCTTGAGTTCTGAGAAATTGCTTGAATTATTTACCCTGGTAAGGAGGGGTGTACCCGGGTAAATCGCGACGGTAGGGTTTTTATGTAACCCAGCAGCCCCATTTCGAAACCCAACAAAGGGGTACCCGAGTAGAGCTGTTGGAGGTGTGTTGGTTGCGCGATTCTCACACCAAATCTTGCTCAAATTCTTCGTGTTTGTGATCATCAGTTCGCGCACGTGTGAATCTCTGCCTTCAACCGATTGAATCTGCAGCCAAGGTTCGTTTTTTTTTTCATGGTTATCAAATCTGTTCTGATTTTGATATGTTTGTCCCTCCTTCATATGAAATTATTGCGTTTTTGTAGTTTGCATGGTTATGTTATATGATTTTGACCGATTAATTTTTGAATTTACTAACCCTAACCTGTATGTTTCCAATTTTGGTTTTTTTTTTCTTCAGTTTAATAGTGTGACGCAATGAGTTCTAGACGCGTTTCAAAGCTGTCGGTGGGGAATACCGAGAGAAGAACCAAGAGTCGACACGATGGTCGTCGTCCTCTCAGCCCCAGGCTGCTGTGAGTCAGTCTCCGGACTTGACGTTCAGATATTTGTTTGAGGATGACATAGTTGCTCACGAGAGGTTTGTGAAGTCTTTCATGAGCCGGAGGATTTGCGAGCCGAAATCGCTGGATTCGGCCTTCTTCAACTTGGAGCGTTTCGACATTGTGCCGCTTCTTGAGGAGACACATTTACTTGTCCTTGCAGAGATGCAGTGCCCATACTCGGAGGTTATGGTAAGAGCCTTCTACCAGAACCTTGGCTATGCGCATGGCGAGCTGACTTCCCGTGTCTGCGGGATTGATATCATCATGACTGCTCCTATCTGGACAGAGCTATTGGGGTTCGATTTTGATAGTGTCACAGGAGCAGCACTATATGATGGAGACAGCCATCATATATTTGGTGATTATGACCGGGAGGCCATTGTTACAGAGACTAGGAGGGCAGACGCTGAGGCCAGACATTTTGCTCATTTTCCAGTGAGCAACTTGTCGGTGTCTGCTCGCATTCTTCATTACGTGGTGACACATATTATTTTCCAGCGCCCGCATAATCACTCGAAGGTGCTGGAAGGAGACTTTGTTATCTTGTGGGCCCTCCTTCACCGTCGGCAGGTGAACTGGAGGCATTATATATGCATACTGATGTGGAAGGCTGCCAAGTCAAAGAGGGCTGAATTACCTTTTGCATTCCTGGTGCAGAAGATTCTGCATAGATTTGGTGTGCCTATGGCAACAGAGACCTTGAAGACTGCCAGAGGCTGGAATGCTATATTTGGTGAGATGCTCCTGAAGCAGTGTGAGATCCTGCCGAACAGAGCGAGTATCTGGTACTAGAAGAAGGCACCAGAACCACCTGAGATCCCAGTCCACCACGATGCGAGATGGAGGATGCACCTGCTGGTGATGTGTTTTGGCTTTAAGGTTTATGCATTATGGTTGGTTTCTTTTTTCTGTTCTTAACTATAATATGTGTTTTTCATGACTTATGATGCAGGCCTTGATGACGATGACGATGATGATGGCGCTGCTGCTGTTGATGAGGGACGCACACATCCCACCCGCAGTCGGCGACCACCAGCTCCTCCATCTCTTGAGGGTGGATGGACAGCTCCTGAGAGTGGTTGGACACTTGATCATGTCATGGCATCCATGTATAGTCTGACATGTGGCCTTGACTCATTGACTACTGATTTTAGAGGATATAGACAGAGCTCAAGCAAGTGGCGGAATCAGATTGACACAAGGGTTACACAGATTGACACAAGGGTTACACGCTTGGAGGCTGCCTACAACAGGGGTGCCCACACTCATGAGGAGGCTGATGCTGTTGTTGCTTCCGATGATGATGTGGAGGAGGATGATGAGAATAGGGAGGACACACAATCAGATTCCACTCCATAGGATTTCACATGAGGGTTTTATTTTAGTGGATATATTTTGGGTTATTAGGGTGTATTGGGTCAAGATAGGGTTTAGGCAGCCCATTTTGGATGTTATGCATGTATTTTGGTACAATTAGGAACATTACCTACATTGCATGTTGGATGTTATCCATGTATTTTGGTACAATTAGGAACATGTTCAATGTTTGAATGTTCAATGTTTGAATGAATCTCAATTTGCCTATTTCGCACATTCAGAATTGTTGGTTCTATGCAACACAATATGTGTTTTTTAAATCGTATTTTTTGTCAAATGTAATTGGGATTAAGATTATCGCACATAATGCTTCAGGTATCCCATATCAACGAAATCAAGCCACCCCCAAATCATATTATATGTTGTCATTACATAACAATAAAAAAATACACAAAAAATGGGCGGACCAGCAGCTGTTGCTGCAAAACCAACTGGTCTACCCGGGTATATAATTACGAGTTACCCGGGTATACCAGTTGGTTCAGCAGCAACAGCAGCTGCTCCACCCACTTTTTGTGTAATTTTTTTATTGTTGTCTAATACCATAACCTTAACTGACTCGGGGAGGGGGTAAATAGGTATGGTTTACATTCGGCTTGTGTAATACGAAACGAGTTGAATGCTTAACATAACAGCCGTCAACAATGTATGTTATGCAACATAATACATAACTAATACAATATAGGGTTTAGGGTACCCTAAACAATACAAAACACAATTGATAACCGTATGTCATTACAAAACAAAGTACTACATGGAAACAATACATAATCATGCTTGTCTTAACCTCAATGGACATGTACGAATGTTATGTCCAACTTGCTTGCAATGCTTACATCTACTCTGACTGCTCGAGGGTTGAGACTCAACCTAATCCATCTCATTCTGAATCCTTGAAGACTTTGGTCTTCCTTTTGCACGTACCAACCGAGCATCCGGAATTACAATAGGCCCAACAACGGATGGAATCAACAATTCATTGCCAATAGGAAACCAGTGTGCAGCATATACTTTAGCAATGGTTGGGATTTTGAAAATATGATCCACATAATCATAATGGTTTAACTTGGCTACCTTGCAAACTGCTAATACATGACTGCAGGGATACCTCCTTGCTGTAAACCTACCACACTGACATGTACGATTGATTAAGTCCACTCTCATGGTGTCACCAACCTCGTGTGTAGATTGTTTGTAGGCATCCTCAACCTCAAACAATAACAACTCACTATCATATATCCTCACACGATAAGTGCCGGCCAATTCATCATTTTTTTGCAAAGCTGCCTCAACCTTCTTTGAAATTATCCAACCTTGAGAGATATCGTTTTCAATCCCTTCACGTCTCTTAACGAAATACTCAACGAGTCTACTGAATGTCATCTTGACCAATGCAGTTATCGGCAGATTACGTGCTCCACGAAGCACCTTATTCACACACTCAGATAGGTTGGTTGTTTTATGACCAAACCTACGTCCTGTCTCATCATACGACCTGCACCATTGCTCTTTCGGAATCGCATCCAACCATGAAGCAACTTTAGGATTGTTCTCGATAAATCCCTTGTATCTAATGTCAAAATTTATCTTTAAACATGTGTACCCTGCAAAACAACCATGACATATGCAATTGGTTAGTTACGATTAAATGGTTGAAAATGTGAGTAATTATACCGTACATTACCTAATTTCATCAACGTTTTCTTCAATTCCACATTCCTAAAGCGGGTATTGAAGTTGCTTACGATGTGACGTAGACAAAATACATGATAAGCATATGGAGGCAAAAACCCTATACCTCGCAACAATGGCCGAAACCCATTGATATTGGGGTTTCTGGACGCGATTTACCCGGGTACACCCCTCCTTACCCGGGTAAATAATTCAAACAATTTTCCAGAACTCAAGAACGATATCCGGGTATGAATAAAAATTCAAAAAATACCTAGGTAGGGAGGGGTGTACCCGGGTAAGCTTCGTGGTTAACGGTCAAACAAGGGCAGATTGATGTTATGTTTGTTGGGGCGGTTAAATTTTTGAAATAGTTTTAAATGAAGGTCAATTTGGTAATTAATAATAATAAAAGGTTATAAGGGTCAAAAAGCCCAAGATGGTAGGAGTATGACTTGACCTTTTTTTAAAAAATAAAATGCAACTATACTACGGAGAGAATATATATATATATATATATATATATATATATATAGGGTCAAGATCATTTTACTATGTTACACTCCCAGTCTTTTCCGTTGATCCCACTTATATTTAAGGGTTCCGATTTTTTAGTAATGTAAGTCATTGGATACAAGTGGATCAATGGTTAAAACTGAGTGTAAGACTTCTAACTCTTACAGCGGTGTAAGAATATCTTGTCCCATATATATATATAGGGGCAGGATCATCTTACACCGGTGTAAGAATAATAAGTCTTACACTAAATCTTAACCATTGATTTTTTGCATCTAACGGTTAAGATTTATTAGGTCTCACTCATTAATTAATTTTTAGTTCTCAATAAATCTCAACCGTTAGATGCACGAAAATCAACGGTTAAGATTTGGTGTAAGATTTATTATTCTTACACCAGTGTAAGTTGATCATATCCCATATATATATACATATATATATATGAGGAAGGTTATACTTACAACCATATCTTAACACCGTTGATTTTCGCCAATCAACGGTTATCATTTATTTTGAATTAATAATTAATTAATGAGTTTAATTTCCAAAAATCATAACCGTTGATTGGCGGAAATCAACGGTGTTAAGATATGGTTGTAAGAGGCTGTAAAGAAAAAGGTTGTAAGTATAACCTTCCTCTATATATATATATAGAGAGAGAGAGAGAGTAAGGTTATACTTACAACCTATTTTCGTTTACAACCATGTCTTTAACCATTGACTTCCGGCAATCAAGGATTATTATTTTTGCAAATTAAATTCATTAATTAATTATATATACATATATATATATAGTAAGGTTATACTTACAATCTATTTTCGTTTACAACCTCTTAGAACCATATCTTTAACCATTGATTTCCGACAATCAACGATTATTAATTTTTTTTGCTTAACATGACAATTGAATGGAAAGTATACAATTATGTCAAACAATAATATTTTCTGTAATAATAAATCATGTTTTTCAACATTATCTTTACACAAGTTTGAAAATATGAAAATTTCAAAACTTACGAATTAATGAATATAGAGTGTTGATAATTAATAAATAAGAATAAATTTCAATATTTTCCAGCACAGATATTGTTCATTCTGTCAATGTATCCAGTACATGTTTTGGGCGATAATCCTTTTAGGCTGATAAACATGATAAAGCCCGAATGTATTGTAGGTTCAAATAAGGCTCTCCCGACAAATTAAAATAAAATAAAATAAAATAGTATCTTGCAAATTTCGATCTTAATTTAACAAAAAAGAAAAATAATAGTAATAGTAATAAATTGGCCGTTGTCAAACAAAGCTAAGTGAATATTAATTCTCAAAAGAGTAAAATTACTACTGTGTTTTCACTTATTAATCATAAAACGAATAAAAAATACTTATGGAAGTGTTTTTTTTTCTTCTTCATGAATTATAGTTACGAATATATATATATATATATATATATATATATATATATATATATATATAAATAAATAAATAAATAAAAATGAAATTAGTGGTTAATAAATTTATTAAAACAAAAATAAATAAATAAAGGTGTGTGGGTTGTTGGAAAAACAAGAGGGTTTGTTGCGTTGATTATGAATCGAATCGCAACAGGGTAGAGTGCGGTAGCTGGTGTGTGCTACTGAGTATCAATCACCAATCCATGGCTCTTCCACTTGGCAAGCTCACCATTCTCGTTGGTGCAGGTTTGTTTTGCTTTCCTTTACATGTATCGCTCTGTTCCCTATAATTCTTCCTTTTTACAACTGTTTCCTTCCGTAACTGTAATTTAGCTTCATTTGTATATATGTATGAATTAGGAAAATTCCTTACTGACCCCATCACATGTTTACATACTTTAGGTATTGTTGGTTCAGTTATTGCAAAAGAAGGGCGCATACCGGATGTCTCTAATTTTGTCTCCAGTGCTTTTAAGGTTTATTTCTTAGAAGATCCCTCCCCTCTTTTGCTTATTATATCTTCAATTGCTTACATTACATGCGGAGGGGTCCATTTGATTTTAGAACTTGAATTTTAGGAAAATAGATAAAAGTTTAAAGAAAATTACTCTCCAAACGCTGACAGATATTACTAAATGGCTACATCACCTTCCCCCAGAAGAATTATATCACTACGCTTTGCTTAATTACAACTTTTTCTACTGCGTGATCGGTTACACAGCTGCTGGCAACCGTATCCCCACCACCATCCCCCACGAAACCCTTATTTGCGAGGGTAGAGGCGAGGAAAATCCTTGGACATAGTTTTATTCTTGTATTTTTGCAAAGATGTGGCTTCTTACATTCAAACCGGTGACTTCTCGGTCATCATGGAGCACCTTTACCACTGATTTGGGCTCGCCCTCTTTGCTGTCGACCGTATATATTATTAAAATACAAGCCATGCTAATTCACATTTTCATCTTCAAACATTTGCTTATAGCTTTTGATTTTTCTCTTTTTTGTTCTAGAGAACTTCATTCATATTCCTTAAATTTGTTTTGCACCTCAAAAATTGAGACTATGCCAATTTTATGTATGCTATTATACGCACCTGAGTCCAAATTCCATTAATATTTTATATTGTATGAATGGTTGTTGTCATCAATTATGACTTATTAATGTTGCGTAGTTTGCTGATTATAGACTGATTGTTTATTTGGACTCTAGGTTGTTTACAAGCAACTTAGGAACACTGATTCTACTCCAACTGTTAAAAAGCCACATAATGATGCTTTGATGGCTCAGGTGTGCATCTCCGTGATGGCTTTCCGTAATCATTGATGAGATTTTGATTATGAATAATTCTTAATGCAGTTAATTCTATTATAAGTTCAGTCTCATGCAACATGCCTTGAGCATTTTGCTAATCTTTAAAGATCTGAGCCTTATGCATATGGTTATATGCTTATATCAGTTATATGTATATCATAATGTTAAAGTTATCTTTTGATCTAATTGAATTGTTCATTTTAGTTTTGTTGTCTCATTTTTGTTTAGGTATGTCCTGTCCTTTCTTAATCTGTGAGTTCATACACTTAGTGTGGTTTAAGAAAATCTTGTCATTCCCATTGTTGGATATCTTTTGCTCTGGGTGGAAAACTCCTTTTTTCACTATCTGTGCTTTTTGTATGTCTGGAAGAATGACAAAACTGTATATTATGGAATCAAAAAACTGTAAAGCAACTTTGTAAATGCATTAACAGGATGCTAGTATTTTCCTTGTTATTTGTGAATCCTTGTATCCCATTACATAGGTGGATGGGTGTGGAAAAATTTGTGATTTTAGCTTGAGAACTTAGGTATTGTAAAATTACATTGTAAAAAAAAAAGAACCACTCCTCATTAAACTAAACTAGATCAGGGGTGGATGGAAGTGCAAGACAATACTTTAAGAAGCTGTATATTATTGTACCGTTATTAGAATATATTTTCTTTTCTCTTATTCAAGGCATCAAATAAAACATGAGTACATGACCATATTATGGAATGAGTAAAAAGTGTTAATAATTAAATAGCAGGATTGCTATTTTCCTTTCATGAATTGGCTTCTACTAAACATGCAGAATGATGTTTTTGTAAATATATTGAAACACATATCTAATGTTACCTATAAAATCCAGAGTGGTAGTTTCACTTTTTATAAAAGCTTGCAAAAAATTGAAAATGCTTATTAGACTTTGACCTACAGGTTAACAGCCTGCGGCAGGAACTGCAACTTCTTGCAAGAGATAGAAAAATCACTATTGTAAATGCAAGTGGAACAGGTTCTAGTTAGTTACTTTCTCTTACTCATCAAAGGAGTGTTCAGTTATTTCTTCAGTCCTCAGGGATTGTATAGATGCTGACATGTTAATCTGTAAATTTTGGGATCAATCAGGGGCACAGGGTAGTGTAAATATAGCCCAAATTTTTTGAAAAAAGCTTTTAAAAGTAATTTTTTAAAGAAAAAAACTATATGTAGTTTTTCTTTAACTTGACCTCCTAAGTAAAATTTTGTTCTACCTCAATGAAAATTCTCTAGCTCCACCCTAGGGATCAATGATTTTGATTGTAGGCCTTGTACACCATTGTCTAAGCTGAGAAAAGTTTCCTTTTATCATATTTTTTGGTATTCTCTGACTTGCTTTGGCAATGTACAGGTTCAAGAAAATATGTCACTGTGGTTGTTATTATTGTGGTAGGATATGGCTACATCCGGTGGAAGGTAATGTCTTTTATTCTTTGCTGGAATGTTTATTTAATTTAACTAACAAGATTCTGTAGTGATACATTCTTGTAGGAGGCTTGTGTGTCTGAATTTAAATGTTTGGTGCTTTTAATGAATTTTTTTCTGTTAATCCCACCTTCTTTTTCCCCTTATTTGTTCTTCACAGAGATAATATTTTTGTTAATATGTTTTGTAGATATGTTTATTCTTTTACTTCCAGCTGGTTGATTGAGTTCTATGCGTTTTTTATGTTTTAGGGATGGAAACTTCCTGATATGATGTTTGCAACAAGGCGTGGTTTATCTGATGCTTGCACATCTATTGGTAATCAGCTGGGTAAACTTTATGAATCAATTGAGGTAATTCATTTTTGTTGCACAGTAGTCAATCCCTAATAACGGGTTGGAATGGTGCAGTGGTCCGCAAGAAATGTTAAGACAGTCATCATTAATACTAAAAAATTAATAATCTTAACATTCTAAGTACTTTATTGGGTTCATTTAATTAATTAAAACAAATCAATAGTGAAATGCCTTATATATTAAATAAGTAACACTATACAATGCAAACTAGTACGATCAGAATATAATCGACCTTTAGTGCATATACCAACAGTAAGTGTATAACTTGCATTTATGTGTTTCATCATGATAATAGGTTTTGCTTGGATGGTTCCATTATCGAACCAGTTAATCTTTCCTGTGTTTCAAATAAAAAATTTGAAAAGAGCTTTCAGGGATTCTATCAACAATAATAATAATGGTTTTTTAAAATTTGCATTCTGCTAAATTAACTTCTCTTGCTCTTTCTTTATCAGACATTAGGAATAATTTTGATTTTTGGTTTACTAATAAGGTTGGATATTTACTTATCTGCAATGGTTGCAGGAAGCTAAGAAGAAGTTATCTGCTAGAATGAACCATCTGGATAGCAGTTTAGATGAATGTGCTGCCCTTAGTGAAAATACGAGGGAGGGGGTGAGTAAAGAATTTAGGATGTATGATTTTGGCTTCTTGGTTGCTTAAAAAATAATAGAATATCTTCTGTAATAGATCTCTGCAATACAACGGGAAACAGATACAATAAGTGGAGATTTCCAGTCTGTTTTTGTCGCAGTCCATGTTCTGGTAATTCAATTGCAAGAATGACTTATTTCTTATAATTTTTAGCTGGATTTGCAACTTATATCTGATTTATTTGCTTCTCAGGAATCAAAAATCAAAGAAATAGAAGGGAAACAGGTATTATGAATTAAATTTAAGTTGTTGTGGATTATTTGATTAAACATTTTTGGTTTATATTGAAGGGAAATGGTATTTTTTATATAAATGATTCTGTTTCTATCTGCTTAGGTGTCCACAACTGAAGGAGTAAATAAGTTGTGTCAAGTTGCCATCAGTTTGGAAAATAGCAGAGCCACTGAATGTATTCAGGCATGAACTACAATTTCTTTCTGAATGGATTCTCTCTGCTGTCTTGGCTTCAATTTTTGAAATTCAGATTCAGTTATCCTCTTTCTATTTCTTTACCCTTTTAATAACTTTTTTAATTTTATAGGCATCTCCATCCAGTTCTTCCAAGCCAGCTCTTGAGCTACCACCAGTTACACCTTCTTCAAGGGTAAATTTGTTTTTTTTTTTAGGCTCAATTATCAATGCAATTGTTTTCTCTTTTTAAAAGTATTATTATAAATTAGAAAAGGAATTTGATAATTTAGTTTGCTGTGAAGTAATGGGAACTATTGCTATTAGTTTAACAGTATATTTAGTTCATTGGCCAAGTAGATATTGAATTTAATTATTAGCCAAAGAAGCACATACAGACATTAACTGGCTTTTATATTTGAACGTCAATTTTCTCTTTCTTTGAAACTTCTTGTGCTAACTCTGTTATCTGAATTATACAGGCAACAGAGTCAGGTCCTTCTAGGCTATCTCTTGAGCCACCATCTACGACACCCCCATCAAGGGTAACTTCTATCATCATCATACAAGACGACAATATGGTGCATGTGTGTGTAGAAATAATAGTTTATACCATTGTTAGTCTGCAATCTTAATATTTCCTGTACATCTCCGATCATTCTTAGGGTTTGCTTGGTTGAGTAGGTGGAAAGTGGGAAGTTGGAAAATTTTGGATAAAAATCACTTATATTTGACTGATCTATTTTGTTATTTTATTTATCTGTCTAAGCCATTGTTTTGATTACCAACCAAAGCCTTTTCCTACTAGGTGGGGTCGGTTACATGAATCAAACAACACCATTGTGTTTTGTCTAAAACCTGTTCTTCATGGATGTTACTTTAATTTTCTTAGGTTATTACTTTCAAATGAATAAATAAACCTATTCATATGTTATTACTTACATATGAATGTCAAATTGTTTTTACATGCTTTCTTCAAGTTTGATTAAAAAGTATAGAAGGATAGAGGAAGACTTAAGAAAACAATTCAGAGAAATCATTAGAAAAGACCTTGCTCTTGATGGTTTTGTTGAAATTTTGGCTTTTGATACAACCCAATGTAGTCAATTAATCCATGTAGCCAACCCCATCTAGTGAGATGAGGCTTAGTTGTTGTTGCATGCTTTCTTCAAAGTAATAAAAAAGGGAATTGATGTGAGTTTAGGTGATGCCCATTTCATGTGAATAGATAAAATTATTTTCATTACTGGTTAACCATGGTGGAAAACCCCTTGTATATCATATTTTCCTTTCCCATCTATTCTTTTTACTAGCTTCAGTTTGTGAATATGGGGCTATTTAGTGTTTACCACCATGAATGGGTATTTTTCGCACTACTCTGCTATTGTTGCATTCATCAATTAAATCAATAATATAAAAATGGATAAAAAAAAAAAAAAAAATCTTGTTCTCATGTCTGGGCCAACTTTCCGGATGTGTAGTATGAGTCTGTTCCATTCACTGAAAACTTTTGCTGTAGTCTTGCTATTGTTTGTTGATTATTAGTTCCTACTACTTTTTCTTGTTAACAGACTGAATCCTCGCCTCCAACTTTGTCAACTGCTCCACCAGCTCAATTGTATTCTGCTGGATCTTACCAGGTTAGTGATTTTTCCGATTTACGAATTGAGGTAATTTACTTGGGAGGTGTGAAGAGGGAATAGTTGGTATTTGCGAAAAAATATCTAATTCTTTGCATTGTGCACATTTTAAGAGAACTGGTAGTACTGTATAATTTTGTGGTGACATAGTCGTCTTGTTTGTTTTGTTGTGTTCTTTATAGGTGATTTTTTTTCCCTACAAATTTCCAAACGCATTTTTATTTTTAATGCCATACTTTTTGCTAGGAAAAGGTTTTTCTCCTTTTACCATTTTGATGGACTTTTAAGTGGTTCTATTTGTTTTTTCAATTTTTATTTTCTTGTTTTCGTTGTGTCTCATTCTTACAACGTAGACTTGTCATCTTTTGTCCTTTATTTTTGGACATGTGGTTACACTTGTGCGTCTGTCACTTCAGGGGAGCAATCGGATTTCAGAGGTGATAAATTTCACAAGCAGTCATGTAGATTCAAACAATTTTTGTCCTACAGGAGACAAAACCAACGAATCTAGTTCTGGCTTGTTTGGGCTTAGGTTTTCAGGCCTCTTTGCTCCATTTCTGACAAGAGCACGCAGTGCAACAGATGCAGTTGTGCAGCATCCTCGTTCAAGCAGTTAACAAAACCTTATTATTATTATTATTATTTTTATTTATAGGGGTGATCACCAATAAAATATAGATGATTGGAGCTTCTGTGGTTGGAAATCCTTCACCTGTTGGTGTGGTTGTGCAGAGGTACCACCCTCAAGTGCCAAAGCCAGTCTGATTAGAAAGGACTGGGCAGTCAATTTTGTAGAGATGCTCGTCATTTCAGTTATATTGGGAGTAAACAATGACTATTAAACTCTCCAATTTTCAACCGTGAAAGCTGGAAAGGAAAAGAGGAGGTGAAGTGGGGGGTATTAAATTTTGGTAAATTCGCTTGTTCACTTTACTATTATGAGTATATATATATATATATATTAAATGTCACGAGTTTTAAATATAATTTAAAATGATATTTGGACTGATTGTATTCTTCCATAACCTTTGAATATTTGATATCAGTTCGCGGGTATTTGACTAATTTTATGTTTTTTAATATATATATATATATATATATATATATATATATATATATATATATATATATATATACAGGGGAGGATATTCTTACACCGGTGTAAGAGTTAAAAGTTTTAAACTCAATTTTGACCATTGATCTACTTGCATCCAATGTTTCACATTACTAAAAAATTTGAGCCCTTAGATATAAATGGATCAAAAGACAAGATCGAGAGTGTAACTTACACCGGTGTAAAATGATCCTGACCCATATATATATATATTGCTTTTGCAATTTGATTTTGGGGTTCAAACAATCACTTTTAACTATTATGACATTTTTTTTTAATTTAGAGAACTTAGATGATAACCTAATGCAATATTTATTTAAATCAAGAGTACTGCTATTTATTTATAAAATAATTTTATAAGAACCGTGGCATGAATGTACGTTACCCATTCAAAGGTGGAGTTTTCAATTGAGAATTTATATATATATATAAAAAAAAAGTATCTAATGTTACTTTAGATTATTTTTTCTAAATTCACCGTAATGATATCGTTTTGGAATTGAAAAATTAAAAATTCAAATGATAAAGATTATTATAATTTTAAAATAAATTAAAATTATAAATATATCATAATTTGTTTTAAAATGATATCGTTTCAATGAATATTAGACAAAATTGTCTAAAGTAAAAAATGAATCAATATATAAAAGTTAATAAGTTTGTAATGATGTATGGTTGAGGTTAGAGAATACGTGAAAATAATAACAATGAAAAGAAAACGATGAGGGTAGAAGATGTGATGTGAGTTGAAAGGAGTATTTTAGAGTTCCAAATTCCAATTCTAAAATAATATTGTTTTGTGGTTCGAGAAATTTTTTTAGGATATTTTAAAAAATTATATTATAATAGAGAAACAAAATTTGTAAAATATGATATATATATATATATATATATATATATATAAATTTTAATGTTTATACGGTAAATGTAGATAAGTTATCTACATTCACTCCCAAAATGACGTCGTTTTGGGTTGAAAGATTAAAAAATTATAATGAAAAAGACTATTATAACTATGAAATAAATTTTAATTATAAAAATACCATGATTTTCGTCCCAAAACGACGTCGTTTTGGGTTAAATGTAGATAACTTATCTACATTGACTGCAGAAAAAATGAACTCATATATATATATATATATATATATAATACTTCTCTTATGTTGTATAAGAGAAGTATTATGTCCTACTCAAACAATAAATAGGAGAGAGAGAAAAGTTAGAGGTGAGAAAAAAAATCTTGTGGAGCCCATTTTAAAAATGTGAATGTAGGAAATAATTTTTTTTTTTTTTTTTTTTTAAGGCTACAAGGAATTGAACACAACACCCTACACTACACACACTCCACACCACTAGGCTAAGAAAATAATATTTCTCTTATGTAACATAAGAAAAGTAATTTTCTATGTATATATATTTTTTTAATGAAAAAATGTGTATCATTTTAAATGATACAAAATCATGCCATTTTAAGTGAGAGAAAAAAATAAATAAAGAAAGAGTGAGAATTTTTTTAAAGCTGCGAGTTTCGTCTTTTTAAGAGAATGAAAGGATGTCTTTTCCCCTTCTTTCAAATATGAAAACGTGTTTTAGTTCAAATCAAGGGAGTGCGGTGCAGTTTAGTTCCAATGATCCAATATATTGGTAAGTCTCTTAAGTGGACTTTTAGTGGTGTAGGCCCAGCCCAATGCGTGAGATTGAGATGAAGAGAAGAGAAGAGTAGTAGGAAGGGGAACGAGTGACTAGTGAGGTGTAGTTGTTGTGAAGGAGAAGAAAGGAATGCCGAAGAGGACAACGCATACATACTCAAGCGAGGATGCAGCTCCGGAGGGTCCTCACTCCGATCTCTTTGTTTATTACTGCAAACACTGCGGATCCCATGTCCTCATAACTGGTCTCTCTCTAATCTCTCTCTCAATTGCTTGACTTGATACCCAATTTCCAAGTTATTAATAATTTCCAAGTTGTTGTTGTTGTTATTAGATACCCAATTGCAGACAATGCCGAAAAGGAAAACTGACAAGGCATATGTATTGGAGAAGACAAAACATCTAGCGAGATTCAACATTGAAGAAGCAGGCAAAGTTCTCTTAAAACGAGGCGAAGGCAAACTGGAGAAACAATTCCGCATGAATTGTATGGGTTGTGGTCTCTTTGTTTGCTATCGAGCTGAACATGATTTCGATTCTTCCTCTTTCATTTATGTCCTTGACGGCGCTCTCAGTACTGTTGCTGCTGAGACCAACCCACAGGATGCTCCCGTTCCTCCCTGTATATCTCAGCTTGAAGGAGGACTTGTTCAAGTTGCTATTGAAGTCGAAGATCGTGCACAGCGTTCCGCAATCACCAGTCAGTAACCCCCTCCCTTTCATTACTCTTCTTTATTGAAGGATGGTTACAGTCTTACTTTTCTGTTTTAGAGGTCTTCAGTGAAATTGACAAGGGGGAAAGGAAAATGGAACAAATAAAAAGTAGGAATATAATGGTGGCATATCATAAAGATAAGGAGAATTGGTGAATGATACATGACATGTGTCTTAGAGAATAATATAAATCATTAAAAAGACCCTTACCCAACACCTTAAGATGTTAGGTTGAAGTGATTCTTTAGATGGTATCAGAGTTTGAGTTGAGTGACTACAAGGTCACAAGTTCGATCCTCACCGTCCCAAACAGCTCTTGCGTGAGGGGTGTGTTAGAAAATAATATAAAATATTAAAAAGATCCTCGTGATTCTTTACAAGATGAAAGGTTGTCTCTCTTGCCGTAACCATATTTTTCGGTCATTTTTATTTGTAACATCATTAGTACAAAGAGTTGCAACTTTGTCTACATAGTGCCATGCATGCATCAAACATCTATTTGTCCGTAAGGCATATATTTGGAGTGGAAATGCCTTATAACTTCTTGATAAAACCATGATGGATCTCGAGAATTAAATTTATATTTTGGTTTTTTGTGTCAGGAGTAAATGCTGACGATGTTCGAGTCACCGTAGCTGCTCCTGCTGCTCGTGGAGAAGCTAACAACGAACTTTTGGAATTTATGGGAAAAGTATATTTCTACCCTCTTCGTTTCTCTTTTTGTTGGGGGAGGCATTTGGCTCAGCATTAAGGTTGTTGCCTATGCCCTTGTTTTGTGGTCACGGGATATAGTCGCAAAAACAGCCTCTTTGTTCATGAGAGCAAGGCTGCTTGCTTACATATGATCCACCCTAAACTCCACAATGGTGGAAGCTTCGTGCGCAGGGTTGGCCTTTTTTGTTGTTGTAATTTTGTCTTTTTGCTCCATTTTCCCCCTCTGGCCAAAGACAGCATTGATAACTTAAGTCTACACTTTTTTGACGCAGGTTTTGGGTTTGAGATTGAGTCAGATGACTCTTCAGAGAGGATGGAATAATAAGTCAAAGCTTCTTGTGGTGAGTTATATTACTATCAAGTATACCTTCAAATGAAGTGTCCATATTATTATGAATTTGCATTTGGTCGTCTTCTTTCGGAATGATGCTAATTCTCAAGAATCCTTTTTAATCCAGTTATTAGCGGACAAAATTTATTTCTATTTCCCTCATATATAACTTTGTCCCCTAAATAATTAATATTGACCATTTGACACCTGTTTCAGGTGGAGGATTTGACTGCTAGACAAGTTTATGAGAAACTTTTGGAGGCTGTACAACCTTGATGCTGTTTTTTAGCTTTATTATGCATTGGGTCTGGTTTCTGGGACATAAGGGTTCTTGTGCATTTACCATAGTAAGCCAGGTTGAATCTCTTTTTTCTGCAAAACTCTATATTTTTTTTCTTAGTGATAAGGGTTCTTGTGCATTTATCCTTGCTCCCTGGACATTATGTGGGATCTGGATCAGATAAAACTCATTCTATGACCATTGATTAATCAGCAATTGAGTGCTCGAACCAAAATGAGATGTGATTAAATGTGAGAAACTGTTAAAAGTCTACATTGCAATTGAAAAGCATTGCTAACTATGACCATGTGCCAACACATGATTGGATATAGGATAAAAATCTACTTAGTTATGAGAGGAAAGCATCAACATCAATTATTGCGACATATTTATGTTTATACACCTGTTTAGTTGGGATTCACTAAAATATCGAAATTCATCTGGCAAATTAAATGGTTGTTTGTAGTCATATGATTCCCCCCCTCTTTTATAAATGCCAAAAATGTTTTACTGTCTAACCCCATTTGTGTAGTTGCTCAAGAGAAGAAATAAAGATGCAAAAACAACGTAAGATAGGTTTAATGAACAAGTATGGGTGCATCTGCGTGGAAAAATGGATGGTAATAAGTGTATCATCACTGAAAAAATACAAAACAGATGCAGGTTATAAAAGTTGGTCGCAAAATATTAAAATTTGAGTAGATAACTATTTTTACAAATGCATGAAGAGTTTTCTGTAAAATTCTAGCCTTTATGTGGAAAAAATAGAACTTAGCTAATATCTACCTGGCTTTACGAAAAATATAATATACACTAACATGCGGAGGAAAGATTGAGTTTGGAAGAAGTAATTTTCTTTTTCTTTTCCACGTGAATAGAATAATTTTAGATGCAAAACTCATGGCTTTTTGACCCTTTTGCACCTAATTAAATAATTAATAACCAATTTGCCCCTCCCCCAGAATTATACATCATCCTGCCCCCATTTAGTCGATTAAGTTGCACTTTTAATCAACTAAATGGGCTAAACTCAGAAATCATGAAACGCGAATTTTAGTCGACTAAAAACTCACCTTAATCGACTACATTGTTTGCACTTTTAGTCGACTAAGCACATTATTTAGTCGACTAAGCACATTATTTAGTCGACTAAAGATCGCGGAAAACCTTATATCCAGACCTCTCTTGGTCTCATTTTCATTATATTCGAATGTAAAACTCCTCCCTTGGTCTCTTTCTCTTGTTTGTCAGCTGTGAACCTTCCAATCACCCTTCCATTTCATCACACCACCTTTAAGGCATAGTAATTGTGAAATCATTGTCATTTTCCTTTATTTCTCAATTTTTTCCCCCAAATCCGAACCCAAAACCCTAAAATCCGACTAAACCAGTACAGGTTGCTCGACTAAATAACTGGTTTTGACACCCCATTCTGTTTTGCACGCATTTTTTTGGCACGGAACCAATCGAATATCAATGTACACGCATATAATGACTTGGGGAACACACTTTCAGGTACAAAATAGTATTGTACAGGTTATAAACCACGAATGTACATGTATTGCATAAATCTTGGGTTAGGGTATCCGAAACTTGTGTTCTTCATTTAACTCTGTTATGAGCACCTGTTCTGAATTTCATTGGACATTTTAGACCCGTTGGACTGTGATTAGACACAAAATGAAAACAAGAAGGTAAAAGATATTTGTTCCTTCATTTGGTAAACAAGAAAACAACAATAATTACGTAAACGGTTCACAACATGATGGGAACATCAAATAGTTCATTTCATAACCATAATATTACATAAACTACAAATGTCAAATAGGAAGACCGAAGTCAATTACATAACAACATACACTACAAACGTAAAATAGAAACATAAACCCTAAATCTAATCCTCATCCTCCTCGGACGCCGTCTCCTCGTCATCCTCATCTGACACATCAGCCCCCTGCCCTGCAACATCCTCAATCTGCTGTCCTCGTCCAAGCTCTAGACGAGCAAGCCTATCTTCAACACCCTTGAACCGTCCCTGTATATGTCTAAATCTTTCATTTCCCTTCTGCACGTGACTCTTCCTCCATTTTTTGTGTTTCAGCGCCATTTTTCCTATTTTCTTCAGCGTGGCGTTTATGCCCTTCATGACATCACGTAATGAAAACCCACCCTCAGGCTCAGCTATCTCCTGCTGGTCACCCTCATCATCATCGTCATCATCATCCTCCACCTCGGGCTCAACCATGTCTACAACTGGAGCAACATCAGGAACCTCAACATCAGCCGCACCTGTGAACTGCCACACTCCTGTTTGAGGGTTCTTTGTCATCTTGCACTGCTCCAGTAGACGTTTTCCAAACTTATGATTATACCCTGTGGTCTTCTTCAATGTCACATTACCCATGGGAACATCAAAATGCTCCAATATCCTCTGAACAAGACAAGCAAATGGAAGTGCACCCTTGTGTTTGGCCTTATACATCATCCAACAGATGTAGTGCCTCCAGTTCACCGAAGTATCATGTCGTATAGCCCACATGATGGGAATGTCATGCTCCAACACCCTGGAATGATTGAACGCTCGCGGAAACAGAATGTGGGTGATGACATAGTGTAGTATGTGAGACTCCACAGTAAGCAACCCCACCGTATAGGCAATGTGTTGCCCACCAACTCTTCTCTGCTCCTGCACGGCATCACCGCGTGTATATCCTGGAAGTATGGTTCCGTTGTCTGCGTCATATTCCACAGTCTGCGCAGAATCAAAGTCATACCCCAGTAACTCCAACCATACCGGAGCCGTCATGATGATCTCCACCCCGCAGACCCTAGACCTCAGCTCACCCTGATGGTAGCTGAGGTTATGGTAGAAGGCCCGTACATGCAGCTCAGAATATGAACATGACAGTTCAGCCAAGGTCCTGAGATGTGATTCCTCCAACCACCTCACAATGTTAAAACCTTCTTGTTCAAAAAAGGCTGTATCAAGTGATTTGGCCCCACAAATCAGTCGGTTAACAAAGTCACGGACAAAAGATTCATGAACCACCGGGTCATTCTCGAACAAGTATCCGAATGGGAGGTCGACAGCAGCGGGGTCTTCCTCTTGTGGCCTTGACGAAGACGGACGATCTTGTCGTAGCTTCTGTCGCCTCTCATTTCCAGTGCTAGACGATCTTCTACGGCCAGCCATGGAACAACTGTACCTCCTACAATGCAAGTGGAAACAAAAATCAATGAACAATAACAATATCAAAAAATTTAAAATTCAATATAAAAAACAAAACCTAATCCTAAAATAAAACAGAAACCCTAACCCTAACCCTAAAACAGAAACCCTAACCCTGAGCCTGACCCTAACCCTAACCCTAACCCTAACCCTAACCCTAGCACATCACAAAAACCCATTCATTGCCCTAACACTACAACCCAAACAAAACAGCAACATAAACCCTAACCCTAACATAACCCTAACTCTAAGCCTAAGGCACCACATCAACCCTAACCCTCACCCTCACAACAAACTTAGCACCCTACCCCTAACCTAAATCCACAAAACCGCAAACAGAAATCAAATGCATGGAGAAAAAAAAAAAAAAAAACTAAACTTAAAACCAAATGCAAGTCAGAATACGTTACCCCTAAATGTCGATTTCGCAAGTGTGAACCAAGGAAGCTTCAATCGCACCTTCAAGGGTTGAGATTCAGACTTGGTTGGAGAGAGGGGACGGAATGGAGCGATTTAGTCGATTAGGGTTTGAAAATAACCCCCTTTGCGAAATGGGGGGGGTTTTAAAAAACCTGATCTGCGACATTTAGTCGACTAAATAATGTGCTTAGTCGACTAAAAGTGCAAACAATGTAGTCGATTAAGGTGAGTTTTTAGTCGACTAAAATTCGCGTTTCATGATTTCTGAGTTTAGCCCATTTAGTCGATTAAAAATGCAACTTAATCGACTAAATGGGGGTAGGATGGTGGATAGTTCTGGGGGAGGGGCAAATTGGTTATTAATTATTTAATTAGGGGCAAAAGAGTCAAAAAGCCCAAAACTCATAATTCAAATCCTCATAATGCCCAAATAAAATTAAAATTTTCAAATTAAATTTTAAAATTTTGTTCCTAAATACAGAATAGTTCTTTTAACATCACTTCTTTCAACAACAATTTTACTGCTAAACAACATAGACCCTTATTTGGTAAAAAACTCTCGTACATGAATAAATGAAGATTTAGGGTCCATTTGGATGAACTTTTGAAAAGTAAAATAAAATTATAAGTTTTTTTAAAAATCAAAGTTATTTTTTGTTTGGATGCAATATTTAAAAACTACTTTTAAGTAATATATATATATATATATATATATATATATATATATATATATAGGCAGGATCCTTTCACACCGGTGTCAAATTTAAAGTTTGACACCTGACCTGAGAGCCGTTAGATCAAAAAATATAAATGGTGTCACATGCTTAGGAATCAGAGTCATTTATATTTTTTGATCTAACGGCTCTCAGATGAGATGTCAAACTTTAAATTTGACACTGGTGTCAAAGGATCCTGCCTCATATATATATATATATATATATATATATATATATATATATAGGGAAAAACATCTGAATGTTAAAATAAAAAAACATTTGTTTCTTTTGGTCATTTTATCAAGGGAAAAACATTTATCATTTTAAAAGATATAAATTTTATGTCATTTTAAATCTTAATCGTTGATTTTTGTCAATCAACGGTTATAATTTATTGGATCAAACTTAATGGGCCAAATTTATTATTAATTAATTAATAATTTTGACCCAATAAATTATAATCGTTGATTGACGGAAATCAACGGTTAAAATTTAAAATGACACAAGATTATATACTTTAAAAGAACAAATATTTTTCCCTTTAATCAAAGGATTAATGTTCTCATTTTACATTGAGAAATTTTTTTCATGCTATACACAAAATATATGAATCCTGCCTCGGCGACAACCCTTATGTTCGAATGGTTTGTTCACTTTCTCTGAACTTGAGAAGAAGATGGAAGCCAACTAAGGAAGAGATGGGTAAAATGGTCCAAGACGGTATTCCAGTTGCTTTTGCTTCTCCTTTTTTTAAAGAGCCAGGAATTTCAGCTTTTAAAAAAGAGATAAGTGTGTATCGTCTTAGAGTAGGTAAAATTGTATGCTAGAGAAACAGATAGATGATGAGGGAGAGAATGGACAAAAAAAAAAAATGTAAGTTTCACTTCTTTGTGAGAGTGAAATGACACAATTTTTTCACTTTTTTTAACTAACATTTAAATATAAAAAAAATGCAGAAGTACTTTAAAAAAAAACTTTTGGAAGAGAAAATTTTTATCCAAATGTGCTCTTAGTCATTGACAAGATATCACAATATGATTTCATGATGCGCAATCGCTAGGGTATAGATGGGTTGGATTAGGTTAGGTTTTAATTTAAATACGTCAGATTTATATAAAATATTTTGTTCATAGACCTATTAGTTTGAAGTAACCTAAATTATAAGCATGAACATGACCTAATCTATATTGAAAATTCAAAAGGTTTAACATGGAGTTGTTAGCTTATTTAAATCTACCAAATCCTTAATACTATCAAGAATTATAAAAAATAAATGAAATAATATTATTTTATTAATTAAATTATTTAAATATTTATTTTATTTTACTTTAACTAAAATAAGTAAAACGATATAAACCTGCTTCTAGGAATTAAAAACAAAAAAAAAAAACAAAAAACAGAAGGGTTCTTCTTAGCCTAACTTGAATTATTGGTATAAGCTATGGGTTTTATTAGTGTTATGTTACATGATTTAAGTGTTGTTTTCAACACACACAAAAAATTGGAGAGAGAAAGTGGAATGATGAAAGAGAAAGAAAAATATGTGGACCCCACCTCTTTAATGTGTGTAGGAAAGTGATGTTATATCATGTTACATGATAAACATAAAACCCATAATTTTAAGGGAAAATGTTTGTCCTTTTAAATGACACAACTTATATTCTTTCACTCTCACAAAGAGGTGAAACCCACACATTTATATTTTTTTGTCCACTCTCTCTCCTCCTTTATCTATCTCTTTCTCTCACTTAAAATGACACAACTTTACATCCTTTAACATTATACACACTTTTTCCTTAAATTATAGCTAACCTAAGACAAAATCATTATTATATATTGAATAATCTTTAATTAAGTAATTATATTATAAAATTTACTCTCTGTTATATTTGTAACTTTCTACTGTATATATTATATTTGTAAATTTTAAGTTACTTTAAAATTAGTTAATACTTTAGAGATATATGTTAATATTAACCGAATATATATTTTTAAAATGTATAAAAATAAGAATTATTTAATATATGCTTATTGTTATTAAACATTTATAAGATTTGGCATGAATAATTAAGATAATGGATAATTATAACTGTAATGGTTTGGTCGATAAAAATTAGATTTTCTATAAAATTATTGCATAGTGTAAAATAATGGCCCTGTTTTTAAAATTTTCAGATAAGCTCTTACTTTAATTAGAAAAGAAAAAAGAAACCGGAAAAACTTTTTTAAGCTCTGGCGCGTCGGTTAGGGATGTTCATCAATCGATCTAAACCGATTCAAACTGCGGTGACCGAACCGAAAAACCGATAACCGAATAAATCAAAAATCAAAAAATCAAAAACCGAAAAAAAACCTGCAAATTTTAATTGGATTGGATCGGTTTTTGGATGGTTTGATGAAAACCGATCCAATCTAAATCGATCCAATATATTAATTCCCTTCTATCTACTTGGGTCTTTCCTTAATCACAGCCTAAAAATTTCTAAACCCAAGACTCATTACCATCAACTAAACCCAAAAAAAATTTTAATTACATCTCATCAACAAAATTTTATTTTTGTAGATCTTCGTATCTCATTGCCAACAAAAAAAACTATATTATAGTTTACTAATGTTTTTGTATTTAAAAAAATAAAATTACAAAGCCAATATATACAAAAGATGTTATGTACACAATAATGATGAAATAAATTTTAGGATTTTCAAAAAACCGAAAACCGATCCAATCCAAACCGAAAAAAATTGGATTGGATCGGACCGAATTTGAAAAAAATTCAAATCGAATGGATGATTATATGGTCAAACCGAAAGGATTGAATCAGATGATTTTTGCTTCCAAAACCAATCTAATTCAGACCACGAACACCCCTAGCGTCAGTAACGTTGAGATGAGCCTCTCTCTAAATTAGGGTCTGGCTTGAATCTAAGTCACAATGACTAAAATGTCATTTTTTATCAAGTTTTTTACGTGAATGTCACGAGAATAATATTATTCTTCAATATGTCACGTGGATAAATTTATTGGGCACTATAGCGAACTCAATTCGTTGACGGTCACATTTCTAATGGACATCAAGTATTGTAGCAAACTGAATTTATTACGGTGCCTAACAAATTTACTCACGTTACATACTAAAAAATAACATTATTCACATTACATTTAAGTAAAAAACTTTAAACAATGAGATTTTAGTCGGTGTTCCTCGACAATGAAATTTTGGTCGGTGTTCCTCGATATAAGCTCTTCTATTCTATTCTTCTTGCTTGGATTGTTACACGTTCTCCATGAAAGCCTATAGATGTGGTGACATCACAATACTTTTTTTTTTTTTTTTTTTTTTTGGTATTCACAATACTAGTTTGCTCATAGTATGCATGACATGACACAACTTTTGTTTTTTGTTTTTTTTGGATTTGCCACGTCAACTGATTCAAAATGCTGAACACTTACTTTTCATCTAATCTATAACAATAGTAATTGAAACAGATCTCTAATAGAAACTTACTTTATTTTGACTTTAAATATGAAGAGAGAGAGAGAGAGAGAGATACAGGATGCTATGCTTAATGCTTGTACTCAAATATAAAGGAAATACATAAAAAAAGAAGGAACTAACAACATCTGGAGCAAGACCTTCCAAGACTTGACTCTTGTTGATTCCAAAATGACCTCCTCACCTCACTGTCACTGAGCATCCCCGTTTACCCCGAAACCAACAACAGAATCCTTGACATTAATTTTATTTATTCTCTCAAGAATTCCCTTAACTGCTATATCAAACGCATCTTCCAAGCTCCTCAGTCTAGAATTCGGATGGCGATATATTATTCTCGGAATAAGGCTTACAACTTGCTCTCTCAGGGCCAATACTTCCCTCATAGGGATTCGTGACAATGTCTCATTGATCGGTCGTCCTTTTTCCTCAACAAGATCCTTTTCTGGTATGAATACAGAGTATGCAGAACCGTTTTTGGGAAAATGCCACAAATATTGGGAATAAGCCGAATCTGGGTGAAAGAAAACAGGAATGCAACCCGCCAAAATGGAGTCAAACGTTGACCGCCTCGTATAGGAATCCCCCGGAGGCTGTAAACAGAAAATGGAACTCTGAAACACCTTCATAACACTCAGAGGATCATGACAATATTTTTTACCTAATAGTTTGCAGCTCGTAGATGATTGGCATTGTTTGATAATCTCACTTCTGATGTACCAAAAATGTGAATAATTAGAATTAGGCCTGGGAGCACCCACGAATGAAAATAGGTAAGGCCTCTTCACTCTTGTCATTCTTTTCTGCCACTCAAAAACCTCCACATCCTTGGAAGGATGGAAATAGGTTGGATATGGAATTGAGAATTCATTATCATATAATAAACTGAACTGACTCTGAGTTTGAGTTTGAGTTGGATTTTGAGTGGATTCAATTGGCAAAAAAGACATGTTGGTTGCTTCTGGCAAAAACATAAACTTGGTTCCCCAGTCAGATTCATTATCTGTTTTTCTCCTGAAATCCCAACTAATCCTCCCTACAGCCATGAAATGATCTCTGCCCCATTTTCTTTTCCATTGGGGCTGTTGTGCCACCCACTTCACTAGTTCCTTTGGAGAAGCATCTCTCGTCGAAACATTAGAGTCCCATAGGTACTGAACCACATCAAGGCCAGCATAATAGGGTACATATATTGCTGAAGCCAATGAAGAATCATTGGTTAAGCACTTGTAGTGCTTCATTATGTTATGGAAAATTACTTCTAGTGTAAATTGATTAGTGTCATACCAACTATCCTCAGACATCACCTTTCCATTTGGTTTCTCGGAAATCTTATGTCCAAGGCCTGAGTTAGAGACGTAAGGGCACATATCAGTCCACTTCATCAGACTGTGGCAACCCTTCAACAAATCCTCATTGAACCTGCCAGGAAGATCATAAACATATATATATTGGCCCCAACAACGATCCATATTATCGTTGACAATGGTGATGTTCTCTAAGTGATTGGTTTTTTCAGTTTCATTGAAATTGCTTGCTTGAGTATCACTGACAACCAAATAATCCAATAAAAACAATGTCAAACAAAATACAAAGGAGCACAGAAACACAAACCGCATTGGACCAAAGTGTTTGTCCATCTTCTGGTTATGAGTGTAGAGATTCATTGAAGCTAGCTAGAGTATATATGATATTGACATTGCACCCCCCTAAGGGGCAGATGGAGACATATTTATTTTCTAGCACAATTATTAAATTCAAGTTGTCTTTTTTTTTTTTTTTTTTTTTTTTTAGGTTTCAAGGAATTGAACACAACACCCTACACTACACACACTCCTAACACACACACCCCACACCACTAAGCTAACCCTAGTGGTGCAAATTCAAGTTTTGTCTTGTTCTGCAACTTTAACGTTTTTATTATGATATATTATTATATTATGACTTTAATTTTTTTATATCAATATTTTATTGTATAATTTTGTTTATCAAACTCCTTCCATAAATTAAAATGATGAATAATCTAATTAGAAATTAAAAATGGGATAAGGATTATTGAATGTTAATAAATAATTAAGGGCATGTAAAATTTCTCAATTATAACCTTAGAAAATTACCGCTCCATAAATCTTGGATTCGCTTTAGGAAAAAAAAAAAAAGATATCGAGGAGCCGATATTATAAAATTAAGTATATTATAAGAGAAATGATCCGTTTATAAATTGTTTTTACAAATTATACTAAGTATGGCCGGTCATACACTATTGATTGAAGTATGACCAATCATACTTAGTGTAGTTTGTAAACAAAAAATTTATAAATATAACCTTCTCCATATTATAATTTTGTTAAGGTTAAATATAATATATTTTTAAATATCATAAAGTTTATTACAAATTGAATTAATGTCAAATTTTTGTGTATTTTTTATGACAAAAGGAAAAATAACGGGAAGTTTGGGAATTAAATGAGGAGATTTTTTCAAATTGAAATATATAAATTTATTTCTCCAAAAACAAATATATATATATATATATATATATTATATATATATATTTATATGAATTTATTAATTAAGTCATTAATGTTGACACTAAGAGATCTGCCTTTTTTGTCTTAAAGTCAAACCCAATTAGAGATCTTCCTAAAATACCCATTTGAATATATGCAATAATTGTTAAAAAATTTAATTTTAGGATTTTGTTAACTTCAGAGTTGAATACGAATCACGCTTATTAGTTCTCTTAATTATTTATAGAAAAGCGTAATAATTACTTTTAAATAATTATGATTTTTCATTAAATATTTTTATTTTTATTTTTTAAAATGTAATAGGCAAATCATTTATTATTTGGGTCAGAGATTTCAGCCAAATACGAATCACACTGTTTTTTTCTTTTATTTTTTTTTTTGGTTTGAGTAAGTTCAAATAGTATTCATTTGACATATAAAAATAGTTCAATTGTCGTGAAAAGTAAAAGAAGAAAATAAATAATAAAATAGCCGTAAACCCTAGCACTTAAATTTAAATAGCATGAGGATCGACTTTCCCGTCCAGCCATCGGTTATACGATCCATAATAGCCACCGCCACCTCCTAAGTTCACTGCCCAATGATTCATTCACGTGATAACTGGTAAGTAAATCTTAGGCTAAGTGATAAACAACTTTATCGAAAATGAATTGTATATATAAAAAATATATATATATATATATATATATTTACAAACTTTTATAAATTATATTATGTTTGACCGGTCATACATTAATTAAAAATATATGAATGATCATTTTTAATGTAATTTGTAAACAAAAATTTATAAACGGATCATTCTTCTTCGTCACTAAATCACTTTTACTGCCTTCATATGTGTGTTTTTTTCATCAGTATGATTTATTCTTAAATTTGATCCTACCTAATTTCAAAACAATTTTTACTCAATTTATCAACGTGTAAATTTAAAAGCAATAAATTTATAATTTTAAAGAAATAATTTATCAGCGGATAAATATTTCATGTAATTGAAATGGAAATACATAAAAAAATCAATATAAAAACAAACCTTATATATATAATTGAAATACATTGTATCATTTTCCATATAATTGGACAAACAATGTAATGACATATTCTAAATTGATTTTATTACACTATATATTTTTTTTTTAATTGTCTATAATTTCATTCGGTATTATTTTCTTAAATTTTATTACACAACAAATCATAAATTTATTATTCTTTAATTTTAGATTTTAATGATCAGAATCAGTCTTACTGACTGAGACATTTATATATCAATTGATTTCATTATTTTATTTTACTTTATTAATTTATTTTTTAAAATGAGCTTTTTACTTAAGTTCTCGTGTTGGTACTTGTTGCATAATTTGTAAATTGTAATTAACTTTTAGGCTCATTAAGATTTTTTAATTAATTTAATACATATTGAAACTCAAATTAAATTTAACTAATTATAATTAATATTTTCAAATGGAGACATTTATTTCTTTATTTATGTATTATAATTTTTTCAATAATTTATCGTGTTGACACCTATCATGTTCCTCATTTATATTTTATAATTAATTAATATCAACATTCTAAATTGATATAATTTTTAAATTTATTATGTTAAATTTTTAATTGAAATTTTCATTGTCATTTTTTTCTTTTTTACTTAATTTCTTGTATTAGCAGGTGTCACATTTGTCATCAAGATTATTGTTTTTTAGGATAGGTTATTCTACCTACTATTTTTTCTGCCTACCTCTGCCTAACACCCTTCAACACCGTTAGATCAGAATCTCAAGAAGAGAAAGAAAGATAAATGTTAGTTAAGATTTTGATCTAACGGTGTTGGAGGGTGGTAGACAAAAAAATGGTAGTAGAATAACCTATTTTTTATATATATATATACAAATTTTTTTTTTAAGTCAAATGATTTTAGCACGTAACCTTTATTAAGTTGGAAATATTACAATGCCCGAGAGTTGTTGTTAATATAATTTTTATACAAGAATAAGAAATTTTACTTTCCACCATTATAATTTATTAAATATAAATATAATTTAATAAATTATGATGGTATAAATTATGAAAGTCAATTATTGAGATAAAAATAACTTATTATTTTAAAAATATTTATTAATTATGACGACTCGAATAACCCTGGAGTTTCAAAATCAGACCCCATACCACCACTCTTCTCCAATAATTCTTCTCAGGTACTCCATATTCACCTTCGTTGCCGATGATCCAAAAGACATTATTCAAAGAAATTTATTAGAGTTCACTCTTAAAGAAAGAAATAGAAGTTATAAATAAAAAATATAAACATTTAAATATATTAAATTTTTTTAAAAATAAATATTTTATTTTTAGACAATTAGGTCAGGATAAACTTTAAGAATATGTTTGGCTTTAAGAATATGTTTGGCTTTTTTTTTAAGTTAAAAATTACTTTTAAATTAAAACTAGAAATAAGTGTTTAAAAAAATTAAAAGTTGTTTGATTATTATATAAAAAATTATATATAAATTATTTTAAAATTAAAACTAAAAATAATTTGTTTAGTAAAGTAACATTTAACTTTTTTTTTAAAAAGCTTCTGTATATTTTTTTTAAAAAAACTTTCTTCATGAGAGTTTTTTTTTTTTTTTTATTCAGTATGAATTGTTTTTCTTTATGATAATAATTTTTATAAAAATATACTTGGCTAAGTTTATTCTTTAAAAAAATAATATGATATTCTACCAATTTTACTTGCTTATATCTAACATCGTTGGATCATAATCTTAATTAACTTTCACTCTTTCTTTCTTTTCTAGAGACTCTGATCCAATGGTATTGGAGACGAGTAGGTAGAATAGGCAGAAAAAAAAGGGTAGGCATAATCATTTATGAGTTTGTTTTTTCTAAAGTTACTTTAGATATCTTTATCTAATGTTCATCGAAACGACGTCGTTTTGAGGCGGAAATCATGGTGTATTTGTAATTTTAATTTATTTCAGGGTTATAATAGTCTTTTTCATTCTAATTTTTTAATTTTTCAATCTCAAAACGACGTCGTTTCGATGAACATTAAATAAAGTTATCTAAAGTAACATTAGATATTTTTTCTCATAATTTATACTTTAAAAATGAAAAATAAAAAAAGACAAATAAATACTAAAAATTTGACATTTATTTTCTCAACTAAATTTTCATAATGAGCACTTATCTTGCTTGATTTCATACGGAGATAAAATTTTAACTTATCAAATTTAAATAATTAATTAGCTTTTAAGGGAAATTAAGTTGTAATTAAGAAAACAAGCTCTATTCTTTTTATCTTGAACATGAATCAAACATAGTCGAACTTACACGTATTTTCAACCTTACTCGCCCATATGCTAAGTGATCGTGCCTCCATGATCATTTTTTCGTATCAGTTGCAAAATGTCAAAAAAAAATTCAGTTGAGCTCAAATTTTTATATTTTTATGTAAAAAATATGGGGAAAAGTATTTATAATTTTAAAGGATAAACTTTTGGATTATATTTACTGATTTTTTATATTTTCACTCCTCCACAAAACTAAAGGAGAGGGAAAGAAATAATATTATGAAAGAGAGAAGATAAAAAAAAGCATCAAAACACAATCGTTTCATTTAAAATAACATAAAATTTTAAATTATAAATATATTTCACAAAGAATATACATAATCTTTTTAAATTGAAGATAATGGCTGACTTTATAAAAATAAGATAAACAGTTTTTAGGAAAATGATTAAAGAAATTAAACGTGCAAAACCTTCCTATCAAAATAGTACTGAAAATAAAATGGATTATAACAAACTCAATGGAAATAAGTTATTATAAATATAAATAGGCTGTTGTAGTTTGAATGTCAAATAAGTTTATTTTTGAAAGTGTTTATGTTATTACACGAGATAAGATTATCTTCAATAACTTTAAATAATTTATTTTAGGGTTTAGGAAAAAATAAAAAATATTTTAAAATTTTTATTTTTCTCTCATATTATAAATTTTGCAAAAATATTCTTATTAACAATTTTTTTTTAAATTTGAATTCAAATTAATTTAACAATTTATTATGTTACCTGAAATTTAAATTCTTCATTAATTATATGTTATACATGTGGTTGTTATGTAAAGCAGCGTTTGGTACATGAGAAAAAAAATGTACGTGAGAATTACAATTTTCAAAAATATGATAGGTAAGTGAATTTTTTAAAAATGTTACCAAAAAAGCTATTTGATAGGCCAAAAATTTTCCATGAATATTGGCTCAATTTTTTCTGATTCTACATTTAGTTGATCGTAAAATATTGATAAGAATGTGAACGAATTTATAAAATTAACCTCTAAGCCTTTTTTTTATTCAGCCTCATTTTTTTATTTTTTTTGAAGATATTTCAATCGGTTAATCACTTCACAACTAATCGGGAATTTGGGGCGAGTCTCGAGATTAATGCTTTAAACTGATCCCAAAAATAGTATTAGGCAGGATCAAACACATACTCTAATCCCAACCTACTCAATTTTCTGACGCCAACTGAGCTATCATCATTTACAAACTCTTATAAATTACACTATATTTTACGACATAATGTAGTTTGTAAAAAAAAAAAAAAATTGTAACCGTTCTCCAAATTAAATTTATATACTAGTATCTAATAAGTATAATGGTAAGTGGATAATGAACAAGGGATAATACTAATAGTGAAAATGGTACGATTATCTTATTGATACCGGATTGGCGGTTTGATTTCTAGGTGAACCGAGCCGGGGAGGTCTAGTTGTAAAAACAGTTATGCAAGTGTAGCAGTGGAGGGGGAAATGACGTGCAAAAAAAAAAATATCAGAGAGGAGTAGCAGAAAAATCTTTGGTTGAGAGGAGTAGATTAGAATAGAATACATTTGTTGAGTTGAGCCGTTGAATTGTAATCCAGTAGCACTAGTACCCACCCACGTGTCTTGGGATTGGGATGGGAGAAGACAAAACAAATTAAGTTGCTTCTGCTGCTGCCTATACTCACTCACTCAGATACTCTCCCAGTCTCCCCTAAACCCCAATTCAATGAATCATTGAGTTAAGAGTGTTGAGTGCAAACCAAGTAGGGAATGGATTCTTCTGTGCGTGTATTGCACTGCCAATTGCAGATCACCCATCCTTCTCGGAACCGTAAGCAATTCAGATTCCACCTTCCCTCATCCTTCTCCATCCCTCGAATCCCTCTTCTTCTTCACCGTCACAATCACAATCACCGTCACCGTCTCCGTCTCCCTCCTGCACTTGTCTCCTCCACACAAACTAGGTCTACTCTCTCTCTCTCTCTCTCTCTCTCTCTCTTGTTCCTTCTTCTCTTGTAGCTTACTATTACACACACAACACAACACAACATTGTTATTGTTTTCCCCTTAATTCATGTTAATGCTATGATTGATAATAGACTAGGCTAGAACTCGTAACTCATTCGTAACTCATGAATGTCTTTGCTTTTCCCAGGGAAGAAGGAAAGAAAAAAAGCACGAAAGAGAAAGTCATGCTGCACGTTCGATTAGATCACCAAGTTGAGTTTGGTAATCATGTTGTCATTCTAGGATCAACCAAAGAATTGGGATCGTGGAAGAAACATGTTCCCTTGAAATGGACACCGGATGGATGGGTATGCGACTTGGAATTAAAAGGGGGCGACCACATTGAGTTTAAATTCGTGATAGTCAGCAACGACAAGAGTTTACTTTGGGAAACTGGGGAAAATAGAGTCTTCAACTTGCCCGACCAAGGTCATTTTGGGACTGTTGCTACATGGAACGCAACGCACGAGAATTTGGAGCTACTACCTTTGGATCATGCCCATGCCCATGCCAGGGATGAACAAGATCACAACAATTTCGGATATATTGAGTCTGATGAGGAGGCTAATGGTGCTCCTCCTCCTCTTTTGGAAGCAGAGGCAGAGGCAGAGCCAAGTCCTTTTGTTGGACAGTGGCAAGGTAAAGCTATTTCTTTCATGCGATCCAACGACCATCGGAGCCATGAAGCAGAAAGAAAATGGGACACTTCGGGTCTTGAAGGCTTGCCTCTCAACTTGGTTCAAGGTGATCAAAACGCAAGGAATTGGTGGAGAAAGGTACCGCAATTCATAATTTTCTGATTTATTCAACTGATACCAAAATTCTTATTATATAATATTGTTCGTATTTTATACCTTTATTTTCAATCTGTAAAGCTGTCTCCTGCAAACTCTCTTTCTAGTTTTCAGTTATTTCTTTCCTCTAGTGTTATCATTTTAAAAGTCAACTGCTGTAAAATGCCTGTTGTAAAAATCAATAGCTTTCCGTTTTAACCAACCTACTAACTTTTACTACAACTTTCACTTTGAAGCTTGAAATTGTACGTGATATTATAGCTGAAAGTCTGCAAGGGGAAGATCGATTGGAGGCTCTCATATACTCTTCTATCTATCTGAAGGTCTTGTTCTGTCTTGTCCTCTGTATTGACATTGATTCATCTATGCTCTTCTTATATCATCATCATCCGAGCCCTTCTTGCATCATCTTACGCAGTGGATAAACACGGGGCAGATAGCTTGTTTTGAAGATGGAGGTCACCACCGGCCCAATAGGCATGCTGAGATTTCAAGGCTTATATTTCGTGAATTAGAGCAACATACGAGTCGGAAGGATATATCACCCCAGGTGATTTTTTTATTTTTTGTAAACAATGATGTTGAAGGGTATCCTTTTTGGTTCTCTATCCCAGTCCTGATTGATTAATAGCTGTTAATGTGTTGCTGATATTTCACAAGACTGTATGAGGGTATTTCAGCCATTGGCTCTATATTACTTTCAGTAACCTTTTACACGTGTATATCTAGTGCCTGACTGAATTGAGCCACGGCTTCAACAAATTTTGTTCTCTCTTTTCTTTTCTCTTCTACCAATAACAATGAACTTTGATATGGGGATAGCTTGGTAGTTATTAAATTTTGGCCTCATTTCTGGTTGGTACTATATTGAAAATTGTACAGCTCAAATGCAGTCAATTTGTTTCATATCTACTTAATGTGTTCCTAGTCCTACCTTTTTAGCAGTCGTTATGACTTAGATGATGTGCTTAGGTATAGCTATGTACTTTTAAATGTCTGATCTTCATTCTATGTAAATTGTCTGAGAATTGGAAATTGCTCCAACAGTGTTGCTAATGTAATTGTTTTCATTTGCCACCTTTTATATCTTGCTGTCTAATAAAGTTTATGCCTTACTTGTTTCATTTACCATAAATTCATTGACATACAGGAAGTTCTAGTCATTCGTAAGATTCATCCATGTTTGCCATCTTTCAAAGCAGAATTCACTGCATCTGTTCCTCTGACTCGAATTAGAGATATTGCTCATCGAAATGACATCCCGCATGACCTCAAGGTTGTTTTCCCCCACGTACTTGAACTATGTAATCTCATTGTAGTTTAATGTTAATAATAGGTCAGCTATTTTATGTATTGTTTATTTCCAGTTACAAATTAAGCATACAATTCAAAACAAGCTTCACCGAAATGCTGGTCCTGAAGATTTGGTTGCTACAGAAGCTATGCTTGCTAAAATCACAAAGAACCCTGGAGAATATAGTGAAGCATTTGTGGAGCAGTTCAAGATATTTCATCGAGAACTCAAAGACTTCTTTAATGCTGGCAGGTTTGACCTGAATATCACAAACCTGACTCATATTAAATGTAGATTTGTTTTATGTTTCTTCCCCAGATCAAAATCTCTTATTATGATATGATATTTTAATTTTATTTAAACATTGTGTTGTTGTCATCTCTTGGAAACTTTCTTCATGATCACAGCCCCATCATTTGAATACACAATTAGGCTGTAAACTAATAATAGACTGATCATGAAACTTCATGCATTTGTTGACAAGAAAATCTGCATTTTGAAGTAATCATATGTTTCCATAAGTCAGAAAATCAACTGGTTGAGCACTAGGTACTTGTATCTCCTCCTTGGAGGTCTCATGTTCAATCCCATTGGAAGCAACTTGCTCAGACGGCTCCAATGAAAAGGGTAGCCCGGTGCATTCATCTCCATCTAGTGGAGTCTGGGGAGTGTCATATGCATGCAACCTTACCCATGTGTGGAGAGGCTGTTTCTAGGACTTTTACCTGTGGGCTGTGACCACTAAGGTCACAAGACAGCAACCTTATTGTTGCACCAAGGCTGGCCGACTCTTGTGAAGCCTCAAGTCGTGGGGAACAAAAAACAGCGAACCTCATTCTGTTATGTAACAATATTGGAATACACTTTTGAGTGAACACACTATACTAAACCTCAAGGGGATATTCAAATCCTTTTGATATCTAACTAATTGGTTGCTGGAAAATCATAATTTTGATGATTTCACTCATGACTTTGTCATGTTGCAGTCTTGCCGAACAGCTAGAATCAATTCGGGAATCCATGGATGAATATGCCATGTCAGCACTTAATTCATTCTTGGAGTGCAAAAAGGTGAATTTTCTTTTTCTGATTATCTTGCATTTTTATTTCTTGATTTGGTCTCAGTCTAAGGGTTTGACTCTGGAATGTTCTAATGATGGAATATGGATTTACGAGTTGAAATTATATGCAGAAGTAATCCGATCAGTCTGTTATGGTGCTTCAACTTTAAGATTGAATTTTATGTTTGAATTTTCTCTTTCAAAAGTCCTCTTAATCCATATCCTTGAGCTAATCATTGTCCTTCTGCTATTTTCATTGAGCTACATACAAACTAGTGTTGCGTTGAGGACCCTGGAGTGTTCTACATTCATTTTTTGTGCCATTTGTGGTAGAGTTCTACATTCATTTTAGCTGTTTCACTAGTCTGGTTCCAAATAGAATTTTGAAACGTGTCAGCTCGTGGTTTCTTGTGGACAGGGTCTTGTCTTGTCTTTTGTAACTGCAATGGGAGTGGAGGCTCTGTTGGTGGGGAGAACTGAGCCGTAATTAGAAAAACAAAATGTATCTTTGTGAATTAGCATCTAATTTTGGATGTAACATATTATCTTCTATGATGCATTACTCTCTCAACCATTTACTATCTCTCCCTTCTCTTTTTGTCCAAATACTTCTCCCAAAATTATAGATATGGCATAAGAATAACTTCTGAATAATTAATGCTCATCAGACTCAGAATGAAGGTGAAATATTGTGGTTGTCAAGCTGTTGCTTGGATAAGAAGTCTCTCTCCTTTCCTTTTTTTTTTTGGGAGGGAGGGGAATGAGTACTGTGGATTCTTTTAATTACAATAACGTCTATTGATAAGGGACAATGTTTTGTACTTCTCCAGAATATGGATGCTGCGGCAGAATCAACTACTGATGCAGAAGAAAAAGGAATTAGACTTTTATTTAAAACCATGGAATCGTTGAATGCTTTGAGAGAAATTATTGTAAAGGGCCTTGAAAGTGGCCTCAGGAATGATGCTCCAGATTCCGCAATAGCTATGCGTCAAAAGGTGACATTATTTTATTTAATTATTTAGCAAAAGCTTGAGTTTGATAGGTATTTACAGAATGCTGGAACATCTTTTCATTCTTGTTTTTTTGGAGGTACAGTGGCGCCTCTGTGAGATTGGACTTGAGGATTACTCATTTGTTCTTTTAAGCAGGTTCTTAGCACACCTTTTCCTACCTTACCCTTTGAACAATTGTCATATACTCAGATGTTGAATGACACTTGTGAAATATATGAAGGGCACGTGATTGTGCAAAAGGCATGGAGTACTTGTTAGCTACTGAGACAATACTAGATGCCATTAGAATATAATGCTTATTTACTCTAATTATATGCTGATAGATGTTTATTAGACCTTAAATTTATTTAAAGAACTATATCAACTATCTTGTACTTTAGAAGGGAAAGTGTTACGGATAAGAAGGATAATAAAGAGAATCAAAAGGGTTGGAAGATGTATTCCAGAAGAAATAAAAATCCGACTTAGTTAGTTATTAGTCAGTTAGTTCTTTGGGGTTGACATATTGTTTAAATAGGAAAGGTAAGTCTGTTTTAGGGGGTATCTGATGTATTAGTTTGTAATTGAATGAGATTCTCTCATTGTGAAGGGAAGTGTTCCCTTGAAAGTCATCTGTAGTTGAGCGAACATAATCAATAAAGATCTCTTCTTTCCTTTCTTCTCTCTATTCTTGATATCTGTAATTGTTATTCTGTTGTGAAACCATAATAAGAAGTATATGAAATTTCATGTCAAAATTAAATAATCGCAAATGATAGAAATGTAGTGAAATCAAGCTTCCTAGATTCTCCTGATAAGGATGTAGTATGATTGAACCTTGTAGAACTTGTTTGATGGAGATATAGAACTTTTCCAGCTGCACAATACTTGTAAATTGTAATTGCAACACCTTTCTCTTGGTAACGCATTGACTTCTGAAGTCATATGAATAGATTTCTCAATGTGCTTGACGTTATGGGAGGTGCTCGTTGGTTGGCTGCAAATGTGCAGTCCAAAAATGTAAACTCATGGAATGATCCCCTTGGGGCCCTTATTATTGGAGTCCACCAGCTGAAGTTATCAAGTTGGAAGCCTGAAGAATGTGATGCTATTGAAAATGAGCTCATTGCCTGGAGTAAAAGAGGCCTTTCTGAAAGGGAAGGTAGCTTTCTTCGGTCTTTGCTCAAATTGTTGTCCTGTTAAATCATTGTAGACAATGTTGACTTATTTTTCATTTAAAATCTACTCTTTTTTCTTCCAGGAAATGAAGATGGCAAGACGATTTGGACATTGAGACTGAAAGCCACCCTTGATAGATCAAAGAGGCTAACTGATGAATATACTGAAGAACTTCTTAAGATATTCCCTCAAAAAGTCCAGGTCAAAGAGTAATATTATTGTTCTGTTAAAGGCCTGATATTTGATTGCCCAATGCAAAAAATTACTGAACCCATAGCATATAAACTGAAGCAAAAGTACAACCAACACTAGGGAATACAAAAACTACAAAAAGTCCCTAGACTGAAAATATATTATTAAATAAATAAACAGTTTGATAGTCGTAATACCCCTAAATAATTGTGTTGTGTCCTACTCGGATCTTTGAAATTTTACACTCAGCCCTGTGATAAAAAATAAAGCAGAATATTGAGACAAAGTCATTCCAAACTTAATGAATCTTGATACTGTTGCATCCTTCGTTTCAAACCTAAAAATGTACAAACCTAAAAGTGAACGTGTTGTGATACTGGTACTGTTTGGTTTTTGAAGCCAGGTTCCTCTTCATGAATGCATATATATTTTGAAATAAACAAAGTTATCGCTTTCAATGTTGCAGATGCTAGGCAAAGCTCTAGGAATCCCGGAAAATAGTGTCAGGACATACACGGAAGCTGAGATTCGTGCTGGGTATGATAACGGATTATCCTTTGACACTTCATTAATAGAAAATTTACAGAAATCATAGTCTAATGTTTTCACTACTATCTGTGGTTTCTTGTCATATTTATCCCTAGACTGTGGATTTCATTACCATAAATATAACTAGTATATTAACTAACTTTTCTACTGTAAATTCTTAGTGTGATTTTTCAGGTTTCAAAACTATGTACTCTTCTTCTAAAGGCTGTTAGAAGCACACTTGATTCTCAAGGTTGGGATGTTCTTGTTCCAGGAGCTGTTATAGGAACATTGGTTCAGGTACTGAGTTTCAAGATTGCACCGATACGTTTTATTTTACAAAAAATGTGTATCGGACACCAACACGTTCCGACACGATTTTTTTAAAATCTAAATTTTATTTTATTTTATTTGTTTAACTAAATCAACATCAACATCAACAACACCTTTATCCCAAATTAATTGGGGTCGGTGGTAGATGAACCCACATAAAAGATACAAAACGGTTGAAAAAAAGTAAAAAAAGCAAAAAATAAATAAATAAATAAATAAAAATAAACAAATAGAAAATAAAAATAAAATAAAATAAAATAAAAATATATGTATATATAAATAAATAAAAGTAAAAAAAAGAAAGGGACCAGAAGAAGTGGGGGAAATGAAGGGGAGAAGGACTAAAAAGGGACCATCTGGAACATAGGAATAACAACGGGTCTAACCCTCCACCATACTTATAGCTTTTCTCCATTCCGTTCTAAGACATACTGTCCGCCAATCTATATCCCACTCCATTAAATCTTGTTTTACTACCTTCCCCCAAGTAAGCTTCGGCCTACCTCTGCCTCTTTTTGTGTTTAGCTCTTGGTAACAAACTTCTGTTCTTACAGGGGCATCCATGGGTCTTCTCATCACGTGCCCAAACCACCTCAATCTATGTTCTCTCATCTTCTCGGCTATCGGTACTACTCCGACCTTTCGTCGAATATCTTCATTTCTTATCTTATCCATCCTTGTGTAACCACACATCCACCTTAACATCCTCATCTCTGCTACTCCCATCTTATGCTCATGTTGCCTATGTGTTGGCCAGCATTCCGCTCCATATAGCATTGCCGGTCTTACTGCCGTTTTATAGAATTTTCCTTTTAACTTCAAGGGGATTTTGCGGTCACACAAAAATGCAGATGCACTGCGCCATTTCATCCACCCTGCTCTGATTCTGTGATTTACATCCTCATCAATCTCTCCACCGTTTAGTAAAATGGAGCCCAAGTATTTTTAACTAAATATGAAAAATTAATTTATAACTCAAATATTTTTTGTTATGGAATTTGATATGAAAAATTAAACAAGGCATGAAATTTATTTTTGCTTTATATTTATGTTATGGAATTTGAATATTTGATTAGTTATATGACTTATTATGAACTGCTATATGTATTAAATGTAAACTATATTATCAACATCAACATCAACATCAACAGCACATTTAACCCAAGCAATTATAATTGGGGTCGGTGGTAGATGAACCCAACGATAAATACGAGGAGATTAAAAAATAAAAAAATAAAATAAAATAAAAAAATAAAATTAAAATAAAAATAAAAAATTGGGGAAGGGGGAATAAGATAAAAGACAAGGAGGGGAAAGAAAGAGAGGGGGGATTAAAGAGGAAAAGAACTAAAAAGGGACCATCTGGAACATAGGAATAACAACGGGTTTAACCTTCCACCCTATTTATAGCTTTTCTCCTTTCCGTCCTAAGACACACCGTTCGTCAATCTATATCTCATATTAAGTTTTTTTAATATATTATATATATTTAAAATATTATTTAATATGAAAACGTGTCCTAGTACGTCAAAATTTTAGAATTAACGTGTCGGCATATCGTGTCGTGTCCCGTGTTGGTGTTGATGCAACATAGCTGAGATTCATTTAGAAATATCTCGTATAGTGTTATTACGATAGTTGCTCTGTGTGTGTGAGAGAGAGAGAGAGATCTTTAGAGAACTCTTATTATTGAATTACAGAAGTGAATAGGTGTCTTAAAAACACTACTTCAAGTTGGATCATAAATGATAATAATGCTTAATTTGTTGCAAATCTCATTATGCAGCAATGATACATTTCTTACCTTTCCACAATACCAAATTTCCTTCAAAAAAACCTATCTACTGACCATGATCACTATATAGAATGCCACTGGTGTCCTTTAAGATATTCTTACAACAAATTGCTTCAGTGCGGCCACTAAAAGAAAAGTTAATATTAGGGAATGTCAAGGGTATATAATCCAGCTTGCCAACTAATCTCCAGTTACAGCTATGATTTTTAATTAACTCTCCATCTGCTACAAGTTTCATATTGGGTGTCATATGGAAATTACATAGTCATTCTGGTGCTAAAAAGCTCCCACTCTGTGCAGGATCCACAGAAGGGGCTATAGTAGGCAGTCTTACCTAGCATTTGCAAGTGACTGATTACATGAATTGAACCTGTGGCCTCCGAGTCACATGTTGACAACACCAACTGTTGGGACAAAGCTCCCTTCAAAGAAAATATAGGGTGCCAACAATAAATCTAGAGCGTAATTTCTCTTAAAATCAACCGATTCCTTTGTTTGAAATTTGATGTGCAAGAAGGATTTTAAAGCAATGAAGGTTTCATTGTCACTGCTAGCGATCATTACATTAGCCACATAGGCACATACTCTACAACAAGTAAGGTACACCCCATAGAAGGCTGCTTATAGAGTATGGAACGGTCATAAACATTGTATTAACCAATTACGACCACTTCATTAAGCATTCCAAAGCAGGCTTGGGAGATTGTTTTAAAAAATACCTAGATTTTTGAAAGTCGACAGCCCTTCCTTACTCCCCAAGCAACAAGCCCATTGGTTGTTTCATGTAGACCTCTTCCATCGAATCTCCATGGAGAAATATATTCTTGAAACTGATGAAGTGGCCAATGTTGAGAAGCAAAAAGGAAGATATGTTGACGAATTGAACTTTGGCAACTAGAAAAAATGTTTCAACAGTCAACACATAGTCTAGCTTTCAATTTTGTAATTGACCCATATTTATTTTGACCGGAAAGACCCACTTGCAGCGGCATAGTCTAGCTTTCAATTTTGTAATTGACCCATATTTATTTTGACCGGAAAGACCCACTTGCAGCCTACATTTTTGTGTTAAAAGGAACCAAATGCCAGGTTCCATTTCTCTCCAGAGCCACCATTTCCATCCGCACACCCTCTCACCACCCATCATGGCCCAGAGCCTCTGAAAATTTACACGTGGCAATCAATAGAGTCTGCGGAATTAGTAAAATTACTGCTTCTGTAGACTCAGTAAATTACTAATAGAAAGGAGACAAGTGTTGTAAGACACAAAATAACAAGACATATGAGTACAAGTCTCAAAATTCTTTATTATCAATAATCAAACAAAAATCCTCATTTTGTGGAAAGAGGGGTCTCTCTGGCCCTCCACACCAGCAAAACCTGAGAATAAATAATAATGATATAGATAATAAACTTGGGCTCACTCTACTCCCCCCTCCCCTTCCTGCCTCTCGGAGGTTTACTATGACTAACTTGAATTTGGGTTTCTTTGACCTAGGTTGAAAAAATTGTTCCTGGATCGCTACCATCACCAGTGGAAGGACCCATTATCCTTATTGTTAACAGAGCTGATGGTGATGAAGAGGTACATTTGTACACTTTTTTTTAGACTATACAGAAGTATTAAATATATTAATATTTATAAGGTTGATTACGCTTACAGGTAACAGCTGCTGGGAAGAACATAGTGGGAGTTATACTTCAGCAAGAGCTGCCTCACTTATCTCACCTGGGTGTTAGGGCCCGACAGGCAAGTCTTCTTTCTAAATATCCAATTAATGATTTTGAAGTTTGAACTTACATGTATGTCAATGACATTCATACAGCTATTGTTTATTACAGGAAAAGGTTGTCTTTGTCACTTGTGAAGATGATGAAATAGTTGCTGATATAAAAAGGCTTGTTGGGTCACGTGTGAGGTTATTTAGTCAAGACAATTTTCCCATCAATGATTATTTATTTTGAAAACTGAATCAGTTTTTTTTTTTTTTTTTTTCAAATTATTTTGATAATATTGTGAACAGATCCAATGTTTTTCATTTTCTCCTTTTCTACTTTCATTTAAACTTTCAGGTTGGAAGCATCCACTGCCGGTGTTAATTTGACGTTGTCCTCTTCAGTTGACCCTGATGGCAATTCTTCCGTTAAAAGTGCTTCTGATGACAGTTTCTCTGGAGTTGAGGTTCCTTCTTTCTCTGCTGGTAGAATTTCCAATTTCAATCAGGTAGAAAATGATAAAATTATTCATTCTGATTTTTTTTATTTTTTTTTATTTTTTTGGCTGAGTTGACATTGTTTTGCATTTAGAAATAAACTTCCAGCTTGGTGAAAGTGGTGAGATTTAGAGTTGAAAAGTTGGACTAGCATTTTAATGATGTTGGTGATGGGTTCTGCATGGTAGAGATTAAAACCTTTTGTTAGAGAGATGAGAAGAAAACATTTCTTAAGAGAATTTAAGGGAGAATGGTAATGTAATTCAACAAGACGACTCTGAGTAATATTGATATGTATGATAACACTTCGGGTGCACTACGAGTAACTACTTACTAAATCCCATAGCAATTTCCTAATACTAATTATTTTATTAAATCCTTTACACCTTTCTTCATATTTCACTTAACAGTTTTAGTTTAGAGGAACATGGTAACGAAGCATGCACAACTAATTAGTCTAGAGGTCAATCCCTACTGGATTCATTATCATAAAAAGGCAGCCTGGTGCTATATAGCTCCTGCTACGCACAAGGTCCAAACTGTGACTTCTGGGTCACATGGCAACAACACCTACCATTGTGCCCAGATTCCCCTTCATGTGAGGGAGCCTGTTGAGAGACAGCTGACAATTCTAATCTTTCACCCAATAACCTAATCTTTTAGGTTGAGTTGTTTTTTAAAACTGCACATGTAGGTAGGTAACCTTAGTTAGTAGTCCTATTGGGCCGAATTTGTATGGGTAGTACTACACTAGTAATTGACTTAATTATTAGTATAAATAGGTGTTAATGCTTATATTATAACATACATCATATGAATCTAATCTCATTTTATTCAGAGTAATGATTTTCATATGGCGAGCATTTATTCAATTATCATTTATTTATTTCTCTGCAATAAGGACCTCAAATTAATAATTATTCTATTCATATCAAGGGTGCTTCTTCCGGAGGAATTATCTTGCTTCCTGATGCAGAGACACAGACTTCCGGTGCAAAGGCTGCTGCATGTGGTCGCTTGTCATCATTGTCTACAGCTTCTGATAAAGGTAAGATTCAATAAAAGCAACATTGTAGTTGTGTTGCATAACTATGTCGGACCATCAATATTGCAGTGAGTAACCTCAACTCCAGTAGTGCCATTATTTACTTTCCAATGATATATTTATCTATGGAAATTTACAATGTACTATTTAAAACATTCTTCTTCTTTTTTTTTGGGGGGGGGGGGGTTGTGACTGAGAGGTCACGGGTTTGAATCCAGAAAACTACTTCTTTGCAATTATTTGCAAGGGTAAAGCTGCATACAAGAATTGCACTCACCTCACACTCGCTAGTCGGGTTTAATTGGGGAGTGGTTTCTTTTTGCGAGCTAAAAGATTTTTTTTTTATTTTTTGTTTGGGTTTTTGTTTGGAAACTATAGCATATTCTATGAGTATGTCTTGTGGTCCAATGCTTTACTTTATTTTCCTCTCAATGAATTCTTCTTTTATCCTCAAAATAACCAGTTATATACTTTATAAAAGAAAGGTTAATATTGTTGTCCCGTCATTGGGGGGGAACACAGATGTATTGGCATGATGTGCAGGGCTCTGCATGAAGACATTCATATGTGGTAGACTCAAATGCCCATCAAAGAGCCACTTAACCTAAAAACATAAGTTGTTATACATGGGCCCAATAATGGTTTTTGTAACTGTTTTAGTCACATCAAAGGCCACTGGACGTTTCCTTCATAAAAAATGGACAGGTTTTAGTTTCAAAAATTCACTTTATTTAGTGTCCTTCTGGATTATGTGCCACCCTCACTTTCCTCCTCTTGATAAAATTCTTTGATCACTAAAAAATTTGGTCCACCCATGCCACGTCTTATATGCATGCTGTTACATTGAGATTATTTTGAGGTATGTATGTTTAAACTCGTTATCTTAAAACTCATATAATTAAAGATTATTTGTGCTCTCACTCACTCAATATATCAGCTGCAATTCTCTGCAAATTTCATGTTTCTGAATTTTTCTCTCCCTTTTCATAGAGCTTTGCTATATGTATTTTCTTGTATTCAAATAGACTGAAGTGCTAACTTAAACCATAGTATTTTGTCTTATGATCTTGTCAATTAAATGAGATCTTGAAAGATGATCAATTAAATGGTTAAGATAAATTTTGGAAGATGCTTGTACAATTTTATTTGTTAGTGATCAGAGTCATAGACTGATTGGTGATATCTAGGATGCACATTATAATAATTAACAATTATGTATTTTTGCAAATCACATTTCTAAAATCTGATTTTTGAATGACAGTTTACAGTGATCAGGGAGTACCTGCTTCTTTTCGAGTTCCTTCTGGGGCAGTTTTACCATTTGGATCCATGGAATTGGAGCTAGAGAAGAGCAATTCCACTGAAACATTCAGGTCCATACTCGAAAAGATAGAAACAGCAACACTGGAGGGTGGTGAACTTGATGTTCTATGCCATCAACTCCAGCAATTGATTTCTTCCTTGATGCCATCAGAAGATCTCATTGAAAGGATTGGGAGAATATTTCCAAGCAATGCACGTTTAATTGTTCGATCCAGTGCCAACGTTGAGGACTTGGCTGGAATGTCAGCGGCAGGACTTTATGAATCAATACCCAACGTTAGTCCTTCCAATCCAACAGTTTTTGGAAAGGCAGTTAGCCAAGTATGGGCTTCACTGTACACACGGAGGGCAGTTATGAGCCGTCGTGCTGCTGGTGTGCCTCAGAAGGAAGCTTCAATGGCAATTCTGATCCAAGAAATGCTTTCACCAGATTTATCATTTGTACTACATACTGTCAGCCCAACAAACCAGGATAATAATTATGTGGAAGCTGAGATTGCTTCTGGCCTTGGTGAAACTTTGGCTTCTGGAACCCGGGGTACACCATGGCGTATATCATCTGGGAAATTTGATGGGTTAGTGCAAACGCTGGCTTTTGCAAACTTCAGCGAGGAATTGCTGGTACGTGGTGCAGGGCCTGCCGATGGGGAGGTTCTCCGTTTGACTGTGGATTACAGCAAGAAACCATTGACAGTTGACCCGGTTTTCCGTCGACAACTTGGTCAACGCCTTTGTGCAGTTGGGTTTTTCCTCGAGAGAAAGTTTGGTTGCCCTCAAGATGTGGAAGGATGTCTTATTGGAAAAGACATCTTTATTGTCCAGACACGACCCCAACCCCTGTAGAAATCTTTTGTCTGTAATTATTAGTGTTTGTTGACACGGTGGCCTCTTGAAATGGTTACGGCACATGGGATTGGGATATATATATACACAAACATTAGCCTTTAATCTGGATATTTTACGTGGATGTGTGAACCAGTTACTGCACCCTTAGTTGATGGGAATTTCTTAGATTAGACACCTAATAGAGGAAGACATACTTCTATATGGCACCAACTAAGCTGTCTTGTATGCAGGTGATGGAAGTGGAATGAAGTTATTCTGAAGGAAGTTAGTCGTATGCCTGTGGTTTTAATTACTCCTTTTATATGAGATCACACGTCACAGTTGGCCTGTGTACTGTATCGTATATTGATGTAATATATTTTTGTTCAGAGAACTTAAAAGAATGTTGAGATATAACATATGTGATTTGCAAATGCAACAATGGGAAGCCAGCTATTGGTGTTTGAGAAGTGAAACACATCAGAAAGATAGCTGATGTCCAACACTATTGAGATTTGAGAGAGCTAGCAATTAATTTTGCTTTTCTGTTTTTATTTTTATTTGCCTTCTAAGTTTATTTGTTTATTCTTTAAAAGTAAACTATTATTTTGGCCTTCAACATTTTTAGAACATCGATTTAGTACTAGAAAGAATATTATTTTGACATCATATTAGTTAAAAATTACCAAGATCGAAAAAAAATAAAAAGTGGTACTAATATTGACTGATTATAATATTGACATCCTTTTTGTTTAGAAAATTATAAATATATATCTTCCTTAGGATGTAAATAGGTCAAGTTACTTATTGAGAGCTTATGAGCTCATGACGTTAGACTTAACAAGCATGCTTACTAAATAAGTTAGGTCAAGACTTTTGTTATTTAGTTAATAAAGTCAAATTTTTAAAAACTATCTGTCATTTTAAAGGATATAAGCTTATATCATTTTAGATCCTAACCGTTGATTTTCGTCCATCAACGGTTATAATTTATTGGATTAAAATTATAATTAATTAATAAAAAATTTGGCTCATTAAGTTTGACCCAATAGATTATAACCGTTGATGAACAGAAATCAACTGTTAGGATCTAAAATGATATAAGCTTATATCCTTTAAAAGGATAAATATTTTTCTCTTTTTAATTATTATTGTTAATTTTTTAATAGATATTGTTATATATATGAGATAAGATCATTTGGCACAGGTGTCAAACTAAAAAGTTTGATATTAATTACTAATTAATTAGTAAGTGTGATCCGATAAATTATAATTATCAGATTCGCGAAAATTAACTGCTAAGATTTGGTGTCAAATTTTTTAATTTGATATCAGTGTCAAAGGATCTGCCTATATATATATATGTGTGTGTATATATATATATATAGGGATAGGTTATTTTACCTACTATTTTTTCTGCCTACCTTTGCCTACCATCCTAAAACACCATTAGATCAGAATCTTAATTAACATTTATCTTTGTCTCTCTTCTTGAGATTCTGATCTAACAATATTTTAGGGTGGTAGGCAAAGGTAGGCAAAAAAAAATAGTAGGTAAAATAATCTATCCCTATATATATATATATATATATATATATATATATATATATATATATATGGAAAAATATTTCTACAGCCACTTTAGATAAGGTTATCTACAGATACCCCTTTCTAACTAAGTACGATCGGTCGTACTTAGTTATAACAATAAAGCTGCTCTCTTTTTCTCTCTCCTCAGACACTGAGAAAATGCACTTTTAATGTATGATCGGTCGTACTTAGTTAAAAAAGGATAGTTGTAGACAACCTTATCTAAAGTGGCTGCAGAAATATTTTCCCCATATATATATATATACATGGGAAAAATATTTCTCAAACAGCTTGAGATAAGTTTATCTCTGGCTATCTCAAAATTACATCGTTTTATTTATTTATTTCTTTATATTAATTTATTCACCTTTGAATGGTTATGATTCCTTTTTTCTCTCTCTTCCTTTATCACCATTGATCCATTTTTGTACGGTTATGATTTAGTAGCCGGAGATAAGATTATCTCAAGCAGCTTGAGAAACAATAAGTCATACATATATATATATATATATATATATATATATGGGAAAAACATTTCTCAAGCTGCTTGAGATAAGCTTATCTCCGGCCACACTAAAACTACGTCATTTTATTTATTTATTTTCTTATATTAATTGATTCACCTTTGAATGGTTATGATTCCCTTTTTCTCTCTCCTCCTTTATCACCATTAATCATAATAATCAATTATGATTAATTGATTGATGATTTATGCATTAATGTTTGATTGGTAATGTTTGATTAGTAATTTGATTAGATATAATGAGTCAGCCTTGAGTTAGCAAATAAGTTAGTTAGTTATATTCTAAGAAATTAAGAATAAAAAGAAAATAGTGTATGAAGCCAATATCTGAGCCAGATACATCAGTGAGAAATAAGGAAATAATTGCACGAGACCCATATCTGAGCCCAAAACTTTAATTATAAATAGAGGCCTAACCTAACCAAACCAATTCACTCTGAATCCTCAAGAATTCCCCGCTACTCTTTTTCTCCTTTACTCTCTCTCTCCTCACTTCAAATTTTTATTTTTTATTATTATCTTTTTTTGGTTACCAACCGCTTCTCTTCCCCAAATTGTAGAAGTCACCAAACAAGGAGACCAGGTAATCCTAATCCCTAGAGAGTCATAGGTATATCAAATGTGATATGATGATTGAGTGTGATTGTAAATAATTAAATAGTGGGAGGATAGCTTTGGGATGGTACCTCCCAAGGTGATGAACACAACTTTTGGGCTTTATGCCTCCGATGTGAAACTGATGTGAAAAAAATTATATCCGTTCTTCCCAAAGTGGTGTCTGGTAGGGTTCCCCGGGATACTAGTAGCAACTTTGGGAAGAGGTGTCCACACTAGGAAGATGTGAATTGATTATGGTCAATGTGATTTGTTTGTGACTGGCAGGGTTTCCCGGGTCACAGGGTAGACTGGCAGGGTTCCCCGGGTCTACCATGGTTCTCTTCCCACTAAGTACAATGAACTTAAACATGATTAATAATGAAAATGTTATTTGATTTGATTATGATGAATGTTATTGAATTGTGAGTATTACCATTTATGAAATATTATGATTATGATTAATATTATGTGAATGTTATTAATGTTATTGGTACAAGGGATCGGGCTAGCAGTGGGCAGTGAGGATAACTATTCAGAGATTTTTGCTAATCCCAAATTTTATGTATAAGACATATCTCTGATTTTATTGTAATATTTATTAATGTAATAAAGAGTCTTGCACTTGTCCCTGTACAGGTGCGGCGGTAACATTTCTCCAAATTAGTTTTAGATTAGCTTCCGCAATAGATACAAGATCTTAATAAATTATTAAATATTATTTTTATTTTATTTTATTGAAAATTTCTCTATTATAGGAATATTTTATTGTTGTTAAAATTGTTAGAAATTTGGGGGAGTTACTTTGGCGGAAATCAACGGTTAAGATGTGGTAGTAACATTGGTAGTAACATTATTTGGTTGTCACAATATCTTATCCCATGAAACATAAGATAAATATAATCCAAAAATACTTTAAATTTTTTTATACGATGGAAAAAATTCTCCGCATGTGTTGAGAGCAATATTTCCTTGTTTGACTTTTACTACTTATATATTGAAAGAGAAAAATGACTTTCCCTTTTAAGAAGGGGTAGTCAATCTTGAAAAGTCAAACAAAATTTTAAATAAGAACATCAATTTTAGTTAAAAAAAATCATCTTGAAATATGTTTTAGCATTATGTTTTTTTTTTTTGGTAGGTTATGTTTTTGGGAAAAATATTTGTCCTTTGAAATGATGATCATTTTAGTTAAAATTAGTGTTTTTATTTAAAATTTAAATTAAAAAAAAACTTCTCACTTTTTCCCCATAATTTCTATTATATATCTCTTTTTATCACTTAAAATGATATAATTCTATGTACTTTCAATTGATAAATAACAATCTCTTTGTTTTTACCCAAAAAAAAATTCTAAAAAATATTTTTTTTTTTTCAAATCCATATTATAACTATCACATTATTTTCCAAAAACAATCAGGGAAAGCCTATACTTATCTAATTGTTGAACCTTTTATTCACCCACAAACAAACAGCAGTAAAATATTCAAAACTTTGACCCATGAACTTATCTTAGCCACCAAACTCGAATACCAAGAAAAACTTTGTACCAATAAAACAAAGAAACACTTGAGACCGTGCTTGAATGTTATTTGCGGAACTTCCTTGTGATTCACTCAATGATGTTGATAGAAACAAGTTAAGTCAGTGTCAATCATAGGCTCAAATTAAGATGAGTTAATTAATGTAGTTCAAAATGGAAAACATACACACACACACACAAAAATGTGAAGAAAACAAATGAAAGGTCGAAAAAGAACAAAAGGTCAGGTAAAGATGTTAAAAAACTACATATGATCGATGCCTTGGTACACAAGTGATGCAAGTTAAGAGGAGCCCACTTGGGAATATAATGATAATTATTTGGGACCTTGTAGAGGATTAAAAGTTGGTTTTATAATTAACTCAATGCTAATCCTACGTAGTGGCCTAGTAATCAGCAAAAGCAAGTTGAGTTGCACAGCTTAACCAACTAAGTGCTAACCACTCTAATACCCATTGCATTATGATTATGTATATATACTCTTTCTCTCACATATATACCAAACTTGAATTGACGATATAATTCCGTTTTCCTCACGTAAATCATTATAACTTGCTCATAAAGACAATCAGTAACCCCAATATATATATCTTTATTTTTGTGTACTATCTCTTTGATTTGAGTTGTTTGTTATATATGTAAGCAAGAGAAGCAGGAGAAGAGAGATCACTGACAGCCCAAATGAAGAAGACAAGGAAACCCTCTTCTGGATTTCTGGTTTTACCAAGTCCAAAGCCTAACATAGCTGCAGCCATACACCGCTTCTTCACGGCCATCAAAACTTTTTCTCAGTCATTTTGTGAGTAGATTAATCTCTCTTACTTTATGCTAATTTTTGTTTTCACACACGCACATGAAACTCTATTTCATCCAATAATAAATATATTATCATTTGAATAATAGTAATTAAGTCAATTACTTTCACTTTTTAGATTTAAACTTGATTCAAATATATATTATATTGGTAGATAAAACATAATTATTAATTTTTAGTTAAAAACTTTTAAGTTAAACAAATCTTTCGATATACATTTTTGGATAAGGTTATATTTACAAACTTTTTGTTTACAAATTATACTATGTCTGACTGGTTATACTTCGATCAAGAGTGTATGACCGGTCATATTTAGTGTAATTTGTAAAAAAAATTTATAAATAGATCTCTCTCCTACATTTTTTACTATAATTGGAATTAACCTTTTTATTTTGTTTCTTGCATAACATGTGAGATAAGCTAACTGTCAAATTAAGTTTATGGATATATCCACCAAATTTTTTTTACAAGAAAAAATAGATCAGTGGGAGGAAGGGAAAATATCTTCAGTACTTTTATAGTACTAAAGATTGGATACATCTTTTTATTAATTTTGAAAAGAAACAATACAATTAACTTTTATCATTTTATACACCATTTTATGATTATAATCACTTCAGTTCTATTTATTTATTTTTTAGTAAAAGAATACCTAGTTTTATAGTACCAAATATAGGGGGCAGGTTATATTTATAAATTTTTTATTTACAAATTATATTAAATACGACCGGTCATACTTTAATAATGCAGTGTACGACTGGTCGTACTTAGTGTAATTTGCAAAAAAAAATTGTAAACGGATCTTATCCCCCAAATATATGCTGGAAGGAAGAGATAATGAGGGGCCCACGTTGAAGGCGGGATCCATCAAAATGGGTCCTACCCGCCCATTACATATATTTTTGGCACGCTCCAATCTAGCTAAAATTCATACATTTAGTTTTTTCTTAAATTTAAAATCAAAACTAAGCGAATAAGGAAATCGGAATATATAAGTATTTTTACTTGATTCATGTTACAAAATCATAGAAAACCTTACCGAATTCGATTAGAAATTGTCGAAATTTAAGGATGGTGTTGGATGAATTAAAATATAGAAGACTACTCCTCGATCTATTTAACAGTAACAAATAATGTAAAATCATTCTGATAAAAATTATAATTAAAATTTTGTGGTAATTGAATACTTTTCTTTTTTACTTTGTTGATATTCACGTGCCTTGCTGAAAGGAGAATTTTTCCTCTTTCTTGTCCCTTCCCCGCCATAAAAAAAAAAAAAAAAGAGTTAGTTTGGGGGGAGAGGGGATTAATAGTTACTATTCCATGAAATAATAACAGTTTCTTTTATCTCTACAAAATTTTAGCATACTAAGTTGAAAACTACAACTGTCTCTCTTTGAATTGCTTTTGATGATTTATTTTAAATAAATAAAAAATATTAATCATATTTGTAGTCCTTTTAAATTTTTCTATGGTTTCATGTTTCTCCGGTAAATAGAGATAACTTATCTTTCATGACTTGAAAACATTTTTATTTTCAAATTAGAGAAAGATATTTTTATAATTTTAATTTATTTTTTGACTATATTAATCTTTATCATTATTATTTTTTCTCTCAGTCTCAAAACAACATCGTTTTAGAACAACATAAAACAACTTTGCACTAGAAAAACTTTTCACACGGAGTTAGAGGCATGCTAAATTTAATAGTGTAGCGGAGATGGAAATTCATAACACTTGAGTTTTTAAGACGATGAAAGATTCCGAGTAAATGTATTTAAGAAATAATTTAAATTATATATATTGAAATAAAAATGAGAAAAAAAACTTATTTAATTAAGGTAATTTGATTATAGGAGGAGAAGACTACATAAATTTCAATCGAAGAGTGAAATTACTCATTGAATCATATATCAACAATTTATTTAAAAATAAATAAATTTCTTTTTTGTAAGCTGGCAAGACAGAAGTTACATTCTTAAATTGGCTATATTACATTACATGAGCAAATCCACTCTTTTAATGTGTTGAATTATGTTCTATGAATTTCAGTTTACAAAAAGAGTATTGAGGAGAAGAAAGCAGAGATGGAGATTGGGTATCCAACAGATGTGAAACATGTGGCACATGTAGGACTTGATGGGTCAATCACCACAAATAATAATGAATTACTGTCTTACTCTTCAATTCCATTCCATTCTTCCTCCAATTTTACTTAAAAACAATTGTGGGAATGTTAATTATTGGCTTTCCAATTTTTTGCTTGTAATTGTAGATTATTGATTGATATGTTTTCGGAGTTCACGTATGAGTGCGCTAACTGAAATTCAATATTTGCAATCTCTCAGTTCTTTGAGATTATAACTTTTCCTGGAATTTTAACATTGTAATTAAGTGGGTTTTCTGCCAATTAATTATTTTATCGTTATCAATCGAAATAGAAGAAAACAAAATGGGATCGACATGTTTTTTAGATTTTGGATCAAACGGCCACCAATACCTCGCAAGTCATAAACGACTTATTATGTTTTTGTGTTGAATGATATTAATTCCTAGTCTCAGAATCAATTCGATGGGGAATATCAATATCCTCATTTGCTGAACGAAGTAACGGTGTATTTTTTATTTTTATATTTTTCTTTTGCATATGTAGAGGTAATCTTTTTTATGTAGGTAACGGTTGACATATTAATATACGGCATACTTAGAACAAGGGTTTTTATTTGCATTTTCAATTCGTTCTCATATGCAGGCATAGCAACAAGTGGCAACAAAGTTATTTTTTGGTCTCTTTCATCCCAAACATGAGAATGTCCACATCCTCATGTTTCTTTGGCAACCTTCTATTGGATAGTGGTGGCTGAATCTCATGTACATTAATCTCGGAGGCCACAAAAGTTGTGGAAAATCTGAAAAGATATTTATATATGGTGTAAATGAATGGGGATGAGCTAACTAGTATTCCTCCAATGGTGGGGATATATAAGGGATGGTCCATTTAATGTTGAACACTTGCCATGTTAGCACCAAAGCAAAGCGAAACCTCGAATCTCTCTGACACATTGCTATTTTAAATAGTTAAATTAATTATCTAATTGAGTTTTCAAAAACAAAATAATAATAATTAATTATCTAATTGAGTGCTCGTTAATATAAAGATTTAATGTATTTTTAAGTTAGAGATAATTATCTCAAGTAAATTTATTTTTCCTCTTCTCCTATTCCAACTCACTTCCTTATATTTATAATCTTCAACATGTAAATACAATATAAATTACCTTTGGATATATGTGAACCTGTAATCTGATTTGATTAATAATCTAATATTATAGTTAATATATAGATTTATTATTGATTAAAATATATTTGAAGGATGATCAGATTAATACCGATAAGTTATCAAATAATTATGAAAGATGGGTTGCTGCTGTTCTGTAAAGTGAAGCTGATTCCACGTGTCCGATAAAATTAATATTGGTTATGATAATCCATTTGATTTGTTTAAAGATTATAAGTTTGTACGTGCATGCATACATACTATTACTACATGGGGGAATGTGAATGGCATCGAAGATGAGCGGTGAGGGTAGAATTGGTGTGCCTGTGCCAGTTATTAGCTATTTGTGGAGACATGATTGGATTTGAATTGAATTGAATTGGGCATTGTTATTGTTATTGTTATTGTTGGTGGGGATATGATGGGATCGTGCCTCTCCGCTTCTCCTTCTTCTGATCCTTCTTCTTCTTCTTCTTCTTCTCAATTATCATATGATTATAGTATGGAAATGCGGTTGCACAGAGTTCCTGGCAGACTCTTCTTGAATGGTTCATCTCAGGTTGCATCCTTGTTCTGTAAGCAAGGCAGAAAAGGGATCAACCAGGATGCTGTCCTTCTTTGGGAGGTTCTCTCAAATTTAAATCCTTTTTTTTATTTAATTTCTTTGGGATGATATCATTTTCATTTTGCTTACCTACTTTCCCAGAACTTTTGTTCAAAGGAGGATACCATTTTTTGTGGTGTTTTTGATGGGCATGGACCTTATGGCCATATGGTTGCAAAGAAAGTCAGGGATTCTTTACCTTTAAAGCTTATTGCTCAATTGGATTTGCATCCTAACAACAAAGATCCTACTACTGCCACACTCACAGAATCCTTTCTGAAGGCTTGTAAGCTTATAGACAAAGAACTCAAACTCCACCATCTTATTCATTGCTATTGCAGTGGGACTACAGCAGTTACCTTGGTCAAGCAGGTACCCTACCCACCCACATTACTTACTCTTCTTCACTCTCCCTTTTTTTTTTTTTTTGTTTAACACTTCAATTTTATTCCTTATCATCTTTCAGGGGCACGACCTTGTTATTGCAAATGTCGGGGACTCCAGAGCTGTATTGGGTACCCGAGATCATGAAGATTCCCTTATTCCTGTTCAGTTGACCACCGACCTTAAACCAAATCTTCCAAGTATCTCTCTCTCTTTCTCTCTGCATCAACCAATAACTACTGTTAAATTTGGATAGCGGCCTGTTAAAAAAAACATATTGTGATATTACTTGAGTATGTACTTCTACACTAGTATGCAACCATTAAAACCAATTTAGGTAATATGAAGTTCTATAAAACTTGTTGTAGTTAGGTACTTTGATGATGTAAAGAAACAATTCAACCGAAAGCTTAAACTATTACGTGAGGTTACATTAATGATTTTATACTTCTTTAACACTTCCTTCACACAAAAGTCCCCTGGACTTAAAGAGTGGATAATGCACAGGTCCATCTACCTGCGCTAAAAAAACTGCACAAGACAAAATTAATTATTAATTAAATTGGGGACGGTGAGGATCGAACACGTGATACCGAAACTCTGGTACCATATAAAGAATCAATTCAACTTAAAAACTTTAAGTTGTCAGGTTACATTGATAATTTTATACTTATCTGACATTTTCAACTTCAAGTATGGTCCAACCCTAGTTGTGCCTTGTTTTGGGTTTTATTTAGTACTTGTTGGTAATTCAAGAGTGAGTAATTAACGCCAAATAATGGACTAATTAAGTAACATTTCTTGTATTTCTTTTTCACTTGTTTTTCTTTCCCCTTCCCTTTTAGAAGTTGAACGGTATCTTCATTATATGACATAATAAACGCTGTGACTTGAAATTTGTTTGCATTAATGAGATAGATGAAAGTGGTAAATGGAGGATAATAATTATAATTTGAGGCAGGGGAAGCAGAGAGGATAAGGCTTTGTAAAGGAAGGGTGTTTGCCCTTGAGAATGAACCTCAGGTTGCTCGAGTTTGGCTGCCAAACGTTGATTCCCCAGGGCTTGCTATGGCAAGGACATTTGGAGATTTTTGCCTGAAGGAATTTGGAGTGATTTCTGTTCCCGATGTCTCATATCACCGCCTCACTGAAAAGGATGAATTTGTTGTATTAGCAACAGATGGGGTAAGGCAAGTTTTGTTTCTCACAAGTATAATGATTATTAAACATAATATTTGAACTGTGTTCAACTGTCATTGGTCCTTCTAAGCAGGTTTGGGATGTTTTATCAAACAAAGAAGTTGTGGGCATAGTGGCATCTGTTCCACGGTCTTCTGCAGCTCGAATACTGGTTGAGTCAGCTGTTCAAGCATGGATGACCAAGCTTCCCACTTCTAAGGTTGATGATTGCTCAGTAGTTTGCCTCTTCTTTGATTCTAATTCAGACTTTAAATCACAACGTAAAAATTTGATGATTGGAGGAGTGAAACCTGAACAAAAGCAGCAATAGCATATCTTATATAACATGTCTTTTCCCAAGCCTCGCTGATTTTATTAAAGAAGGCTGGGAGAAGTAGGCTGCATCTTTCATTTGATGATTATTTTGGTTTATTTTTCTGCCAATATTCTTTTCGTTATTTATCTTTTCCTTCGACAGCATTTGAAAGGAAAAAGAAAGGGCTTTCATATATTTTATATCAGAAGGAAAAGGGGATAATGGCCTCTCTTTTTGGTCGAGGTCATTTTCCTTCTCTGTAGTCTGTATATTTGGTAGATGTTGACTTTTGTAAATCCAAGTCTCTAGTTCATATTATTTAGTTTATCCTGTGGGTAGCTTCAAATATGCTTCTCCATATCCTCAGCAGTTTAAAATAAATATATATAGGAGTTGCTATTTTTCAATATATAATTTTAATCGAGATATAAGTCATAATTGGACTGGTATTAGTAATCAGAATCACAAATTTGAAGTTACGTAGATATAGACAAACTTGAGTTGATACCAATTGAATTATAAACTACTAAAAATGATTTATATATTTGTGCTAAGTGAATCAAAAAGAAGATATAAAAAAATTTACAACAATTTGCAAACTGAAATGTGTTAATTTGCCGGTTGGAGGTTTATCACGGATTGTGGATATAACAGTAAAATTTGCTATATCTCCATTACTGCCATGTTTGGTTAGTTAATAAGTACAAACCAGAATTTTATCCACGATCGGGTTAACAGCAAACTACGTACAAAAACATTAATTTCAGCAGCTCCTGTAAGTACTTGGATTCTTGGACATTCTAGTTATCGAGGTTGCAAAATCATTAATGAAAACGTTGGCACCTGCTTGCTCATTTTCCCATATGAGTTAATATTCGGCTAATTATAGCCTCCTTCTTCCCAGAAACAGGAAGATTATGTGCTGTAAGATAGTACTTTAACTCCACCACGGTCAAATCCTTTAACTGCAAAACAAGACCAAATGGTTAGATAATAAAATCTCAGAAATTACAAGGGAGGTGCTTGTTCGGCAATTGAAAATTTGAAGCTGTTACATGGGTCGTCCCACCAAAAGTAGTGTTTATCAGAATTCATAAACTCAGATTTGCTGCGCAGCTAACCTCTTGTCAGTGCAGTACTGCGACTTTGGACCATATAGATAACCTTGTTACTCATCCATTTCAAAATTGGTATACATGAATATAAATTTCACTGTCACCCTTTTATTATTCTGGGTTAACTGTGAGTGCGTGAACAGAAAATTGTGTAGGCGCTAAAGGATTGATAACAAATATGTATATGGTGCCTGGCTTCTGTTAACATGGACAGCTAAGCTAGGTATGACTGTATAGCTTGTCCAGTACAGTTTTGCCTGTATTTCTCTAGGCTTGTATTGTTTTAGTGGAATATAATAAATTCTCCTGTTTATGGCCTTCCAAAGTAGGTTATCTTTGCAAAATTGGCTCAAGGATTAGTAAACCTGCTTGTCCCAAATTTGATCAAACTTTTTATAAAAAAGCACTGCGCAGAACAATTTCAAGGTTTACCTTTCCAGTGTCAGCGAGCTCACCCCAGTCATAGGTTTCACACTCTTTTGCTGCAAACTCAGCATGCGCTTTTCGTTTTTTGGAGGCTTCAGTCGGCTTCCCAATGCCATGCTCACTTTCCTCGTCATAATTCTCCCCATATACAGAGGTCTTGAATTCTTCTAATGCCTTCACCACTCCTGGTCTGCAAGCGACACATAAGAAGGATTATCATTTCATACCAGAGTCTTGAACAAACCTTTTCCAATGAAGAGAGGAAGGGTCAAACACGAAATAAAACAGGCAGAATTTCTTTCTTCTTTTGCTTTCATTTTACAGTCTGCAAATCAGACACAATAAAGTATTCAATATATCATGAACACATTGCTTGCATTTACCTGGACAAGCCTTCCTCATCAGGTGATGTTTCATCTTTCATTTCTGGAATTTCATCCTCTTCCAGAGCTAATGCCTGCAATACTGCATAGTGTCTCTGCAATGCTGAAAACCTATTTGTTACAAACACAGAATCATAATAACTTTTTATTTGTCAAATGGGACTAATAACTTTAAGAATTGTAACATATCACAAAAGTGAAGCATACAGGTTAGTGATGTTACACTATCAGGGAATCCTATCCAAATAAGGAAGCAAGAGGAACATGATTATGTTAAATGTAATTACGAAGTTGATATAATTCTATTGATTTGATAGAGCAATTTTTCAACATAGCACAAAAAATAAGAGGTCTAAATCCTATGCACCGATAATTGAATGGTATGTATAAAACGCAATGCTATAGACCACACTTTCAACAAAAAAAATATTTATTAATTTATCAGGGTTGTTGAGATGAAAATGTTGAGGCAGATGAGAACGTTGAGGTAGATGAAACATATAAAAAGTTATGAGAAAGTTGGAAAGAGAGGTAGAAGACAAAAGAAAACTCTAGGATTCATTAAAAACAACCTTGACCTAAATGGCCTCTCCAAAAATTTGGTTTTTAACAAATCACAGAAGCTTCATTTGATCTATGTAACCAACCCCAGCTAAGGAGAAAAAGCTTTTGTTATAATTTATCAGTTTCAACAATGAACTCATCAACATAAATAACATTTAATTTCTGCTAAAAAAATTCAACTTAAACCAATTGAATTTTTCTTCAATCAAATGAATATTCTGAAATAGATTTTGTGAAATCATGACTAAAACTGCTACCAAATGGCAGCATAATTTTTTCAAATCATTTTCATGTGTTCATTGTCAACCAATCTGCATATAGAAATCATCCACGTGCTTAATCCGACATCTTGAAGAAATTCCAGACATCATTTTAACATTAAGGCTGATATAGGAAGAAAGTATGAACAGAATATTTAGTTAGACTTAGGAGAGGGGGTGAGCTAGAGAAGTAGGTAGAGGTAGAGGAAGCTGCTTACCAGGGTTGGTAAATTGGCATACAGAAAAATCTTTCAAGTCAATACGCTTAATTAAATCAGCTGCCTTTTTAATTTGATCATCACTTGCTCTAGTCACCATCCCACTTTTATCTGAAAAACGCTGCAAAATCATTGATACCTTAATAATAACTTCATATTTAAAAATTAAAACTTCAAATTCAATTTTCTCTGTTTTGACATTTAAAGTTTAAAACCAAGTCCAACTATTGCAGTTTTCTACCTCTTCAACAAGTCTGATGTCATCAGAATATGGAAGATAAATCATGTGCATTCCAGGCGGCTCAATCTGACCACCTGATTGAATAACCTCCTCCTACAATCATAGACATATGAGCTAAGACTAAGATACAAACAGATTTAATGAAGATACAACAGAGATCCAAACTGTCAATTTGACTTGAGGGACTTATAATTTAACTAGAATTTATTAATTAAAACAAGCTAACAGAACACCTAATTTATAACTGCATAGTATTTGTTTAGTATACTGATATACTGCACATTGGAAGCTTAGGTTTGAGTAAGTTCACACACAGCATATAATTTAATCCACAAAACCAAATTCCATTTTTAAAATAAGAACACAAAAAGAGTAACCCCACTCTGTTGGTCTGTCCTACAGAAACAAATGACCCAAATACATCAATATATAATTATAAGCAACCACTGGCAGCATACCAAATTTGCCCGTTTGGATGGGCTTATGAGAAAAATGCTTTTTATGCCTTGCTTACTTTAGAAGTATTTTTTGCAAAAGCTAAAGTTATTTAGATTTTGAAAAAAATATTTGGGTTTTGAAAAAAATATTATCTTAAAAAAAAAATTAGGTTTTTGGATTTTTTTGTGGCTTATACTTTTTTTTAAAACAGACATCCAAACGGACTTTGTAGTAGAAGTGCTTTTTTTTCTTAAAAAAATAAAAGCTTTTGGCTAAAAAAAATCTCATCCAAACGGGCCCTTTATATTATAGCTATCTGACTCCTATTAAGTATAATATCTGAAAGCCACTGCCAAGTATTTATGCAGCTTTAATGTTTAGATGATCACAAGAAAGTTTGAGCATAACCAAAAAGGATCAGTATGCAAGAGAATGCAGCACAATTTTGACAGTAAAGTAGCATTCTAAAATTGTTCACATGTTTAGAGCCAAAGTCATCAAACTAAAACATCACATGTAAGCTCTTGAACTCAAGAAAACAACTATTCATTACAATGCAAAAACATTTTAGAATTCAACATATTGTACCTGCGCAACAAGGGCAACCAATTGAGGCCGAGCGGAACTACCACTAAATGCAACCGCAAAACTGAAAGGCAGACACCAGGGCATTACTTAGAGCAGCAATTATTAGTAAACATTATTTTAACAAGTCATTTAACATCAGCTATGTCACAATCACAAAACTTTGAATGTGATACTAATAATGTGTTAGTAGTATTAGTAAGACTATGTTTAGTTAATCTATAATATCTTTGTCACTCTTGTATATTTGTCAATACAGACACTGCCTAACTTGATTTCAGTTGTGGCTTTCACAAATCCCTCTCTCTTTCCCTTTTCCTACTTACATCATGTAACCGCCCAAAATTAGCCAAGATTTCTTGATCTTGAGTGGATTCAACGTTCTACAATTTCAAATTCTAATTTGATAAACAACTAATTTTAGAGGGAAAAGAAAACACAGATATCCAATTGGGAAGTATTTGATCAGAATGTGTTCTTAAAAATGAAATTTTCAAATCACCAAAAATGAAAATGTACGAATGAATAGAAGGATGTGACAGTGAAACTAAACAAAGCCTTAGTTGCAAGGATACCGATTGAGCTGTATCATGGACCTATGAAGGGCAATGAAGATACACATACTACCATCCGTACCCTGCAAAACAAAGAGAGCCATCACAAGGAAAATATTATAAAATAGAGAAAGCGAGAAACATACAAAGTAAAGAAGCATATAAGATACACTTGGATGCAACTATTATACTGGTCAAAGAATTTCGAAAATAATAAAGATGACTTGATAAGAATACTACTTGACGGTACAACAGGACAGTATAAGCACCCATTTGATGAGCAGAAGGCTTATACATATCTTTATTCTTTAACTTCAGAGACATTTATTATTAGTAAAGTTGTTGGAACACTTTGCATCAAAACAAAGTTCCTGGTGGCTGAAAGTGGTGAATGCACATCTGAGGGCTAATGAATAGATCACCACAATGTCAATTCGCAAGTTTCACCAAAATTGAACAATGTTAAAAGTACATTGATAAGAAATCAGCACCAAGTAGACAAGTTGCAGTTAAAACCAAACGCTGCTGATAACCAAAGATGCAATAAATAGTTCATTGATGACTAGAAGAACAGTAACCTCATCACTTGGATAAAGAAAAGTTGATGGCTTCAAGTTGTAATAATCTCTCAAGCAACTTAGTGGCTTGAACCCCAAAAGAAGCAGATGTCCAGTAGAAACTCTCTTAATTTCAGATAGCTCCTTCATTGAAAATGTAATATTCTGGCTGGAAAAAAAAGAGTGTAATTGTCATATTATAATAACAAACAAAAGGAAACAACACAACCTCAAAAATTATTGCTGAAAAGCATACCCACATTGTATATTGTTAGAGAAATATAAAACCATTGGTATAGCCTCGTCCAATAGCTTAACATTTTGGGTTGATTTGGCACTTTACATGATATCAGAGCCAACATAACTACGTGGTCATAAGTTCTTAGCACGGATAGATTGGGTCTGATGCATTGTAAAGAACCAATTTAACCCAAAAGTTTAATCTATTGGGTAAGGCTACATTAATGGTTTTATATATCTCAACACACCCCCTCACACAAGAGCCCACTGGGCTTGAAGGGTGGACAATGCACAAGCCCACCTACCTGTACGAAGAAAGAAATTCCACTAGAAAGAAAGTGGGGGCGGTGAGGATCAAACCCGATACATCGAGGCTCTGATACCATGTAAAGAACCAATTCAACCCAAAAGCTTAAGCCAGTGGGTGAGGCTACATTAATGGTTTTATATATCTCAACATGCATCATCCACCCTTCAAGCCCATGGGCTCTTGCGTAAGGAGATGTGTTAGAGAAATATAAAATCATTAATGTAACCTCAACCAAAACAACTTGATCTTTTGGGTTGATTTGGCGCTTTACATATATTTTTTTTCCTGTGTAACTATTATAGTCTGTCTATATAATAGAATCTCCATTGTACTTTTCAGACACAGATTACATCACGTCTCTCATTTTCCTTATTATTTTATAGGGTGCATTACCCACCGATGACAAAAAAATTTCATGAAACTGTGTCATCTATCCAGTTTCCAGCATCTCCAGCCACATCGTCCTTCTCGTTCCAAATGCCCACTGCATCTCTGGTCACCCAAACCATTATCCGGCCGTTGTTTCAATCTTCTGTGGCGACTTTTCTAGCCACCAAAAAGTTTTTCCAGCAAGCATTCTGGCCGGTGACCACACAACCTGGATCACCTCGACCAACCCGGCCAAACCATCGAAGTTTCCTCTGCGGTGCACCCTACCTAACGAGCATGGCGCAGCATGAGACCTTCTCTCCGGCCAACTCATTAAATAAAGCCATCTCACCTCTTCCTTTAATAACAGATTTCTCCAAGAACATAGAATTGGTTACCATCAAGATCCTAGAGACTCCTATGCTCAGGAATGATTGCAATGTCTTACATATGAGGGTACTAGGGTTGTTATTAGTTGTTAATATAAAACCTTTCATGTATCTTCAGTTAATTACTTAAGCTTTTTGAATAGTTAGTTCATGGTATTATGATGGGCCTCCCATATTCTATGACAGGGTTTACACATGCAAGGCCCATAAAAGAGGAGCTAAAGAGAAATCAAAATCTGTTATGGGAGAGGACACATGGCAAACGATTAATGGAGAGGGGAATATTGGAGAGAGAAAGAGAAGAAAGATGGAGAGACATAAGTCTGTTATAGGGAGAGGGATGGGTGTGAAGAATATTGTATTGTTGGGTAGTGGCGTTGAGCAAGGGGTAGCCTCAGCTGCTATAAGGTGTCTTAGTTCTTTGTGATTCTGATACGACCCCACCTTGCAAGCAAGAGAAATAAGTGGGCTGGAGAATCATGCTATGCTGAGTCGACAAGTTTGTTAACAAAGAATATTCTAGAGAAAGCTAAACAGAAAACAGTTAGGGACTTGGACATTGGCTGGAAATTCACAGTATAAATAGGAGTAGGAAGGGATAATCTTGGTATCTTGGATATTTGGGAAATATTGGGATCCTTTTGGATATTGGGAGAGATCAACACCTCTCGAATGTGTTGAGCTTAATCTTTCTCTTTTATAGTAACTGTAGTCAATAGTAGAATTTGCCTTGTAATGGAGTTGATTATCTGTTGTTCTTCTTCTTTCATTTTTTATTGTAATTTCCTTTCTATATAATACAGAAAATCCAGAAAGTGTTCTTTCTGGGCCAAAATCGTTGTTCTTCTTTTCTGTTATTGTTTTTCTCTGATCTGGTTCCTATCAATTGGTATCAGAGCTCTCTGATCTAGGGGGCTTTGAAGGATACCGATCAAAAAAAAAATAGAAAATCAATTTCATAGGATGAAGATCCCTGTATTTTCTGGTGAAGAAGATATATATGAGTGATTAAATTGGATAGAGTGGTATTTTCGCAAGAATGGTAGATCGGAAGTTGCTTGGCTATCACAAGTGAGAAAAGCCTTGCGGGGAGAAGCTTGGGACTGGTATTTTTGGTGGAAGCTTCAGACTAAGGAATTTACATGGTCACGATTCCGAGCGGATATAGTCCAACAATTTCTACCGTTTGTTGAGATGAAGAATTGCCTTAGAAATAGAAGGGAAGTCCCAAAGTTCTATGGAGAAGGAAATGAAGCTTGGGGATGGCTAATCTACCTGGAAAAATATTTCAAAGAAGAAAGAATTCATGAAGATGAGAGGCGGACAGAGACTGTGAAAGGGCTTAGAGGATCTGCACTGAGATGGTATAATTGTTTGAGTTGGCTTAATCCTAAGGTAAGCTGGAGGAAATTTGAGAGAGCTTTCATAGAAAAATATCTACCTCAGATTTGTTTGGTAGATGAAGAACCAGAACCAGAAAATAAAAAGTTGAAGGAGGAGACGATCGAAGGTGATGAAAAGATGAGGGAGGAGGTTCAAGGACTGCTCAAATATGCAGATCCAGAATCTGCAAAATTAGAGAAGGTGCAAAAAAATGAACAGGTTCAGAATGTGGAGGTCGAATCAGAACTTCCAAAACCAGAAACAGAGTTGCCAAAAGAAATTGTGTTGGAGGAGACAAAAGCCATAAGAGAAAAGAAAGCAGAAACAGTTGGGAAGCACCACGTGATCTGCAAAGAGGTGGACCCACTAGCTGTTCGAAAGGAGGAAGAAAGAAATACAAAAGAAGAAGTTGAGGAAGCCAGAGATGCGGGGAATGTGTTGGAAAAGGGGATACATGATCTGTTTAAGCAACAACCATTGAAAAAGGTAGAGCACCCTCCACCATTACCAAAACCACCAAATTGGCGCTGTCCAGAGAAGAAGCAACAGGGACGTTTGTCTAATGGTGTTGGAAGAGGTCATCTATGTATGCATCATGAAAAAGAAGAAGTGGTTCAGATTAGGGAGGCGGATCCGGTTGTTGCAGCAGCGGACATGGAACACGGCTGCAAGAAGAAATGTGCAAGGTCAGTGCTGAAATTACCAATGTTGGGTCAATTTTTTAACCTAGTGGGCCAAGCCCAAGTTAATAAGGAAAAAAAATGGGAGTTAAAAATAAAATAAAAGGTGGGCTGTTTATTTGATTTAAGAAGTTGGGACCCAATTAATATTCAATGGATTCGGGCCCAACCCAAGGATGTTGATCCTTTAACTTCTATTGGGTATGATTGGGCATTTAAGCCCATAATTCTGACTACATTCATGAGACATAGAATACATGTTACAAATCTGTTCCCACTTCCTTCCCTCGTCTCCGTCTTATGTTGCTACGAGGCTATGCTCCACCATGTTCTGTTCAAGCTCCTCACGCATGGGTTGGGTTTGGGTTCATGTTCAGCTACCCTTATGCGGCCTTGGAAGTCTCACAGCTTGCTTGACTGTAAGCAATTAGCTTTCATGGAGTTTTACACTGCTGATTGGAGTTCATGTTGGGAGCAAATTCTGCCTAGACAAACTGGGAGTATGCAAGCAAATTGGAGATGCAGATTAGGCATTGGGCATTCAACAAAATATAATTCTCCAAGGAAGACTAACCAGTTGCTAGAAGAATTGCAGGAAAAAGGGAAAATGCTACAGGAATGGAGGTACTTTTTATATCATACAATGCAACGCCAGCATATTCAATTTGAGTCTTCCTTTCAGCAGTGGATTTTTCTTCGTCAAATCTATACCCAGATTCTTAAATTTCCAACCAAAATATTGCATCAGTATTATGGTAGTCTAAAAAGGTTGTTATCCTTTTGTGAAGAGGGTATAGTAAGTCTGGACATATCTCAAGAAGAATTGCAATGTGGATCCTGTTTTAAAGATGAAGTTTTGGTGATTATGTATTGCAACGATGATTATGTATGGGATCCCGACGGTAGGTTTTGAGGACTTCACTTCACCTTGAGGACAAGGTGAAAGTTTTGGGGGGAGTATTGATACGACCCCACCTTGCAAGCAAGAGAAATAAGTGGGCTGGAGAATCATGCTATGCTGAGTCAGCAAGTTTGTTAACAAAGAATATTCTAGAGAAAGCTAAACAGAAAACAGTTAGGGACTTGGACATTGGCTGGAAATTCACAGTATAAATAGGAGTAGGAAGGGACAGTCTTGGTATCTTGGATATTTGGGAAATATTGGGATCCTTTTGGATATTGGGAGAGATCAACACCTCTCGAATGTGTTGAGCTTAATTTTCCTCTTTTATAGTAACTGTAGTCAATAGTAGAATTTGCCTTGTAATGGAGTTGATTATCTGTTGTTGTTCTTCTTTCATTTTTTATTGTAATTTCCTTTCCATATATTACAGAAAATCCAGAAAGTGTTCTTTCTGGGCCAAAATCGTTGTTCTTCTTTTCTGTTATTGTTTTTCTCTGATCTGGTTCCTATCAGATTCCTTCTCAATCGGATGGTCCATTGAGTGGGAGGTTCCATTAATTTGTTTACTGTCATTACTGTCTTCTTGATACTGTCACGGGTTGTATTCACGATGGTGTTATGACTCTGTTTCTTTCATTCAATAAAGTAGATATTATTCAGTAAGTTGGTTGTTCTTATTTTCTGGTTTGTATAATCCAGTAGTGTTTATCAGAAAATTCTAGTGCCAATATATTAGTCTTTATGATCAGGTGATCAAGAATTTGATTCTTGCCGACCTTATTCTTTTAATAAAAAGATGAATTTCAACACAAGGTAGGTGATTATGTGCATGCTTCAAGCCCAAAAAGCTCTTGCACGAGGAAGCAAGCTAAAATATAATATAAAACCGATCATATGTCTTCACCTAATGACTTAAATTTTTGGGATAGTTGGTTCATGACATTTGCCAAGAAAAAATGAAAAGTGAAGAAAATACGTCCAAAAAATCAAATTGATAAAATTCAAATAAGATGAAATAGAAGCATAAAATGCATACTTTTTATAAGCATGAAACCGTCTAGTAGATTCTTCCACCAATGCACCAGTATCAGCACAAATGAAAGTTCTTTCACTCTGCACCATCAAATAGTTGAACCATTTTGTTATACAGTTCTGAGAGTAATCAGCATTATGGTCCAACTAAAAGAATACAATCAAAGGCATGATTACAGAGACACCTACACCAGGAAAAGTATGAGGCAGCAAATTGCTTGCAGTGTTTTGGCTTTTCTCAAAACTATCATAAAGTCATAACAAATTCTTACATGTTCTTTCTCTATACTTATATTCGTAGTCTCCAAAAAATCTTCTAGTATCTAAAATCACCTTTGAAGTACTATTTTTTGGGTATCTATATAGAATGAGTATGGATACAAGGATCATATCAAGTTTCAAACAAGGGATATGATAGCCTTGTCATGGAAATTATTGCACTTAGAGAGAAAATTTGTCTGTGTATCTTGGTTACACGATAGAGTGGTGATTATATAACAAGGGATTCAATGAACATAGACACAACCTTTACACTTTCCTATTTACACAGTATACACTTTGGAACACTGTTAGGGAGTGAGCAAGAATTTAAGGGAACACTATTGTGTTAAATCTGAAGCCCAATACCAAATCAATATCAGATATGGAAGGAAAACTACAGAACTGAACATAAACTGAAAGGAAATGAAATAGAAATAGATACATAGAGCAATTTGAGAGGATCTATTCTCTCCTTACTTCTCTCTATATTCTTCTGATCTCCCACAGATCATGTTTTCCCCCTGTTAACCTCTCACAAGGGGCTATAACTGCTTACAACCTTTCCCTCCACTTCACCACTAACCAACCCACAACTAATTAAGGGAGTGATTCCCTGTTGCGCCTCCCCTTGTACATCTCCAGTCTAGGAGCCTTCCTAACAAACACATTATTACATAGTTTCCTTTCCAGTATCACGCTGTTGGTTTGCACTGCTTGAACATAATATTGCATTGTTTCCAACAGAAATTATGCAACAAGAATATGATGAGTGAATTCACAAATTTACATTGTAGCTTGGAAAATAGACTATTTTCATAATGTGGTTATAACATTCATCACCTTCAAAGGAAGATTAGTAACAGAATCAAGCCATGTGATTGCTCCTACACATCAAAAGCATGGATTGTCATTCATTACAACATAAGCGGAAATGCAGAATCTATATTACTTTTTCTAAGTGAAAAACTTAAACCAAGGGGAAACTTGAAAGGGCATTGGAGCAAAAGAAAACACAAGAAGGAAGATAAATTCAACTAAATAATAACAGCTTTTAGCTAGTAAATGACAAGAAATGCTTACCTGGATTGGTGGGACGAATTAAAGCATATGAATTCAGTTCTATCGATAGCCCATTAAATACCGTGAATTTAAGTCTTTTGACTATGCGCTTCGTAAACATGCGCTTTCTTAGCTGATCTTTCATATCCTCCAATCTGAAATTGAAACTTTAAAAATCAAAGCATGATAAAAAAATAAAAAAATAAAATAAAAAACACTTTTTAATTTTAATCCAACGTCAACTCCTAGTCCTGGTTTAGACCGCCTAATCATAGTTTATCAACATCATAATACTAATGTCAGAGAAACAAAACAATGTTACAAAAGCATGTATTGTTTAGTTCAACAGATTTCACTAATTAGTTTTTTATTCCAAAATTGAAGTAATGATTTCAAGCAACAGTACATGTGCCTCCTTAAAATAAGAGACAAAAGTGGAGGACCAGTTGGTCCTGTATTCACTGTAATATCTGGTACACATTTTATGAATTTCACCTCTTTTATTGGGAAAAATCTAAGTAAAATATAGACAAGATTACCAGTGCATGCCAAAAGTATAGAAGCATCCCAATTCCCAACAAATTACTACCCATTGTAAAAAACAGTTTAAAAACTTGAAAAAGCCATGCCTTCACTGTCTATAGCAAATCAATTTCATTAATCAAAATATTAAAATTGAGCTAAAAGCCTAAAACAGATTATTAATTTTCCTAATTTAATAAAAAAAGTTGTCAATAACTTTTGGATCAAAAGTGTGGAATATGATCACTAACTCCAATCAAATAACCAATAAGTGGTAGGCGTGACGAGATTGTTGGTCAAACCCACTACGGATGGGTGCTACAGAGCAACAAAACTAGTGTGTGTGTGTGTGTATATATATATATATATAACGCAACCTTACCCTTACATTTTTGCTAAGAGGCTACTTCCTGAACTCAAACATGTGCCTTCCGGTCAAAAAGGAGCAATATACATTTATGTATCCATGTATGACACACTTATCAAAAAGTATATAATAATTACAATTATTATATATGCGACGACCCACAAATGAACTAACCCCCTAAGCCCAAACTGCCATTAAACCATACCATAACAAGAGGCATAAACACAAACATAAACCCCAACCCCCTAAGACTAAGCCCTAACCCTAAATCAACTTGAGAAGAATATTTCCTAGTTTTTTTAATACTAAATGAAAACAAAATAGTGCCTAGGAACTGTACCAACCTTGCTATTGCTTTGGTTCCATTCACGGCTTTTTTTTCTCTTCTTAGAATGTCTAAACTTAAAGTATACTTTGCACTTTTCTTTTGTATTAAGCATAAGTTTCTAAACTATCCACCATCGTTGTGTTGTAACCAATAGGATTACCAACACATTAAACTAAAAAACATAACTACATGATGGATCAGAATCATATCATTGCAAATGCTCGGCACCATTTACGCACGCTTTGCATTATAAACTTTTCCTTGTGAAAACTAAATACTGAATAAACCTATACCCGTTGCAATTTTTCTAACTTGAATCCACATAGATACTTCTTAATTTACTATGGTATCTAACTGAAACCCAAAAGCTTACACTGTAAAATGACAGGAACAAGTTTAAGCTTGCTATCATCCCTACTATACAAAAATTTCTTGCCTGAAATTTCATGATTCAGCAGCATAAGTCAAACTCCAAAGGCTATAACCAGTTGCCCCACTTCAGTAAATAATGATATGTCCAAGACCTTAAAAATGCAAGAAATTAGCCAGAGAAAATCATAGATAGGATGCCATACTTGTTTCCTGCTGATGGCATAGAGTCAACAAGATCATCTCCTTCCAACCCAATCAAATCCTGAAAAAATACAGTTAACAAGTGAACATGACAAATTTATCTAATCAGTATCAAATAAGAAGAGAAATTAAAGAGAAAACATAACAAATATATATGTCAAAGATGTGTCCATACAGCATAGAATAGAGATACATTGAACGCTTCATCAGGGCCACTCAAGGGAAGAAGATCAATAGAGATGCCAAGATCCTGTGCATCCTTCACAAACCAAAAAAAAATGTAATCATAAACTACTAGCATCCTTCAAACTTAACTTTATGTAAACCATCTATGCTATAAAACATATATATAGATTGGTACTTTAGCTCTCTGCAGTGTCATTCTTGTCATATCTGATTTTATAGCCCCTTTAATGCTCCCAAAAGGATCATCTTCATTTGTGAACAAAAGAATGCGTTTATCAACTGTCTTTGCTGACCTGGTATAGATGATTCCCCATTATCACTCACCAATAATCATGTAGTTATAACTGTAAATAATAAGTGTATATTCCCTGAGCATATATTACCCTTTACGAAGAAGTGCCTGCGCCACCCAGATAGCATTGTATAGAGAATTTTCTCGAGTCCCCGACACGATACCATGTTGGCTTCCAATATTTTTTGAAAATGATTCTAGAGAAGATTAAGAACAAATGATTACTACACTCAGAATTAGAAAGTATGTAATACACACAACAAAATAGATTTTTTGTCTCAAATATTAGTCCTATTGAATATAGTTCTCCAAATAATAAACTTCACTTTAAAAACAGAACCTTAGGAACTTAAGAAGGCATTACGTAATTTGGAAGGTTTTAAGGATTAAAAAAGAAGTAACTCATACTAAGTATAAAATATGTTTATTAGTAGTCATCAGTCATAGCATCAATATAAATATACGTTTAGGAGTTAGTATCACATACACTGCTTTTAAGCCATATTCAATCAATAAAATTGTGCTCCTTTACATTCTCTCTCTCCCTATTTTTTTCTCTACCAGGCATCAGAGCCAGAGCCATACCAATATCCCAAATCATTCCAAACCCTAGTTACAGTTTCCAAAGAAGAAAAAAAAAAACAGCAACAACAACAATAGCAACATCACAGGTTCCAAGTCTACAAAAGAAATAAAGTTTAAGTCAGGTCAAAAATATCTTCCCCATGATTATATAATATCTTGAAGCTAATTCAAGCAACACAAAGACAAATGACAGTCAGCCAGCAAGCCAAAACTTTAATGATCATGAAGGCTGTTGATATGACGAGTAAACGACAGATCTAAAAAGAATACATTATGCAGCGCCATTTTAAACATCATCTCATCCTAAATAGGAGACAACCGTATGATATTTTAGAATCAAAATGGTTCTTTATATCCACCTCCACTGACAACCACAAAAACTTACCCTCCAAAAGATCAAATTCTTTTATGAGCCTCGCTGTTGGCCTGTCTAGATATTCTCTCTCACCAACATTAAATACAAAAACACCATTCAAGTCTTGTAAATTCTTCCTCTCCCTCTGCACATACATCAAGCACAAAGCCAAGTTTTGAAACAATGCTGCCTTAGAAGAAGCCTAAATTGTTTTTGTTTTCCGCACTTTACTGCCATGCATGCAGCAATGCAAAATGTTTCAAGTGGTGAAATGAAGTGCTAGGCTAGGCGTTCCATGAAAGAAAGTTAAAAATCATACCGTGTTAAAGAAGCATATGGCAACTTGGTCATATGATCTGCTAATGATCTGAGTCTTTAGTGAGTGAGAGATACAACTGATGGCAATGTGGAAGTGACTTTCATCCGTTTGGTCTTCCTGCCAGAGTTGAAACATTGTACTTACTTGTACTAGGGATTATTTTTGAATAAATCAGTATATTCAGATGTAATAGTATTAGTCATACACTAAACAGTAAAAGTAAAGCACCAGCCTCACAAGTCACAAGTCACAGTACATAAATTACATTTTCATTTTCAGATAAGCCAATTCCACACAAAGTGAAAGAAGAAGAAAACTAACCGATGGGCAACTCGTGCTGAACATTTTAGGTGAAGCATCGACTAGGTAAACCACATATTCTTTGGTTGAATCTTTATCCTGATAAAATGTTCATATTAAAGAAAAAAGAGAAAGTAGAAGCGAAGCAAATAAATAAATAAAAAAATCGAGAAGTTGATGGGAGGGAGTAATAACCATACCAGCAGAGAGAGTTGAGCATCAGGGTCATCTTCGTCGTCTCTGAAAATATCATCAGGGTCAAAATCCATATTGAAGATACCAAAGAGAGAGTTCTGAACAACAATCAAAATCTCTACTCTTTACTAAAAAACCCTATATCTGATGCGCGCCCAAACCAATTTCGCCTTATTCTAAAATTGCCACTTGCCAACTATTCACGTTCACCGTGCTTGCTCAGGAAATTTTAGGCGTTTTTAAGAAGAAGAAAAAAAAATTTAAAAATGTATAACAATTAAACATGTTTTAAAAAAATTAAAAAGTAATTTAATATTTTTCTTAAAAGTTAAAAAAGCAACCTCTAAACAAATTCAAAATAATATTATAGTACAAAAAAAGTGAAAAAAATGTTTGTCATCGATACAACTTGTGTCATTTCACTCTTACAAAGATGTGGGACCTATACTTTTATATATTTTTTTGTTCACTCTCTCTTTTCTATAATTTATCTTTTTCTCTAATTTGAAATGACATAATTTTATATCCTTTAAAATGACACACACTTTTTCCAAAAATAATTTCTGAAAATTTATCTAAACTTTTTTCACATACCAAAAACAAACACAATTCACATAAAATTACTTAATAAAATTTGAGTTTAATTATTTTTGATGAGAAAACGAAAAGCATTATCACAAAAGTTTTAAAAAATATAAATTTATATAGTAAAATTAAGGATTCATTTTTTCTAGTTATCTACATTGAACCCAAAATACTATTATTTTGGATCAGAAATCAATGTATTTTTGTCATTATAATTTATTTTAGGGTTATAATAATTTTTCTCATTTTAATTTTTTAATTTTTTTAACCTAAAAGGATATCATTTTTGAAATGAATATATATAATGTATCTATATATAAACATTAAAGACTAAAATTAAATAGTATAACTCATAATTGAAAGTAGATTTTGATTGGTATAGAATATGTATCATTATATAATATAGAGCCTCTTTGTTTCCCCTTTAAAAAAAAGTAACTTTTATCTCTTTCTTATTTTAGAAGTCTTTTTTATGAAAGTTAAAGCTATTTATATTTTTATAAAAATATTTAGTTTTTGAAAAAAATATTTGGTTTTTGACTTCTGCTTTTTTTAGAAGTTAAAATTTTTAGCTTTTGGAAAAAGTAGATTTTTGGCTTTTTTTGTATCTTCTACTTTTTTTAAAAGCAGACATCCAAATGAACTAAAACTGAAAAGTTCTTTTTTTCAAGAAAAAAAACAGCTTTTGAAGAAAAAAACAGTTTTAAAAGAAAAAAAAACTCATCCAAACGAGCCCATAATGAGTTCATTTTTTTTACGGGTAACTGCAAATGGTGTTTTTTTTGTGCAGTAGATATAAAAAAAGTGGAACTCACTCATTTTAAAAAAAGTTAGAATCCGTCGGTGTAATCTACCTTTTTTATGTATTACTGCAGAAATTATTTTTTTTCATCAATAACATAGCTATATTTCCCTTATATAATATGGGAAATACTATTCTCATATTATATGTGATAAAATTTTCTTCTATACACTTTTTTCGATAAATGTGCCACTTTTTCTTCTTTTTTCAGATTGTGACCCACAAATTTATCTATATGACATGAGATAACTTATTTCTTTTACCATGATCCATATAATATATGGAGGTTGACAAATCTAATCTAACCTTCGGCCTAGGATTAGTGGGGGCTCTCCCCCATCAATACTCGCTTATGGATACCAAAACAAAATAAGCAACTCGTCCCAATTTCAATCCATCACAAAACATACGGGCCAATCATACTATGGTTTTGTTGGCCTTAAACGTGCAAGGTTGCAACCACTTAGGACTTTCCAATTTACTTTGGCATCACTTGTTAGATGTTGTGGTAAGTTAGGAATAATACTATCCTTCAGCACCAAGCAAGATACACCAGAGATGACTTTCATACGCTGAGTGGAGTATTATGAAGCTGTGGTCATGGATGTTAAATCATCCCTACAAAAAGGAGCCCTTCATACTCCATTTAAGAGTTGAGCAGTTCATTTAGTAGATTTTTGCTTGCAATGGGTGGACAATACTCAGTGTACATGGGGGAGTGAGTGATAAGGAATAATGTAGGAGAATGTCTCATTAGAATCTCATGCTACTGTGGCATTGTGAACGCCTAAGGCAGTGTTGTGGGAAATTCTTATCTGGCTTGAAGGGGATAGGGATGTGCTCGAGAGCAATGGTCTGTAAAAATATCTCATGTGTACAACGTGACAAATGGCATTGCCTGGCAGCACATTATGAATCTCCATCTCCCATTGGACATGATCCTTTACCATCCGCCATCAGTAGAGAGCATTAACATCCTACATAGGAAAAAATCTAGCTTACTACGGATGTGAGTACAGCAAACCAATGAGAGCATGCATGTCACCAGCTTTTGTACTGGAGAAAGAAAAAGAAAAAGTCACTTTAGTATTTACATTATGGGTTTTATTAATCTCGTATTAAAGGAAATAAGTTATCTTATGTCATAGAGATAAATTTATGAACTCCACCACTTAAAAAAAAGAACAAAATGACACAGTTATCAAAGAGTGTGTAAGAGAAAAAGTTATCATATATAATATAAGAATAGTTTTTCCCTTACATTATATACTATAGAGAATACATAGTGTAAATACCAATGTCACACCCACATTCGTGCTACCCAAGATGCTCTCCCTACGTACGGTCATAGAATGGGCGTTGATTTACCTAGAATTTGTCATAGCTAGTATGATTGTTTTCTTTTTCCTATGCTAAAAACAAATTAAAATGAGAAAACATTCTGACTTCTTAATATATATATATATAGAGTGAGAAATATTAATGTTTCTTGGAGATAAAATTATCTTCTATATACATATAAAAGTGTATAAGATCCATATGAAAAGAGAAAAGAGAAAAAAAATATATATATATATATAATTCATATACTTTTATATATGTGTAGGAGATAAAATTATTTCTTACAATATAAAAAACATTAAACCATATATATATATATATAAACATTAATTTATTATAATAATTTTCTGATTTTGCTCTTCCATCAATTCTTAATATCATTTATTTCTAGATTTATAGAATATTATATTAAAAACATCATCCTAATCTCTCTTTCATCTCCTTTAAAGCATTTATTATTCATTTAAACGACTATGATACCAACAAGAAATTAAGAATATCATGTTAAAATAAATTGTCAATAATTTATTAATTCTTAACATGATGAAAAATACTTAAGTATATTAAATAAAACAAACATGTATGCATATATATTATATATTTGAAAACTTTTATGTATAGATAAAATTACAAATAAGTATTCCACATATGGATCAAAGTTATATTTAAACGTATTTTTTTTTTATTGGGATTGATCGAGAGCAGTACAGAAGTTTCATGATCCGGGTGTGTGTCAGCTTCTGAAGCATTACAAAATATATTAGAACAAAATGACAAGAACAACCAGCTGGCTTATTTCTCCCCACAAATTTATATTGATATAAAGAATGGATATAACTTGTTTTACAACGTGCAGCAAGCCACACTTGAAAAGCTTTGCAAATCCTAAATCCCATCCCTTCAATAAGCAGTGGGTTATACTCTCAACCCAAAAAAATTTATAACCAAAAGAACGATAAAAATGCAAAGAATTTTTAATGCTATCCCTCACCAAAACTTACCAATCCAACCATTGGCCCCCTTGTTTTCCCATCTGAGTGACAGGAGAGAAACATCACAAAACTTGTATATATGAAGCCGTTGCTGCACTAATAGAAGACCAGACAATGGTTTCCATACATTGGAAGTACCGAAACTCTCAACTACGACAAAACATGGAGACTTGAAAGAGCAAAGGGAAAGAGACAAAGTTATGGTCCGAGGTACCAAATTCCGCAGTTTCCCGAATCCAACATCCTCTGAAGTCAACAGAATTTCAGTGCACCAAACTCTCAGCATTTCAAAACTGCAAACTCTTCAAAATTCATACACCAATTAGAACCACTGAGCCAACAAATGCCTCAAATAAATACGCAACCCTCTGCTTCTCTTCCCAAGAATGGATGGATGAAGGCTCTACTTGAGAATACAAAAGCAAAACAAGAACAAAGAATGTACATCCAAAAGCCTTAAGAGTCTGTGGCAGCCGATGACTTGTCTAATTTTTCCTTTTCAATCTCTCCTCTTCTCACTTCAGCATGCTGGGCAACACCACTAGCTATAGCTTGATAAGAAAACTCAAGTGTATGGGTGAGGTTCTGAAACCTCAATGGATCTGACGATTGCATCACTACACGAAAATTTATTTTGAAAGGCAGGAATATCATCAGACAACAATAATGATGATGATAAAAGTACTGATGAAACTTTTAACATGTTTAGACAGCAATATCAGCATACCTTTCATCGTATCAACAAATAAAACAAAAGGATCCACGTCATCAATTGGGGTCTGCAACTCTTCATCATCACTGAAATCATCATCGGAGTCTTCGTCATCCTCATCGTTGGGCCTGAATGATTTTGCCTGTTACAATACGAATTTAAGATCTAAAATTAAATGACAAATAAGGAATACAAATAAATAAAGGGAAAAGTATTTGTTATTTTTTTTATTTTTTTTGGTAAACAAGTATTTGTTATTTTAAATAACACAAAGTTATGTCATTTTTAATGAAACTGCGTTTTAGTATGTTTTTACATTCTCTCTCCTCCACTTTTTTTTCTTTCTAATTTTATAAAAAAGAGAAAATGACAAAACACACTAAAATGACGTAATTTTATTAAAAATGACATAACTTTGTGTCATTTAAAATGACACACTTTTCCCATAAATAAATGGTGAATGTATAATCAAGATGAACGTGCACAAATTTTGTTTTCAGGAGAAAAAAACAAAACTTTCATTCTTAAAAAATATAAATTTGAATTTATTAGACCATAGTTCTGAATACTGGACTAGACCAGCTGGTTCAACCACAGTTCCGAGCAAGATGGCTTACTGGATCGGTTATGCACCTTATGGAGGTCCATTGAACCAGTCCATAAGTTAAAGAAACAGTTATTTATTGTCAGCGGTGAATACTTCTACTGGGTGAGCATCACTTTTGCACAAGTGCTGGGTTGGGGATCAAACCCAGTGGTCCACCACTATGCATTGCCAGCAGCTGTACCATGAAGCTGAAACACTTCTATGGTTAAAGTAATGCAAGCTTTTTATTTCATATTTATATTGAATTGTTGAAATGTAACTACTTTAAAACTAATCAATAATATATGTCAAACATACAAAAAAAAAGTAATAAAAATTAATCTCTAAAAATAATTAAAAATACAATATTTTGTATTTCAATAGTTTAAAAAGTTGCAAAATATTTTACATTTCAATACTCTGATTTGTTCTATACACACGAATAATATCTAAAATCAAATTTCTTAAGCATTGAATCATGAACTGCTCCCATTTTTGCTTCAATAACTAGTTTGATTTTCAAAACAATAAAAAAAATAATGTTCTAACTAAATTAATTAAGTATTCAGAATCAAATAAAATTTTCAAGAGCAAGAAAATGAACTCTTAGCAAATACTATAATTTCCTATATAAAAGCTCATACACATATAAACTACAAAATTGCTTTATTGCATGCAAACTGATAAACTCAATATCCTATATTCAAGTAAAATATCCATGCAAATATTTTGTAGGTGATATTTGCGAACCTGTTCAGCCAACTTTCTAAGTTTACTACTGTCAGCTTCATCCCCATCCTCAGCATCAATTCCCATTTCCTTGTCAGAACCATTTCCATCCTCATCTTCATCATCAGTTTGAAAGCCATCCATATCATCATCATCATCTTCAGCTTCTTCCTCTTTTGCAGCTTCTGCACAGTAAGTACAATAACTGACAATTAGACAATCACAAATCTGATTAAAGTAAAAAGGAAGTCAATCCACTCCTGCTGAACATATAATTGCAAGTCTGCAACATTTCAGAGTTACAGAAAAAGGATGACAGAGACCTGCAACTTGATCCTTGTATGCAACCAGAAGATCAAGTGTGGCCCGGAACACCCGGCCTAAAGCCTCTCCTGGCAATTGATCAGCTGGAAGTGCCAGTAAAGATGTTAAACCAAGGCAGCAAACTTTCTTGTCATGTTCCCTGCATAAAGATTGTTGTAAGTGCGCAATAATTACACCTTCACATTGTCACACACACAATAAATTCCATTATTGAATAAAAAGCTTAGTATGGAGAAAGAAAATAAAGCAAGGAGGGATGGTGAAGAGGCAAAAAAAAACAGACCTTCTAAAATGAGCACGCACACCACTCTTCTTGACTTCTTGCAGCATATGAAACCAAAGATTGAAGATTTCTGATGCAACACCTAACTTTTGCAATATGCTGAGAGTCAGTACTGCATTGTAGTATAAAGCATCTGCAATCTGCAAAAATTATATCCCGTTAGAAGGAAGTTACATTATGGGGCACTTTCCTGTCATCTTTGAGAAGATTGGCAAACATACACGATATACAAACTGAACTCATTTGTAGTGATCAATCAGAAATCACACCAAAAAAATAATTCTTTTCATTTGTTTTCTTATTCTTTATAAATTTTAACTTTGTAAAAGAATCGCTCAAGGAAGTACAAACCATATGAACAAGGAGAACAAAGCATTTGCATAGAAACCCACACAAAATTAAGCATTTGCATAACTAACTTGAGAAGCCGGTGTAATTCTGTGAAGTTTCAATGAAGCTCCAAAACACAAGGGTTTTTAAGCTAACAGTAGTATAAATGGACCACAGAAAATCCAGCTATTGAGCATGTCATAACACCGTAAACCAAGGAAGCAACAGAAGCCAATTATCTCATTTCTACATGTTAATATGGATCTTAATAACTGCTTACCACTTGCATGAGAAGACATTTCAAATATGACTTTGCAGTTCGATGCAAGCGTTCAACTGTAATTCTGAGATATGGCTCAACCCAGTGATCCACCTGCCCTCTGCAGTTCATGAAGACAACCTCAATAAGCTTTGGAGCTGGCTCAATATCACTGTCCTCCATATTTTGGTCTGCCATAATCTTCAATGTACAAATCAGAGACATCAGTAAGAAGATAGAAAAAATAATAACAATCATTTCCAATCCCCAACTCCACTCCTAACAGGTGGTGGCTTAAGTAATTCAAATAATGCAAAGATAACTCACAGATGAAATCATATTCCATAGACTCTGTTGATAGTCAGGTTCTTTGCAAGTAAGGAAATGGGCAGTTCCCCTTGAAATATAATTGTCCAAAGGAACCAGAATATCTGCAGAAGAAACCACCCAAATAAATATGTAGAAAATGAAAAATTATATACCAGTCATACATCAATTTAAATGTTGGGGGTGCTCTATCCAGACAAAGCAACCGAGAAGATATATAATTGAAACTGTAAAGAACCTTGGGTATCCCAAGGTTCTTTACAGAAACTATGAATAGTATGGATATCAGCACCACAGAAATAGAATCCTTTTATTAAGTAACCAGACAAGTACTGCACCAAGGAAAAAACAGAGAAGATGTTGTATTATGTTCATAGCTGAGTCTACCCTCAGGTTTACTGGGAGACACCAACATCTCTAGCTTTATATTAACAATAAAAAAAGCCAACCAAAAGATGATCTAAACTATGTGCTTGAATTTTGTAGAGCAAAGAGAATTTGACATGAATTGCAACCAAAATATAGTTCAGAAACATACTTGGAAAGAAATCGATTGCCCAATCTGCTAGTGCTTCCATCATCAATGGCCAAAGACTCCACATGTCCAATGATATTGTTGGAGAGAAAAAAGTCATATATGATACAATCTCCAAAATTTCTTCAAAAACCTCTGCAGGCAAGTACATAAGATAATGGGAATAATTACAAGCAAGAAAATCCAGTGAAATTAAAATTTGAGAACCATAGTCTTCATACCACAATGCATTAAAGACACAGAAATACACACGCCATTCGAAAATCCAAGAAGCTGAAGGTGTAAAATAAACCAGCTTAAGCTATTCTCAGCATCAGATTATTTGACACAAACTGAAGCATACTATTCTATATTAAAGCAACAAGGATAACAGCTGTCCAAAAAACAGCTTACAATAAACTATCAAGAACATGAGATGCTTGACTAATATACTTGATATATTCTTCAAATCTAGAGCTCTCCATCTGAAATACTCTCATCAGATTAATTAAGAGCAACCAACATGCGTTCAATTATGCAACTAGTAAAATGAGTGATACCTCAATCCAAGCCATTAAGTAGATTCACATTTGCTTCAATAAATGTGTATACAAGGACACATTGGCAAAGAGGAGGCGATACAAACAAAAGAAAGGCCCAAAGTCATCTAGGTAAACATGATTCAAAGGGGCAAATACCTTGACCATCTGTTGTTAGCATTCTACGCATTATCGGAAGCAAAGTTGGCTCAATTTGAACAAAAAGTTGAGGAAGACTGCTCACGGATTCAAGTATTGTGCTAATAGCACGCAAACAACCAACTGCAGCCAGAGCACCCGGATCATCGGCTTCATCATCTGCTTCAGCAGTGTTCATACACCTCCAAAATGCAGCTGCCTATTTTAAAAAAGAAGACTGCAATGTTACTATACGGAAAAATACTAGCTCTCTAAAGCAAGAACAACTTTCTAGGCAGATATAAATGTTTTAAATAAATATATATTACCAAATTTTGGCACAGCCCAAATGCATAAGGTGCCATTTCTTCCCCAAATTTGTCCACAATAGTCTCCAAAGTAAATACAAGGTCCTCATTCTCAACCTCATTCATAAGTTTGAAAAACTCTGGATATATTTGTTAGTTAAACTTGTTCACCAGGCCAAAAACAAAAATTAAAGTGCAGACAATTTTATCACACCCACATACCATCAAGGAGTTGAGGAAGAATAGGACGAATTTCATTTAAATCTGCATCAATACAGAATAAAAAATAAGCATAGTAAACATTGAACTTTAGAAAGATTTATTCAATTCAAAATAGAAACAAAACACAGTCATTAACACCTTTGCAAGCTTCAACAAAAGAACGCAAAGCAAAAACAGAATCAATGCGGACAGGAAGTTCAGGATCACGCATTCCACATACAACACACTGTAATGCCTTCCGGAAATTGTTCTGATCTGAGAAGCTAATGTGGGCATATTGTCCAGCAACCCATGCTGCCTGTTTTTCACAGAAAATCAATGGATATCCAAAATTCTTAAGAATACAGAATAAAAACTCCATAACCAATGTCTGATTCAATTTCTAATTAATTTACATCAAGTCAAATCAAAATATTAAATTGCATATTGCAACACTAATGTTTTGTATGGTTATTGTGAAGGAAATTTAGAGAGCATTGCACCATTCCCTAGATTCATTGCATTTCAAAATATTAGGGAAACAAAAAGAAGAGGTCTAGTTCTACTTCAATGGAGGCTCACATTTGGCAACACCCCAACCTGTGGGAGGATTGCAAGGGAAGCCACAAGTGGACAAATGATTAATTTGGCATACACTTACTTTGCAGCCAATAAATGTCATATTTGCATTATCTTCGTCTCAAACACTACTGCTTTAATTAATGAAATTAAATAGCACATATTCCTTTCTCTTTTATATACAAAATAAAATAATGAAAAGAATATCAGTTTCATTCCCTTTTGTTCCATTCTTGAATTAAAAGTCTCATCTGTTCCATTCCTTTCTTTCAAATGCAATGAGAGTGCATTACACCACCTATGCCATAAAAGAAAATTAATTGCGCTCATGAAGAAACATCTTACTTCTTATAAGAATATCATAAGTGCATGGACATAAGACAGCAACAGAAAATTGGAGCCCTTGGCACGAGTTCACTTCAGCCTATTACAAACTTACCTCTCCCAATTTTTGCAGATCTTTTCACATCCAAAACAACATTAGATATGGACATCAAAATTAGGACGTGCTTTTAGTATGGTTTAATGTGAATGCCAACTTCGCCTTTTTTTAGAAGCATCCTTCTTACACCCAAAAGCAGGAAAAAGAGCAAAAGAGTGCATCTGGCATGCATAAAAAAAGATGCAAATATAAACTATATAGGTCATACCTTGGCCCTAAGGTGGCCAACAGGACTGCTGAACTCAGGAAATACATGTTGAACTAACATACGCTCAAGTTCAGATTTATAAGGCTCGGTTTGTTTCAATTTGTCACAAAGTGCCCCAATAGCAAGAAGAGCACCATCTTTCTGTCTATAAGGCTTGTATTCTGCAGGTGCTTCATCATACCTAGCATAGCAAAAACCTAAATATAGCGTCCAATCCATAAATCATCTATTCTAACAGAAAGTAAGATATTTACCTTTTGAAAACTTCAACTATGAATTGAATAAACTTATGAAGATTATCTTTCCCGCGTTTTCGGACCAACTCAGTCACAAAATCCATGGAGGCAGTCCTAGGACTATACAAGTCCTCGATGATGTCTATAATAAAGAATTAGAAGCTATAAGCACATCCAATGTCATTCCTTGACATTTGGTTTCCATGTTTATACACAAATAAGACTTACCATAGCCTTTCCTTACATATTCATGTGGATCTTCATCCCAAAGCTTTTGATCATTATCATTAAAGCACATAAGAGGGAAAACTATTTCAAAAAGAAGAACATCAAGCCGAGGTTGCAGCACAGTATACATGTTATTCTTTGGAATACTGCATATGTTAAAAAAGTTCCAAGAAAAATAATTAATTCCAAAATAAATATATATCCTGAAAAACTCAGCAGTATCAAGTAAAAGCATTCAACAGAGCTACTAATATTTCAATTTAAAAATGTTCTAAGTCCAACACTCCACACAGCAGAAAGTTGTTAAGTTTTGGATTGGGAATTTGGAATGAAATAGCTATATCCATGAGCCCATAATAGCATTTAGCAGGAGATTTTCCCAAGTGATAGTAGCATGGCTTCTAGACTGAATTGCCATAGATGTCCACCATGACAAGAAGCTACTCTAACTTTAGCTGTGTAAAGTGAGGACCTCAGAAAGGAAGGATAAGCATATCAAAGGACAAAAGTAATGTCTATCACCCTCCTTCCCCAAAATTATGTCAAGACAAAAGAGTTTGAGTCGGGATTTACCGGCTTCAAGAACCACAGGCCGGAAAACCAGACCATCCCAGTATTTTGATATCGGTTTAGTCTTGATTTTAGGGCTGATGTATATTTCCATAACATTTTAAGATCACAATTACTTAGGTTTACTAGCATCTGTATGTTAATATTTTTGTTTCATATTTTCAGTTTTAGAAGACCAGGACTAGGGATATTATTGGGCTTTCATTGACGTTTTAAGTGTTTTATAATTAGTTAGGAAGCCCAACTATCCTTATAAGACAAAGATCTTATTGCCTAATGCCCGTGCATGTGGGTCTGTGGGATAAGTCATAGCCTCATAGGAGATTAATTTAATACCCTACAATGCTTGTTTTTGGCTTTCAAATGATTTATCAGCATATAGAATAATTATCATTGGATGGAACATTGATGCCCAGTAGAAACGGGGAAAGTGATCAGATTTGTATTTCTCTGCTAAAACTGATTGCAGGCATGGTATAGCTGCTACCAAAATTAAGAGAACTAAATAACACAAAAATAATCAACAATTCATAAATTAAACCTGTGTGCTTAATGCTCAGAATTGTCTTACCTAACAATGTATATCCCTACCTAAATAAGAACTGGTTGAAAGCTTGGAAATGACATTATTGAATAACATGGAATGACACTACAAATTAATGAGCACAAAATAATTGAAAACCACCTGTTGCTTAGATATTGAAGAACCAGGTTGATAACTCTGTCAGGTAAATAGTCACCAACTCGAATAACATTCAACAGATTTAAGTGGCAGTCCAAGATCTTCCCTGCATAATGCTTCTGAAACATTTGAGCAAAGGCTCTATTTTCTGGGTTTTGCAGCTTCAAGTCACCAAAACTATAACATGATGGTTTATACACCCACAGAAATTAAGAATCAATCAACCACTCAATAGCAAAGCTCATATTTGTTAACTAAAGTAATCCACAAAACATACCGAGTGTAGAGCCTATTTAGAATGTGAATCGTCCATTTTTTTACCTTCCACCAACCCCATGATTTTCTAAGCTCTGGATCAACAGGCTGACCTTCCAAGGGAACAGGCCTCTCCAATACATTTAAAAACAGCACCATCCAAGCATTGAAGACATTTTGATCAAACAAAAGCTTTGGAATCTCCAACTGAATAAATTCAAACAATAAACACATAATTGCATATTTAAATTCAGAAAACCTAAGTGGAGAAAAACATAAAAATATGTGAGGCAACTGAAAATGATAATGCTATCTCAAGTTTAAAAGAGGTTGAGATTCTCTATTTTTTTCTAGTAATAGCAAGTTCCAATCCCCACCACCCAAAAAAAAAACTGTGGCAAAAATTATTATTAACTTTATTTACATAAACTATAAAGCTGGCTTCTTTTATTCAAGACATAAACTTTGCTTTTATATTTGTCATCAACGTGAACATGTACTGCCGCACAAACTGATACAAGTATTCCGAGATGGCTTTCTATTCTTTGTTTATTCATTTAATATGCGGGAGTAAATATGCTAAGTTTGATAAGAGAAGATCAAATGTTAAGCCCAAGTGATGCAAAATTGTGTACCAGCTTCAAGCAATTGGGTTCCCGAGTTGTTTTGGGACAAATTATGCTTATTTGGCTCTCTTAATGGCTCAATTATGAAGGATGGTCCAAATATTAGCATTTTAAGTTCTATAAAGAAATAATTGATGGTTATTCCTAAGTCGACCTAGGGAGGCGAAAAATTAGTATTAACACTTTTGATTTCCTATGCTAATCAGCCTTGGGAGCTTAGTTTTCATTTTCCTTTGTCTTGGGAATATAATTATATTATTTCCTAATCAACTCAACTCTTGGAAGTTGTTATTAAGCTAGTTTGAAGGCAAATCAGTCTGCGGAGTTGGAGAATAATTAGTAGTTGATTTCTCTCGGCATTTTCATGCTTTTAGTTTCCTCTATAAATAGGGAATACTTGTAACCCACAAAGCAATAATTTGATGCATGAAAATTGAGTGTTGCAAGTTCTCTCAATTGTGTTGGACTCTTCTTAGGTTTTGAGTAGTGACATAGCCTTAATCTCAAGCCATATCTCTCTTGTTTCATTAGAAATAGTGTTCTTCAATTTGTTCTTCTCTCAAAGTTCAATTCTCTCATCCTTGTACCCATCCCGCATCGACAAGGGCCACCCAACAGCAGGGAAAAGATAAAGACATATCTACCGCTTTCAAATTGTTGTCCTATAGTTCTATTACTAAGAGTTATCTCATATTGTAACTTAGTAAACAAGTAAACAACTACGACTTGCGCCAGGCATGGATAAAAATGGCTGTAAAAAAAACACAGGTTATACATAATAAATGCAACATGCACGGTAGGAAAGGTTTGATCTATCTCATATTGCATATGAAATCCCTTCACTTAAAGGATACATGTGAGTGAGAGTGAAAAAAAACGTACATATATGGATGACCAGAATATTTTACAGATAAGCTTGATCAAATCTGCTACTTCAAGTGATGGATTAGCAATCTGGACAAGCCTGTTAAATATATTGAGAAGGTGAGGAAATGTCTCCCCTACAACATGGTAAACCGGTGTCCTGTCCTCATCTGACTTGAACCTGAGAACAGAAAAAGAGAAAGTTTTCAGAAGTAACATACATGGGAGGAATCAATTGGATTATTACTGATGATTCATATGATACTCGAAGGATAGAAAGGTAGTGCACAAGGTCTTGCTTGTAAAAAGCAGCAAAAGAGATCAGTCAAGTGGTATAACCAAGAGGCATGAGCAAGAGCTATAACACAAATTCTTTCCACTAAAAGAAGATATATAGAGTCTATAATGATAAATATAAACTTACTCATATTTTCTAGAAAGAATCCGCAGCACAAATAAGGCAGCATAGACTTGTTGATCCTGTAAATTATGCTTGATCCAATCAAGAAGACGAGGACACTGTTCGGGATAATCAGAATGTATAATTGTTTTGAGGCACTCACCAAGTTGTACCCTACAATGATAGGGCAAGATGTGATGTTATGTGATGTGAGAGAGAAGAGGAAGAAAACACAAAGCAGAGTAGAATTACAGTATAGTATAGTATAGTATAGTATAGTATTGTACCTCAACAAAGGAGGAACTTGAGATACAAAGAGGAGAATGTGATCCCTGACGACGTCTTTATCGGCGGGTGAAATGGTGTGTTGGGCAGCATCTGTAATGAAAATTATGAGTATGGAAATGGAATGGAATGGAAGGCGCTATAAGTATCAATTCATTAGCACTTACCAGGGTCATGAGGAGACCAATTCTTCGCAATGAAATTCTTGAAATGAATGGTGGCAAATTGTCGCACGGCAATGTCACAGTTGTTGTCGACAATGATTTGTAACACCCTCACCAGATGCTGAGGGGCGTACTGGATCTGCGTATAATTCAATTTAATTTATTTGAATTGAATTGAATGAGTAACTAAGCTATACTATGCTATGCTATGCTATGCTATGCTATATCTCCAAAATCAGATTAATTGAGATAACATTGATTGATTGATTGATTGAGAGAGAAAGAGAAAGAGAAAGAACAAAGCAAAGCAAAGCAACCTGATCCAAGTTTTGTTCAGCAGCTTTACGTTCATCGGGATTGGGACTAAGAGCAGCTTGGAGAATAACAGCAAGATCCATATCTAAATCCTCAGTCCTCTGCTCTCACCACTTCGCTTCACTTCACTAGGGTTTAGAAATTAACTTTGCGCTTTTCTCATTGCTCTCACACAACATGCTTATGCTATTTAAATTTAAGTGCTAGGGTTTACGGCTATTTTATTGTTTATTTTCGTCTTTAACTTTTCACGACAATTGAACTATTTTTAAGGTTTTAATTCTATGGAGTTTTATTTTTATTTTTTATTTTTGAGAAAAACAAATATTATGTCGTACGAAAATTCCTAGGTAATGTCATAGATAGAGACAATCAATTATGGGGTCACTATTTTTAAAATAAAAGAAATGTAAGAGAATTGATAGGCCCACTTTTATGTGTGTATAAGAAAATTGCTTGTGTCATGTGAAATGAGAAAAATATTACCTTTTTTTTATGTTTTGTGCCAATATTGTTGGTTTAATAATGTCTCTTAAATAGATTTTAATATGTTATTATATTTTTATCGTTAAATTTCTTAAATGTCAAAGGATTGCCTGATTTTTTTTTAATTTAGTTTTGTTGTAAATTAATTTTATCAAATTAGAATCAATCGTAATTATCATTAGGGGTATAAATAGGCTAAATTACTTTTTGACATAAAAAACATTTGATCTGACCTGACATGTTAGCCTATGTAGACCCCAGATTTCCAGGCTGGCTTGACCTATATTTAAGAAATAAAAGACTTAGCCTAGGCTTGTTAACCTGTATAAACTTATTAAACATTCAACAATTAAAAGAAGGGAAAGGTTATATTTACTACTTTTTTCTTACTACTTGTTACTACTAAATCTTAACCATTGATTTCCGTCAATCTAACAGTTATAATTTATTAAAATTAATAATTAATTAATAAGTGTGACCTAATAAATTATAACCGTTAGATTGGTGGAAATCAACGGTTAAGATTTTATAGTAACAAGTAGTAAGAAAAATAGTAATAAGTATAACTTCTCCCAAAAAAGAAAACTAAAATAATATTATTTTATCAGAGTAATTACCCAAATTGGTCCCTGACAAAAAATTCGGTACCCAAATTAGTCCCTAACAAAAATAAATTCGTTGGATAGTCCCCAACAAAGACAAACAGGACCCACGTTAGTCTTTCTGTTAGTCCAAAATTGACACGGTGCTGAGGTCTAACGTTAAGGGACATGTTGAACGCCACGTTGGACCATGAACGACGTCATTTGGTGAGAGGGGATCCACGTTGCTCAGAATCACCTTTGCTTAAACCCAAAATTGCCCCTCACCTAACCGTTGGTCACTTTACCATTTCCGTCTCTTGAAACTTCGACATTCCATTGTTGAGAAGAAGACGACCGTTCTGAGAACATTCGCCTGCGTTTGGATTGCAAAGTTCTTCGACAATCAGAGGGAACCGGTGGAAGAAATACCTTTGGTTTGGTGTGAGGCTCAATGTTTCGTACAAGTGACCCAATTGAACGTTGTCCTTCCCTCTCAATTTCTTCAAAGAAACGTCGTCGTATGGTTTAGGGCTCTTCTTAAACCAGAGAGAAGGGGATTGAATCGAATATTGAAGGTTTGAATTTGGGGATTACTGATTTAGGGTTTATCCTCAATTTGGTGTTTAGGAGAGGGAGCTCAAGATCTTGTAGTTCATTTGGGTCCAGAAGTGAAAGAAGGAGAGCTGCTCCATTGTGTAAATGTGGGAGGCACAATTTTGTTTACACCTCTGAAACCATTAGAAACCCAAATACAGCATTTTTTGGGTGCCCCAATTTCAAGGTGAGGTATTTTTGCATGCGTTAACTGTCTAGTTTGAATGTTATTAACAATTTGGTTTAATTTAGTGTTAGGAAAAGAAGCCACACTGCAACTTTTTTACATGGGTGGATGATGCTACATCTGATACCATGGAGCTGGAAGATTGGAGAATTAATAAGCTGGAGTTGAATGTAATATAATTAAATGAAATTCAATTTGAACTTTGTGGACATGAAGCTCAATGATGAACTGCAAATGGAGGTGAATGACCACAAAAAGAAGATTAATGAGCACCATATAAAGATTGATGAACTATCAATGAAGATGCAGCAGAGTTTGAAAGGGTGGAGAAGGAAATTAAGCATGTGTGTAGGTGTACTAGGGTGTTTGCTGGATCCATTATTATTGTGTTTCTAGTATGTATATATATTGCAAGTAGGCTGGAGTGAAATAAAAAATGTGGTTCTGTTGAGATTTGCTGGTGTCATGAATTGTTGTTCATGCAATGTATGTAGCATGACTTATGTATTTGAAGCTATGTTTATTGGCACAAAATGTTGTATAAACTCGATGGAGATAAAAAAAAGGAATGGAAACAATGTATAAACACTAAACTAAGAATGTGATGGTGTGAATTATGCAGAAGTTGATTGTGTTAGGCATGACTAATATCAGCATGTACAAGGGGAAATGACATTGCTGGTGTGTTAATAGCAAATGGTGGCACTGGTGTTAACATAACTTTATCAGGGACTAAAAAGGACCCCGATAAAATTGTTAGGGACCATACCGGTCCCCTTTGTTAAAAACCAAGGACTAAAAAGGTCCTCGATAAAAAATGTTGAGGACTTATAAGGGAACTTAAAAAGCAGATGGATGATAAGTGCAGTTAAGCAACACATGACCCTTAAATGGACACAGCAAACAGAGCAAACATACCATTGTTGACAAAAACCAGAAAGTGTATCAGCAGATAGATGGTTTGGACCAGCATTTAAAAATTGCAGCATTGAATACAATCATGACAGTAAAGATAGATAGTAACCAAACATTTTGCATTCATTTCATCACATCCCAGTTACAACTACTAACCATGGCCAACATGCCACAGTCATACAAAAAAACCCTACTGACATCTTTCCATGAAGGCCAATACATATATGTTCCAAAAAAACATAATGTTCCTACTAACTATGGCCATGACCAGAGGCATACAAAAAATGGCCTAATGACATATTTGCAGAGGGCCAATACCGAAGTATTTCCAAAAAAATACACTAATTACAATTCCAATCAATTCCTATATTTGAGGCATCCAAAAAATGGCCTAATGTCAGTGAATCTGAATGGATTCCAATCAATTATGTGGGGCTGGTCTTGGTGGCTTGAACCTTGGTGTAGACATGAAGCTCATGAATCTGGCTCTGGTGCCACTACTTGCTGCAGTAATTGTCTCATTGGTCACAACCTCAGTAGGATTGCATGGAGGTGGGTTGCTGCCTCTTGATGCTCTTGAACTCGGTTGAGCCTCAGTTGTTGCATGCTCGCTGCTTGTCTCTGGTACAGGGCATCCTTGACTTAAGACTATTTCTTCAACTGTCCTTGATTGAATTTTCAACATTAACTGGTTTTTGCTTTGACCTTGAAGGAGCAGCAGGTCCCTTACATGTAAACCCTAAATCAATAAACCCTAAATCAGTAATCCCCAAATTCGAACCTTCGATCTTCGATTCAATCCCCTTCTCTCTGGTTTAAGAAGAACCCTAAACCATACGACGACGTTCCTTTGAAGAAATTGATAGGGAAGGACAACGTTCAATTAGGTTTCTTCAAAGGATTCTGAGCAACGTGGATTGTGGAGCTTCAAACGACGTCGTTCATGGTCCAACGTGGCGTTCAGCATGTCCCTTAACGTTACACCTCAGCACCGTCAGTGACGCCGTCAATTTTGGACTAACAGAATGACTAACGTGGTTCCTGTTTGTCTTTGTTAGGGACTATCCAATGAATTTATTTTTGTTAGAGACTAAATTGGGTACCGAATTTTTTGTCAGGGACCAATTTAGGTATTTACTCATTTTATTATTTAAAATTATTAAAATAATAATTTTATTTATTTTATTTAAAATAAATAATATCATATAGGTCGGCATGTAGACTTATAGGCCTGACATGTACAAAAAAACCTATGACCTATTTCTAAATAGAACTTTTTAAAAGTCTAGGCCTATTCTATTTTACTATTTATAATATGCCAAACCTCGTCTAATATAGGCTAGGCCATAGGCACATGTAGTGTGGCCTAACCCATTTACAGCCCTAGTTACCATATTATATTTATTTTTTAGTTTTATTAAATTGTATCTTTTTTATTAAAAGGAATGTTTATTATTTGTTTTGATTTATGGGAAAAATATTTCTGCAGTTAATGCAGATAAGTTATCTGCATTTATTTCAAACACGACGTCGTTTTGATATTGAAATCTTAAAAAATTATAAATATAAATACTATTATAACCCTGAAATAAGTTAAAATTACAAAAATACAATTATTTCCGCCTCAAAACAACGTCGTGTTGTGCTTACTGCAGATAAGTTATCTACAGTAACTACAGAAAAAGCGAACCCTTGATATATTATATAATTTTCAATCAAAACTAATTTCCAACGAAATAGATACTTTATTATATTATTATGTTATTTTCTTTATTAACTTTCCGATTTTATTTTATTTCTTTCTTCTATCAACACTTATTGTGTTTATTGAAAGGGTTCTTTTTTATAAAGTTAGACAATTTTATCTAATATTAACTAAAATGAAGTTGTTTTGTAAAAAAAATTATGGTGTATTTGTAATTTTAATTTATTCAAAGAATGTAATAGTATTTTTCATTTTAAATTTTAAACTTTTCAACCCTAAAACAATGTCGTTTTAGTAAACATCAGACAAAAAATATTTAATGTTACATTAGATATTTTTTCCCTTATTAAAATATATGTTTCTATACTTAATTTCAAACCTCTTTTCACACTGATTTTGCAGAACCCATCCATTGGATAATTTTATTCTTTTTAGAGGCATAAGTTGCATGACATTTTTTTTATTATATCCAAATTTATATTTCATTTTTCATTTTTTTTATTGCGACGCTAACTATTAAAAATAATCAAAATAAAGCTTCAACCTAAATTATTAAGGAGATGGAATGAAATAGAAGGGGATGAAATGACATTACTCAATATTGTTTGAGTAGTTTAATATACCGTAAAATAAAATAAAACTTGATGAAATCTACTTTATTCCATCTCAACCAATATCTTGAATTTTT